CCGCCTGTTATCTAACCCCCAGAAGACCAGGTATTTGTGAAACGCCTGTTTGGCAGCCCTAACTGTTATTCACAAGGCTCAACCAAAACAAACAGGTCTAATGAGAGGATTATGTGTGTTGGACATAATTCACCGATATCTATTCTCTGTGCAATGCAGCAAGGGCAGAAAAGGCCAGTGGTTATTTGTCCTGCACATTCTTTGCTTGCATTCTGCAAACAGAAAAATACCAGTGGAACAGCATGGCGGCAAATACTTGGCATATTTAGTTGCTGATGATCTGCAGGCCTGGGCCCAAGGAGTTTCAGAAGATCTGGAAAGAAGCCAGTTCCAAACCCAAAACTACTCTTTCTCTCTCAATCTCTTCACATCTCCCCCTTCCCCTTTTGTGCTTTGGGATTGCTGTGGAAAAGGAGTTTCTGCTCAACAAACACACCCCAGAAGCTCTCAATATCCCCAGCCTTGGCAAAAGCCCAGGGCCCTGTTCTCAGCCCATTTGTCAAGTGTTATCGGCTGAGCGCTGACTCCCACCCCTCGGGCAAATCCTACTTATCCTTTCTCAACTGCCAAGGCCTCCTGGAGAGCCTTGATAAACCTGACCACGTTAGTTAAGGGATAGTTTCCCTTAAGCAACATTTCTGGGTGAATGTGAAGACTTCTACTTTGGCGGAATTCCTGGTAGATTCCCAAGCAGCTCCCCAACACTGGAGTGTAAACGAAGGAACATAGGAAATGGTCTTATTTCCAGCATGCACTCAGATGTGGGGGATGTTGCCTTTGTTTTTCTGATTACAGTGGTAGCTCGGGTTAAGTACTTAATTCGTTCTGGAGGTCTGTTCTTAACCTGAAACTGTTCTTAACCTGAAGCACCACTTTAGCTAATGGGGCTTCCTGCTACTGTCGCACCGCTGGAGCACGATTTCTGTTCTCATCCTGAAGCAAAGTTCTTAACCTGAAGCACTATTTCTGGGTTATCGGAGTCTGTAACCTGAAGCGTATGTAACCTGAAGTGTATGTAACCTGAGGTACTACTGTATAATGCTACCACTTCTGTCCCCAGTGTGGTACTGTAGTTAGAGCAGGGGTCAGCAACTTTTTACAGCTGTGGGCCAGTCCACCATCCCTCAGACCATGTGGTGGGCCAGACTATATTTTGGGGGGAAATATGAATGAATTCCTATGCCCCACAAATGACCCAGAGATGCATTTTAAATAAAAGCACACATTCTACTCATGTAAAAACACACTGATTCCCGGACCGTCCATGGGCCGGATTGAGAAGTCAATTGGGCTGCATCTGGCCCTGGGCCTTAGGTTGCCTACCCCTGAGTTAGAGTGTTGGACCAGGACCCAGGAGACCAGGGTTCGAATCCACGCTAGGCCATGAAGCTCACAGAGCTGGGCAGTCACTGTTTCTTGGCTTCGACATGGGGATGAAATGAGGAATAGCTGGACCTGTGATCTGAAGTAGCAGGGCTCTTATTCCATTCCTCCCTCAAATCGTATGAGGAAAGACTGAGCTCAAGAACTTTGGGCAAAACTAAAAAAGAAAGACAGCATCTTAAAAAGTAGAGACATCACCTTGCCAACAAAGGTCCATATAGTAAAAGCTCTGGTTTTCCCAGTAGTGATGTATGAAAGTGAGAGCTGGACCATAAAGAAGGCTGATTGCCGAAGAATTGATGCTTTTGAATTATGGTGCTGGAGGAGACTCTTGAGAGTCCCATGGACAGCAAGAAGATCAAACCTATCAATCCTTAAGGAAATCAGCCCTGAGTGCTCACTGGAAGGACAGATCCTGAAGCTGAGGCTCCAATACTTTGGCCACCTCATGAGAAGAGAAGACTCCCTGGAGAAGACCCTGATGCTGGGAAACATGGAGGGCACAAGGAGAAGGGGATGACAGAGGACGAGATGGTTGGGCAGTGTTCTCGAAGCTACCAGCATGAGTTTGACCAAACTGCGGGAGGCAGTGGAAGACAGGAGTGCCTGGTCCAGGGGGTCACAAAGAGTCAGACACGACTAAACAACAAAAAAGAAAAGCTTTTCTGTTCACTTTTTGAAATATGGCAACCCTGCATATATCTGTAATGGCTGCTGATATATTTAGGCAGTCCCTAAATATATCAGCAGCCTGCTGGGACACTCTTGTAACAGTTTACACAGCAAACGGGAAGCTGGTGTTGTACTTCAACGGCAGGAGGGATTGTTCTCACACGGAGAGTGGCCTCTTGCCAGCAGCTCAGAAGTGAACATAATAAAAGCAGAAATACTGCGGAGTAGTCATAATATTAACTCAGATAACAATAGGTGGCTTGAGCCTTGTTGAGAGACGCGCTGAGAACTGATAGCATGGACAATCTGGACGGCAAATGTGTTCCTCTGAAAGACCACCAAATATTAGGGTACAAAAATAAAACCTCAGAGATTTGGGAGCTATGCCATCATAGTAATTTTACTATTTATACCCCACACATCTTACTGGGTTGCTCCAGCCACTCTGGGAGGCTTCCAACATAAAAACATAATAAAACATTAAACATTAACAAAATACCCTTCCTTATACAGGGCTGCCTTCAGATGGCTTGGGGATTGCACAACTCCATATCTTCCAACATTTTTCTGATGAGAATAGGGTAATCCTAAGGAAAAGCGGGACATTCCAGGATCAAATCAGAAACCAGGACGGCTTCTGTAATTCTAGGACACTTAGATAAAGGTGAAGGGTGAGGGGACCCCTGACCATTAGGTCCAGTAGCCGACTCTGGGGTTGCGACGCTCATTTCGCTTTATTGGCCGAGGGAGCCGGAGTACAGCTTCCAGGTCATTTGGCCAGCATGATTAAGCCGCTTCTGGCGAACCAGAGCAGCGCACGGAAATGCAGTTTACCTTCCTGCCGGAGCAGTACCTATTTATCTACTTGCACTTCGACGTGCTTTCGAACTGCTAGGTTGGCAGGAGCAGGGACCGAGCAACGGGAGCTCACCCCATCGCGGGGATTCGAACCGCCGATCTTCTGATCGGCAAGTCCTAGGCTCTGTGGTTTAACCCACAGCGCCACCCGTGTCCCTCTAGGACACTTAGATAGGAGCCTCCTAACAATTCTCAGCACCCTTAACAAACTACCCTTCCCAGAATTCCCTGGGGGACGCCATTACTGTTAAAGGTGCCGAGAGCTGCACTTTCCATCGTGGTTTAATCATAGAATCATAGAGTTGGAAGAGACCACAAGGGCCATCGAGTCCAACCCCCTGCCAAGCAGGGAACACCATCAGAGCACTCCTGACATATGGTTGTCAAGCCTCTGCTTAAAGACCTCCAAAGAAGGAGACTCCACCACACTCCTTGACAGCAAATTCCACTGTCGAACAGCTCTTACTGTCAGGAAGTTCTTCCTAATGTTTAGGTGGAATCTTCTTTCTTGTAGTTTGGATCCATTGCTCCGTGTCCGCTTCTCTGGAGCAGCAGAAAACGACCTTTCTCCCTCTTCTATGTGACATCCTTTTATATATTTGAACATGGCTATCATATCACCCCTTAACCTCCTCTTCTCCAGGCTAAACATGCCCAGCTCCCTTAGCCGTTCCTCATAAGGCATTGTTTCCAGGCCTTTGACCATTTTGGTTGCCCTCCTCTGGACCCGTTCCAGTTTGTCAGTGTCCTTCTTGAACTGTGGTGCCCAGAACTGGACACAGTACTCCAGGTGAGGTCTGACCAGAGCAGAATACAGTGGCACTATTGCTTCCCTTGATCTAGATGCTATACTCCTATTGATGCAGCCCAGAATTGCATTGGCTTTTTAGCTGCCGCGTCACACTGTTGGCTCATGTCAAGTTTGTGGTCAACCAAGACTCCTAGATCCTTTTCACATGTACTGCTCTCAAGCCAGGTGTCACCCATCTTGTATTTGTGCCTCTCATTTTTTTGCCCAAGTGCAACACTTTACATTTCTCCCTGTTAAAATTCATCTTGTTTGTTTTTGCCCAGTTCTCTAATCTGTCAAGGTCGTTTTGAAGTGCGATCCTGTCCTCTGGGGTGTTAGCCACCCTCCCAGTTTGGTGTCATCTGCAAATTTGATCAGGATGCTCTTGAGTCCATCATCCAAGTCGTTGATAAAGATGTTGAATAAGACCGGGCCCAAGACAGAACCCTGTGGCACCCCACTAGTCACTCTTCTCCAGGATGAAGAGGAACCATTGATGAGCACCCTTTGGGTTCGGTCAGTCAGCCAGTTACAAATCCACTGAGTGGTAGCATAGTCCCTCTTCCTAGGGAACTCTGGGAACTGTAATTCTGTGAGGGGAAAAGGGCGTCTACTGACTACTCTCAGAGCCCTTCGCAAGCTAAAGCTCCCAGAATTCTTTGGCAGAAGCCACAACTGTTTGAAGCTCTTCAAATATGTGGCGTGTTTGTGGCCTAACTTAGAGCCATCATTTTAATGGCTCTATTCTGGGTAGAACTTAGTTGGACACAACACTTTGTTTAGTCACGTCAGTGGGGGCTTGTTTCACATTGACATACGCAAGCCTATATGTTTATATATAAATATATTTACAGAGGGCGACCAATGCATTTGGGAGAGATGCAGAAACACACAAGAGGCAGGGAAGGCCAGTACTGGGACTGGAAAACAGAGGGAATTAACATTAAACATTGAAGCGGCAATTACTGTTGCTTAACACACAGTGAAATTGTCAAATGTTTCGCTAGACCGAGAGCACCGCGTTCATTTCAAAGTTTGCTGGAGGTGTAATTTCGCGGCAGGCTAGAAATGCGTCTGTCCCCCTTTCGGCTGAAAAACTTTACTAGTCTCTCCCAAAAACAGGGTTTCCAATAGTGAAGATCTGGACAAAGTTGTTGAGGTGTTTTTTTTTGGGGGGGGCGGTCCTTTGCTTTCCCCCCATTTTTTAAAAATAAAAAGTAGCACTACTTGCCATATGTCCAGGTTTCCCCTGACATTATGCCAATTCCCAGACATGTCAGGAAAGACCTAGACACATGGCAGCCCCACCAAAACTCTCACTTGGGGTGGAATTTGGCAGCAATTCTATTTTTAAATGTTATTTATTGTCACACACAGTTCCTCAAAAAACAGCCGTAGTTTTTCTTTTTGGGGGTGGGGGTGGAGGAGGGATACAAAGTTGTTTTGACAGGACTAGCCAAAAGATCTTTCCCCCTTCACATCTGAAGTAGGCATCTTATTTTATCACCCCTTCCCCACTTATCTTCCCTGTCAGCTCAAACATTTTTCTCCTCAGCCCCCCGGGCTGCATCTCATGTGTTTTGAAACCATGACAAGAGAATTTGCAAGAGCAGTCCAGGGTGTGTGAAAATGCTTTCCTAACAGTAGTTTGAACATATTTGGTATGATTCATTTGTTAATTCTACAAATGGCCTCAAAAAAAAGAGAAAGTCTTCTTTCCTGCTACAAATACAGTCAAGAGCCACCCTGAATTCCTTCGTTTGCTGCTTCTGTGGGGAAAATAAATAATAATGCCTAGTGTTAATCTCCGGGCCTTTTTTTATTTACAAAATGGCATGTCCACTAAGTACAATATATTTTGCTTTAGAAATAAAATCTGGAGCTGCAAGGAGCATCGCCAAAGGCACGTACTACTATGTTATGCTGAAAACATTTCTGCTAAGTATCGTATGCATTTGCTTTGCTTAATGGAAATTATAGCAAAGTGTAACTCAAAAGATATGCTGAAAGGCACATTTCACTTCTGGTAAACCGAAGGCACAAGCGGGGAACAAGATAACCTGCCTGCAGTCCTTTGACTTCTCCCCACATCCAACCGCTGCCACCCCCAAACCTACTTCACCGAAATAACAGAATCCAGCCCCAACGTTGACCACGAACATTTCATGCCAAGCTCCAACTAGAAGGAACCGGGCAGCGTCTCATCAGGAAAAGGCAAAGCTCTTTTCACCAGTGAAGACTGACAGGCCGCAAGAGAAACCGCCCACCTCTTGTCATTTTATTTCCGATAGATTCCTAGATAATGCATTTGATAGAATTACTGGAAACGCTTCTAGGGATGGAGACCCAGTCTAGACGTTTCGGTCACCACGGAGATCAGCATCCTCCCCTGGGCAAATTCTCTCCTTAATCCCAGCCATATTGTCTGCTGGAATGCCCTGTGTGAGTCAGGACTGTCTTGGAGATGCGTTTCCCTGCCCATAATCCACACTGCTTACGGCTTGCCAGCTGGGCAAAGGAAACTCACAACGCTGTGGCCTAGCTTCAACCTTAACTGCACTGTGACTGAGCATCACATGCTAACTCCCAACAGCTTTAAGGTGGGATCAGTTGCCGGAAATTGCTGCAGGGATTCGAGGCCTTGAAGGAGCAATTTATAGAGTCATACGTCGGGTTGTGAATGTGATCTGTGCAGGATGCACATTCGCAACCCGCAGCGGCGCGTCTGCACACGTGCGGGTTGCGATTCAGTGCTTCTGTGCATGCGCAAAGCGCGGTTTAGCACTTCTGCGCAAACGCGGCCCCTGAAACCCGGAAGTAACCCGTTGGGGTACTTCCAGGTTTTGGCGGGTCCGTAACCCAAAAAAATGCAGCCTGAAGCATCTGTAACCCGAGGTATGACTGTACTGGGATAGCCACCATCGTGCTCTGTGGATGCTACTGGACTCCTGACTCCCATCAGACCTTGGTTCAATGGCCAGGGGTGATGGGAGATGCATTTGAGCAATATCTGGAGCAGGCATAGGCAAACCCCAGCCCTCCAGATGTTTGGGACTACAATTCCCATCATCCCTGACCACTGGTCCTGTTAGCTAGGGATGATGAGAGTTGTAGTCCCAAACATCTGGAGGGCCGGAGTTTGCCTATCCCTGATCTGGAGGGACTCAGATGTCCCCTAGCTGCCCAAAGTGGCAACCCAGCCAGACGGACAGGTTATAAGTTATAAACTATTATTATTACCCTTACATGGGAGTGACCCAGTCCCAGAGCTCAGAACCCTGGCAAAACATTAACCGGGTAGCCAAAGCAGTGCCCTCTGTTTTGTTTAACAACAATCCCCATCGTCCCCGATCACCATGGACAGCGGTCAGGGATGATGGGAGCTGGAGTCCATCAACAGATGGAAGACGTATCACTTTGGCTCTCCCCAACAGATGCCAATAAATCTGCGTCAGTAATGTGACCCTGCCTCCTTAGGTGGTGGAAAAGGTGGAAAGAGGTGTTGCGGTTGTCATTTTTTTAAATAATAAAACTGGTTGCAGTGCAGCAGGAAATATAGCTTGCGGTTAGGGTAGGACAGTGGTGGCGGGAACCATTTTCAGCCCAAGAGGCTGAAGGGCCAATGGTAGAAGGGCCAATGGACCTGACTCTTAACTTTTGTTATTATAGGCTACATTCCAGCTGCACAAGTCAGAGGTATCTGTACACAGCTCTCCCTCCATCCAGGCAAACAAGGGGCAGATTCCAGCCAGGCAAAAGCACTTAAGGTGCAGAGCAGGGCCGGTGAGGGGTGTGCCCTGTTTGGGCTGGGGGAGGAATCCTAAGGGCCAGAGATAGAGAGCTGGCAGGCCACATTTGCCCCCAGGACCAGGGGTTCCCCACTCCTGGGCTGGAGCAAAAATAGGAAACAAAGGGCCAGTTAGCGTTTAGGCCACTCTGCACACTGATGAATACTACGTGAACCTTGACACAGGAAGTACCCAAATAACTAGGTCAGGCATCCCCAACCTGCGGCCCTCCAGATGTTTTTGCCTACAACTCCCATGATCCCTAGCTAACAGGACCAAGTGGTTAGGGATGATGGGAATTGTAGTCCAAAACATCTGGAGGGCCGAAGGTTGGGGGTGCCTGATATAGGTACTTCCTGGAGCTTCTGACTGACAGACAGAAGCTGTGCCTGAGACCCGGAGGTAAATGTTAGAGAGACAATCAGGGATTGACAAAGGGGCACAAGCAATGGCATAAAAAGGGATGGCGAGAGAAGCTTGGGTGACTCTCTTGACTTGGATCCCGGTGGAATTTCTAAGGGGGACTTGCTTTGTTGCATTGTTGGTTATCCACTGAGATCGGGGCTGACAATCTAGCTACCTTCCCCAGTGGAAGATTGTGTCTTTGGAAGAGTAAGAAACCTTTATTTTCACCTATTTTTTATCTGCTTCTGCGAAGTCTGGGCAGGGTCAGGGTCACACTGTGGGTGCGTCCTCGATAAAGCTTTTGTTCAATTTTTGCAACTCAGTCGTCTTCGCTGCACCAGTTTGGTTTGGCCGGTGGATAAATCCGCAGGACTAGGGAAGTTGAACGGATAGGCTGTGGGGATACTCGCAGTTCAAGTCCTGGCAGCTCCTTAAAAAGACCATAAAATCTGATGTTTGGGCAAGCCAGCCGTCATGATTCTAATATCTAGATTGTTTCAAAAGCACACTTAGATGCAGATCACGACGATGTATTGTGACCTAGCTTGCAGTGGGTGGCCTTTAATGCTTAAGAATTACAACCAGATAGTTCTCATTGTCCAACAATATTTTGCGGCTTAGATAAGGTGCCCCTTAGTGCAGGTACCAGTATACCCACCAGTACCTCCATAAAGGTCTCCATAAATATCACCTCAAAAATTCTCTTTGACCTCAGCTCCCGTGTGTGCTGGCTCAGCCTCCTCTACACTGGACATGCCCCCTTAAAACATGACATTTCACTGGGTGGTAGGATTGGATGCCTACCCTGTGTGGCGTCTTCTTCCCTATTGATGGGATGGCTGGCTGGCGGTGGGGTAGGCCCCCGCCATTTTGTGACCCTGTTTCGTATTCATCTGTCTAAGAAGTGGCAGCCATTACGCCACACTACCGCAGCAGCCATTTTGTGCTATGTCACCTCCCACCCAACGGCTGCCATTTTGTGACGGGCACCCACGGCACTTTCTCGGCATTCCAAATGGGCCCACTGAGGCCTTCCTTGGCGGAATTAAGGGAGGACCAATGCTCTTGACCAGGCATAGGCAAACTCGGCCCTCCAGATGTTTTGGGACTACAACTCCCATCATCCCAAGCTAACAGGACCAGTGGTCAGGGACGATGGGAGTTGTAGTCCCAAAACATCTGGAGGGCCGAGTTTGCCTATGCCTGCTCTTGACTTGGGTCTCTCGGTAGCCAGGAGTCAAAGGACCAACAAAAGGGGAAGAAAAAAAGAGGGAAAATAATAGTAAGCGTTGGCAGTGATACCCTTTGGTCCAGAGTGTGTGGGGAGCCACTAAGTTAGCCTAATGCTTGATCACACTATTAGGAAGAACAGTTTTTGTGTGTTTGTGCACTCCGGTTTCCTTGATTTAGAACGGAGACAGTGAAAAACAGCCAACTGTGGGCGCAGTCGGCGTTGTTTAGAAGCAGATACAATCGCAGGACGTGGATTGGATTCAGAAACGGAACTTGAGTAGATGTTGACAGATTTACTGCTCTCTCCCCGCAGCTTGTTTTGGCTGTCAAGGTTGGCTCTCCATTTTCACACGCGGCACGCAGCGCAGGCCCAGATGCGCGTGTGCGCACGGCCGCTTGTTTACAACAATGGGAGGAGGAGTGATGGAATCCTGAAACATCCTTCGGCCTCGTCGCATGCGATGGAAGCAGGCACGGCACCTTCCGTGGTTTCCTATCGCTGTGGGAACAGGCTGGTTTTCAGTCGCTGCGGGCCACAGTCATCACAGGATGGGTTCTGTGCCGTTCCAATCGACGACGGCGCCTTTCCACCTAAAGGCAAAGCAGAATTGTTTACTTTGATGGGTTTTAAGGTGGAATAAGCTATGGTTTTCCCAGTAGTGATGTATGGAAGTGAGAGCTGGACCATAAAGAAGGCTGATCGCTGAAGAATTGATGCTTTTGAATTATGGTGCTGGAGGAGACTCTTGAGAGTCCCATGGACTGCAAGAAAAACAAACCTATCCATTCTTAAGGAAATCAGCCCTGAGTGCTCACTGGAAGGACGGATCCTGAAGCTGAGGCTCCAGTACTTTGGCCACCTCCTGAGAAGAGAAGACTCCCTGGAAAAGACCCTGATGTTGGGAAAGGTGGAGGGCACAAGGAGAAAGGGACAACAGAGGACGAGATGGTTGGATAGCGTTCTCGAAGCTACCAGCATGAGTTTGACCAAACTGCGGGAGGCAGTGGAAGACAGGAGTTCCTGGTGTGCTCTGGTCAATGGAGTCACGAAGAGTCGAACACGACTAAACGACTAAAAAACAACAACAAAGGTGGAATTACCACAAGACTGGTGAGGACCGGTTGAAGGAGAAATTAACAGCTGACCGTGAAAAGCAACATGCAGCTGGAAAAACAACAAGCCTCCTGGGGCTTCCAGCAACTGGTATTCAGAAGCATGACCTGCCTCTGGCTCTCCTCCCTTTGAGGTTTTGAAGCAGAGATAATAATAATAATAATAATAATAATAATAATAGTTTATTTATACCCCACCCTCCCCAGCCAAGACCAGGCTCAGGGCAGCTAACACCAGGTATAAAAACAATGGATTAAAATACAACTTAAAAACAAGGTTAAAGTACAACATTAAAATGCAGCCTCATTTCAGTGGAAACTCAAATCAAAAACTTTTGGGGGGATGAAGACGTCAAGTCTTCACCAAGGCCAACTATCCAGACTGGTCCTACGTGGGCCAGAAAAAAAGCCAGGGAAATCCCCAAATAGGAGTTCCACCACAGAAGGAGAAAGGAAAAAGGAAAGAGGGGGAAGGGATCACGTTGATTCCAAGCCAAAGGCCAGGCGGAACAACTCTGTCTTACAGGCCCTGCGGAAAGAAATCAGATCCTGCAGGGCCCTGGTCTCTTGAGACACAGCGTTCCACCAGGCCGGAGCCAGTGTTGAAAAGGCCCTGGCTCTGGTTGAGGCTAATCTGACTTCCTTAGGGCCCGGGACCTCTAGGGCATTGCTATTTATGGACCTTTATGGATGCTTTAGCTGAGATTCCTGCATTGCAGGGGGTTAGACTAGATGACTCTTGGGGTACCTTCCAACTCTACAATTCCACGAATCTATGATGCCAGAGCATAGCCGTCATGGTTGACATCCGTCAACAGCCCTCTCCTCCTCTGTGAGCTCAGCCAGTCTTCTTTCAAAGCCATCTAAGTTGCTGTCCATCACTGCCTCCTGTGGACGTGAGTTCCACAGTTTAACAAAGTGCTGCGTCCAGAAGTACTTTATTTTTGTCTGCCCCGAATGTCCAGCCTTCAGCTTCCCTGGACGTCAGGGCTAGAATCGGCATTTTAAGCAAAACAAGCACGTGCTCAGGGCATCGAGGGAAGGGCGGCACCCCAGATATTTTCCCATTGCCGGATTTACCATGGACTGTATCACAGAGTTGTGGGGCTGGAAGGGACACCAAGGGTCATCTAGTCCAACCCCCTGAAAATACAAGAATCTCAGCTGAACAAAAATAATGGCGCAGCTGAACAAAAATAAACGTTATTTTATACAAATACACCAAAATGAGCATTATTTCCCCTCTTACTGTAGGTTTCGTTTCATTTCGAAAAATCAAATTTTATTTTAAGCTTTATTGTTGTTTATATTTCGAATCAGATATATACAGGGGCACCAAAATCTTTTAAGCACTTAGGACAGGGGTCGGCAAACTTTTTCAGCAGGGGGCCAGTCCACTGTCCCTCAGACCTTGTGGGGGGCCGGACTATATTGGGGGGGGGGGGAGAGAACAAATTCCTATGCCCCACAAATAACCCAGAGATGCATTTGAAATAAAAGGACACATTCCACTCATGTAAAAACATGTTGATTCCCGGACTGTCCGCAGGCCGGATTTAGAAGGCGATTGGGCCAGATCCGGCCCCCGGGCCTTAGGTTGCCTACCCATGACTTAGGACCTCTAAAGGACTTAATCTGGCCTTGCTAGATGTCTACAAATTCTAGTTTCATGAGAGAGGGAGGGAAAAAAGCTTCTCTTTTTCCACGCCCTGCTACCATCCTGTCGCCTCTCACTCGCCTTACATAACGGAACTGTTGTTCCTGAGTTGAGAATTAAGATTCTGCGACTGAATGAGGCGGGCAAACCCTCTCAGGAGGAGAGCTTCGGCCCAACGATGTCACATGAACCGCCATTACAATGGGAGCTCATCAGCAAATGCTTCCTGCCCGTGGCCTTCACAAAAATACCCCGAGGCTTGAATCAGCCTCGACCGATTGTTCTCTTAAGGAGCCTTTTGACAGTCGTGTTTATTTATGGCTATGACTTCAAAGGAGCTCCAGCGAGGAGCCAGAATCGTTGAAATACACTTGGGAGTTCAATGGAGAGTCAATTCTCGCTTCTAAAAGCTTTTGTAACAGCACAGGTTTGCCGCCTTAATTGACTCGGGAGTCAGTCCGGGAATGGCAACAGCACAACTTGTTTAACTTCTTTTATGTCCTCCAAACACGTATCTGTTTTTTAAAAGACACAGAGGCCTCTCCGGGTCTCTGTTCTTCCCACTGTAACTCCGCACACAGATGTTGTAGAAACTTGGGTCTCCCACTGTTTTGGGACTACAATTCCCATCATCCACAGCCGCTGGTCCTGCTAGCTAGGGATGATGGGAGTTGTAGTCCAAAAACAGCTGGCGACTCAAGTTTGGGAAACCCTGTTGCAGATCATGCAGCTTTTGCCTTGCGTGTTTGCTTGGTTTTTGCTTCTTCATAAGTTGTTTTGAATGTGCAAATAAACGGGATGAAGGAATCGTATGACTTCTTTGATTTCCACTACGTATTTGTAGGGTCAGATGATTATCCTGAACCTATCTTCTGATAGACAACCTAGACAGCATCTTAAAAAGCAGAGACATCACCTTGCCAACAAAGGTCTGTATAGTTAAAGCTATGGTTTTCCCAGTAGTGATGCATGGAAGTGAGAGCTGGACCATAAAGAAGGCTGATCGCTGAAGAATTGATGCTTTTGAATTATGGTGCTGGAGGAGACTCTTGAGAGTCCCATGGACAGCAAGAAGATCAAGCCTTTCCATTCTGAAGGAAATCAGCCCTGAGTGCTCACTGGAAGGACAGATCCTGAAGCTGAGGCTCAAGACTTTGGCCACCTCATGAGAAGACTCCCTGGAAAAGACCCTGATGCTGGGAAAGATTGAGGGCACAAGGAGAAGGGGACAACAGAGGACGAGATGGTTGGACAGTGTTCTCAAAGCTACCAGCATGAGTTTGACCAAACTGCGGGAGGCAGTGGAAGACAGGAGTGCCCGGCGTGCTCTGGTCCATGAGGTCACGAAGAGTCGGACACGACTAAACGACTAAACAACAACAGCAATCTTCTGATTTTGTCTGTACAGACCTTGACTAAGATGGAACAGTGGTGGCACAGATTCACATCTCTAGCTATATATATGCCGACTTGGAAACTTTGAACCTAAGGGGCCTTATGCTGCACTTGTGTGAGGAGCCAATCTCTTTCATTGTGGCATCTCTGGAACTCCCTGCCACAATGAAAGAGATTGTTCTTTAGTTTGTAGTTCTTTAGTTTGTAGTAGCTATTATAAAGAAAAGCAGTTATGCTTCACAGCTAGCTTCCGCGTTATTTATACTTTGCACGAGTCTGGTGCTCACAATGCACAGTTGTGGGTCCAGTACACTGGGACCTGCTTTCCAGAACTGGAAGGTCTCTGAAAGTGCTCCAGTGGCCTAGCCCGGTCAAAGCAGAACCAGTTGTTAAGCCCAGTCGCTGACATCGGTTGAAAGGCGTACTGACAGGTGGGAGTTGTAGTCTGACAACCTCTGGAGGGTACCAGGTTGTGGGGAGGCTGCCTTGGGATATCTCCGTCGGTAGTGCATGAGACTCTTAGCCCCACGTTGAGCAAAAGATGCCTCCATTGCAAGGGGGCTGGACTGGAACCTTTGCATTCCAGAGATATGCATCCAAGCCAAGGGAATTCCAGGAGAGGCAGGCCTCAGGAGTTAACAAAATAATACAGCTGCCTTAGAGATCACGGCGAGATCAAAGTTGCAGCCTACCCTTCGGCAGAGCTAACAGAAGTTATTTCCTCTTGCTGGAGACAGTAAACAACAGGAGGATCAGGAGCGTGATATGAGCCTCTCTCTCCCTCTCTTTTTTATTCCTTGGGGCGATGGAATACATTACGGCCACATGACATTCCGGGGGGGAAACTCCAGAAAGGCACATTCCTTTCGTCTCTCGGATCAGAACTGAGCTTCTCGCACAGGTGATGGGAGTTGCAATGCAGTCTGAGGCTGGAAGCAGCACGAGGAAGGGGTGTGGGTTCGTGTCTCCCAGATTTTCATTTCATACATGTCAGAGGAGGACAACAGGAGACACCCCAGCAGTAGGGTTTGCTCTTAGGGATTTGCAACACATTTAAAAACATAGGGTATACCAAATCCACTGAAATCAATGAGCCTAAATAGTCAGGCCTACTAAATTAGTCAAATGGGATGCGGGTGGCGCTGTGGGTTAAACCACAGAGCCTAGGACTTGCCAATCAGAAGGTTGGCGGTTCGAATCCCTGCGACACAACCCCAGAGTCGGTCACGACTGGACCTAATGGTCAGGGGCCCCTTTACTAAATTAGTCACACATCAGAGTAGGACTAGCATGGAATGCCACCCATAAAAATGACAACATCACACCGTTTATGAATTCACACAAAATAACAAAACGTTTCGTTAATCCTCCATGGGTAAGGTAAAGGTAAAGGGACCCCTGACCATTAGGTCCAGTCACGGACGACTCTCGGGGTTGCGGCGCTCATCTTGCTTTACTGGCCGAGGGAGCTGGGGTACAGCTTCCGGGTCATGTCGCCAGCATGACTAAGCCGCTTCTGGCGAACCAGAGCAGTGCACGGAAACGCCGTTTACCTTCCCACCGGAGCGGTACCTATTTATCTACTTGCACTTTGTGCTTTCGAATTGCTAGGTTGGCAGGAGCAGGGACCAAGCAACGGGAGCTCACCCCGTCGCGGGGATTTGAACCGCTGACCTTCTGATCGGCAAGCCCTAGGCTCTGTGGTTTAACCCACAGCGCCACCCATGTCCCAATCCTCCATGGAAGGACCACACAAAACATTCATTGCGCAAGGATTCCCCCATTGCCATCAGATCCATGCTGGAGGAAAAACAGTGCCTGTTGAATTTCTGGCTGTCATGCAACTGTTAAAAGCACAGGAGCCCTGCCAAGAGAAAAATAGTCCCTTGTAGAGGAGTGGAGAGAGTTGGTGTGTCATCTGCACATGAACTGTGAAGGCTGAATATTTGGGTAACATATCAGATAAGTTTTCGGATGTTCTGAAGAGGAACCCCAATTGGCTGCTGGTCACATTAAAGGTAAAGGTAAAGAGACCCCTGACCATTAGGTCCAGTCGTGACTGACTCTCGGGTTGCGGCACTCATCTCGCTTTATTGGCTAAGGGAGCCGGCGTACAGCTTCCGGGTCATGTGCCCAGCATGACTAAGCCGCTTCTGGCAAACCAGAGCAGCGCACGGAAATGCTGTTTACCTTCCCGCTGGAGTGATACCTATTTATCTACTTGCACTTTGAAGTGCTTTCGAACTGCTAGGTTGGCAGGAGCAGGGACTGAGCAACGGGAGCTCCCCGTCGTGGGGATTCGAACCGCCAACCTTTTGATCAGCAAGTCCTAGGCTCTGTGGTTTAACCCACAGCGCCACCCGCGTCCCTCTGGTCGCATTATCTCTGGCCAAACAAGTTAGCCAGGTTTTTGAAGCATTTAAAAAACCCTTGAATGTGTTTGAACAGAGATTCCAGCAGGACAAAGATAAATACATAAACGAAAGTGTGTGTTTGCAGACGACACTTATTTTATCTAACCTTCTGAAAATCCACCACCTGGAAATTATAAAAGTGTAAGGAAAAGAGAGTCTAAGGGAGGAGGGGGACAATTAGGCAGGTGTATTAGCAACAAAACAGGTTGTGATGTTTGAACAAAGGCTTTAATGGCAGCTGAAAAGACTCCTCACGTTCTCTGAAAATCGCACATAGGCTGCAGATAACGCCTTTTGCTAAGCAGCGTGCAATTTAGCTGGCATTGTTGGGAGACGTAGAACTGAGAGATGCCACCTGCATTTTCGGCCTGCAAGGCTTCCCAACTACCATCTGACTATGAAGTCCTACCAAAGGGACTAATTGACTGCAAGCACGTATCTGGCACTGAAGACATGCAACTTGCTTGAAAAAATATGAACATGACAAAATAATTCTGGTAAGTGGAAGAGAAGATGATTAAGAAGAGTTTGGATTTGATATCCCACCTTTCACTCCCCTTAAGGAGTCCCAAAGCGGCTAACAATCTCCTTTCCCTTCCTCCCCCACAACAAACACTCTGTGAGGTGAGTGAGGCTGAGAGACTTCAGAGAAGTGTGACTAGCCCAAGGTCACCCAGCAGCTGCATGTGGAGGAGCGGGGAAGCGAACCTGGTGCACCAGATTACGAATCTACCACTCTTAATCACTACACCACGTTGGCTCTCCCTTCCCTAATGCTGGATTTCACCTACTTGGTCCGAATGCAGTGTTCCAGCGGTGGGATGAGGTCATTATCCTTTCCTTCGATGTAAGGCTGTGAGGTATCTACAGGGGAAAAATCAGGCATCCATTAATGTTGCATGTGAGTGGATCAAGCATACTTAACGGCTGCACGATTACTTTGTTATATTATGTTTGGATACCTGTGCAGAAATAAGTCTTTTGCTTTACAGCAAAATTTCTTTAGGCCCAGTGTTTTGGTCAAGACCACACCCAGTCTTAACCTGAAGAAAGGCTGACTCAAATCATCCTTCAGTCTCATCTTACTTAGGCTGCTGATTTTTTTGGTTGCATCCTTGCCTGTGCACCAGGATATGTGCAAATTTATCGCTTTCTTGTTTCTATTTCCATTGTCGTTTCGTTAGAATAATGCACATTTTCCTGGTGGTGCTATGGGGCCTCTTAAACTTGACTTGGCTTGGGATTCCAGCATGTTTTTTTGTTTTTTTTTTTGGTATAATTTTTATTAAATTTTCTGTTTTACAATTTGGAATATTCATTTAAACAACCTTAAAATGTCAGTGACTTCTCTTCTTCTCTTTCCATGGTTCATTTTGCATATCATAAATCCCTGCATATTTTACATAAACAAAACCATTCAGTATTCCATTATTACATCCATCAAAACTTGTTTACACTGTTGAATTTATCTTAATGCTGCCGACGTTTTCAAGTGTACACAATTTCCCCCATATAATAAATAAACATGTTTCAATTTCCTTTATTCTTGTTCTTCTTGTTCTCTTATTCTATATGTTAGGTCTTAAAGTTGCACATATTCCATTAGTTTAAGTTGCCAACACTCTTTAGTTGGGACCTCGTTCATTTTCCATTTTTTGGCTAACAAAACATGGGTCGCAGTAGTGGCATACATAGGGGGGTAAAGGGGACCCATGACCATTAGGTCCAGTTGTGACCAACTCTGGTGTTGCGGCGTTCATCTCGCTTTATTGGCCGAGGGAGCCGGTGTACAGCTTCCGGGTCATGTGGCCAGCATGACTAAGCCGCTTCTGGCAAACCAGAGCAGCGCACGGAAACGCCGTTTACCTTCCCGCCTATTTATCTACTTGCACTTTGATGTGCTTTCGAACTGCTAGGTTGGCAGGAGCAGGGACCGAGCAACGGGAGCTCACCCTGTCACGGGGATTTGAACCGCCGACCTTCTGATCGGCAAGTCCTAGGCTCTGTGGTTTAACCCACAGCGCCACCCGCATCCCTTTTAGTGGCATACATATACAACCTTTTTTGGCACCTGGGAATTTCCACCTGAATTATCTCCAACAAAAAGAACTCTGTGTGTGTTTTTTGAAAAGTACTTGGTTCCAGCATGTCTGAATCTGGCCCTGTTGCTGTGTTCTAAAAGGAATTTCCCCTTTCCTATCTTCGGGCTGGAGAAATCTGATTGTCCCTTTGACAGAGGAACTGGGTGTAGAAAAAGCAGGGGTGGGATTCACACCCCACCCTCTGCAGGACATGGGCCTTGGGGGCAACATTTTGGGGGCGCCTTTGTTGAGCGTGACCAGAGGCAAAAGCAAGCAGAGCAGCAACTGCGACCCCTGAAATGCAGGCATCTTTTGCCCAACACGGGACTTGAACCCGCAACCCTATGATTCAGAGTCTCATGCTCTACCGACTGAGCTATCAAGCCAGAGGTTTCTAGACATAAACATCTCTCCATCACCCAGGTAAGCAAGTGGCAGCTTCAGAATTCAAAGACTTATCCCAGCCAGGCAAAAGCATTCTGTCTCTATAAAATCCTTCTCTCTTTTTCCAGGTGGAGCTTTAACTTCCTTGGTCAGTTTTCCTGAAAGTGCTGTAGCCCAACATTTTGGGGACATATGCAAATGTTAATAATAATAATAATAATAATAATAATTTATTTATACCCCGCCCTCCCCAGCCAAGACCGGGCTCAGGGTGGCTAACACCAGGTATAAAAACAATTGATTAAAATACCACTTAAAGATTCATCATGGTAATTGTTGTGCAAAGGGTGGGTGGATTTTTATCAGGATCATGGCTGGGGAGGGAAGGGTTAAGCATCCCCTCCCTGTGTGGTTGCAGTACGGAAAAGTATCGCACCCTCCGGCCAGGCAGGGAACTGGGACTTTTTAAAATAAAAGCCAGGCGGTTCTGCCAGCCACGAAACTGAAGCGCCATCTATTTGGGCCCTAAATTCGGGCCACTTCTGGCAATATGATAAAGGGAGAAAGAGGGAGGCAGGGCCCAGCCCTGGGGGGGTCAAATGCTTTTGGAAACCAGAAGGGAGGTGGGGGAGAATTTCAGAGCTCAGCACCAAATTCCACTCCCCTGCGGCTTCGTTTTCCCGTCGGCTGAACGACATCTCTCTGTTTCACAACACCCACTGCCTCTCTCCCCTGCCATTCCTCTATGAATAGAAGCCCACAGCTCTGGAGCTACTGGCAGCCGCGGTTGCCAGGATGGTTAGACGCGTGGGTGCATTTGGAATGAAAGCAAAGAGTTTTCCTCCGTTCAAACTGCGACGCGACAATACGCCGAAGAACAAGGAAAGGGCTGGAAAAGTTTGAGCCTTGCAGGTACCCTGGCAGCAGGCTGGGGGTGAAAAATGTAAAAAAAAGCCAGAGTTATGAAGGCGTCTAAAGTGAAACTTAGTACATGAACCACAGCTGCAGGAAGTCAACAGGAAGCAGCTTTTCTCAAGCTACGGACTACAATTCCCATCATCCATGACCACTGGGCTGGGGATGATGGGAGTTGTAGTCAACCACATGCCGGAACCCAAAGTTTAAGGAGTCCGGGATGGTAAATAAGGAGAGTTGACGGATGCCACCATGAAATTGCATCTGTTTTGAATGGTGATCCAGAAATAGGATTTTGCAAATTTCAAGACAGTGAGACTGAGCAATGCAATGTGGGAAGACTTTAAGCTAGGGGTTGCCAACTGTTTTCCCAATAGCCCCTGCTGCTGTGCTTGTAGCAACAGGTTGATGTGCAAGAATTAAGCAGGTGAGGCTCATTCCACAATTTCACCTGCTTTTTGTGTGAACTGGGATGATGTAAGGGAGTGAGTCCTTCAAACCAGAACTGAAGACCAGGATCAAATCATGGTTTGAAAAGCTGTCTTAAACCATAGTTTGCTGGCTCGCTCAAATGTAAAAGCAAACTGTGGTTTGATCAAACTTATTCAGCTGGGCATGCCAAGAGGGAAGAGAAGGGGAGGAATGGAGCTCACAGAACTTGTCCTTGCCTTCCAAAACATGGTTTGGAAAATCAGGGATGAGACGTCTGAAGGCACCCTAAGTCTCTTCATGAAATGCACGATTAAAAATCACACGCCCACCCCAGTTTCAATCTTTTGTTTGTCTCCCTACCGACGGTTAGACGGATCTCGTCTTGCTGATTGGCTAAGCCGTCGTAGTAATAGAGGTCAAACCGCCTCTCGGTTTTCCAGTCTGCGAGCAGATCCTTCCGCAAGCAGAAGAGCACGCTGAAATGGCTTTCGCTGCACACAACCCAGATTGGGAACTTGGGGGTCTTCAGGTAACAGCCAACCTGAGCAAAGAGGAGGGGAAAAAAGTGCACACATTTAGGACAAGGTTATATTTTCACAACTGGATAATGCCCGGAGGCTCTTTCAATCTTATTTTCACTGTGGAAGACCATAAGCATTTTAAGAAGTGGGAGGAAAGTCCCTTCAAATGTCGCTTCTGTTTCCTAGCAAAAATCACAATCATAATAATTTATTTATATTCCACTCATCTGACTGCATTGCCCCAGCTACTCGGGGTGGCTTCCAGCAAATTATTTTGCTAGGTGAGAACGTTCCTCTTCAACGTGATACTCTACAGCCTTTTAAATGTGTCTGTGGGAAGGAGGGCGTTATTGTTTTGCTGTTTTGCTTTACTTATTTACTGGTTTTTATTCCGTGAAGCGCCCTGACATCTTATGATGAAGGGCAGTTTATAAATCTAATAAAATAATAATAATAAAACCACAGTAAAACATCACACGTTAAAAACTCCCCTAAACAGGGCTGCCTTCAGATGTCTTCTAAAAGGCAGATAGTTGTTTATTTGCTTTTCTTTTTTTAAAAAAACTTTTTTTATTCAAAATTAAAACAAAACATATTATCCAGAAACTTATCATCCTTACTCCCCCCCATTTTCCTCCCTCCCCCCACCCTCCCACACAAAACCCACCCACCCCCACCCCCGACTTCCCTCAGTTCCAGTCTTTGATTTCTTTAAGAATGCTGTTTTCTGCTTGTTACACTGTTGTATAGATCCTCAAACTATTTAGCTGATTATTATCAATAAAAAAGTTTGTGAATGTTTATTCAAAGCCAGCCAAGGAGTTCCGTTCGCTTTGTTGCGTCTTCAAATACTTCAAAGGGTTCCCATTCATCTTTAAAGTCACAGTTATCCTTGTCCCGTAGCTTATATGTCAGTTTTGCCAGTTCTGCATAGTCCATCAATTTTTCTTGCCATGATTCTTTAGTTGGGGTTTCTTCAGTCTTCCATCCTTGTGCTATTAAAACTCTCGTGGCCGCTGTCACATACATGAAGTTATTTATTTCCTTGACATCTGGTGGGAGGGCGTTCCACAGGGAGGGCGCCACTACCGAGAAGGCCCTCTGCATGCTTTCCTGTAACTTCGCTTCTCGCAGGGAGGGAACCACCAGAAGGCCCTTGGAGCTGGACCTCAGTGTCCGGGCTGAACGATGGGGGTGGAGATTCTCCTTCAGGTCTACTGGGCCAAGGCCATTTAGGGCTTTCAAGGTCAGCACCAACATTTTGAATTGTGCTTGGAAATGTAGCAGCTTAATTCCATACTGCTGATGTGACATTTGAAAGCCTAGGCATTGTTGGCAAGGCCAGTTGGCAGCTCTTTGAGTGAGAAGGACCCGTGTTGTGAACAACATCAGACGAGCCCTGTTGAATCTGGCCAAAGACCCATCTAATCCATCATTGTGTTTTGCCATCCGAAGTTCTTGTGATTCCTAGCAGCTCAACACCACCACCTGTCTGGCCCAAAGGAAAAGGTGGGTGAACATTTGATCATATGTGGTGGAACTGTAAGGTGGTAAAAAGATTTTGGGAAATGATATATAATGAGTTGAAAAAAATGTTTAAAATAACCTTTGTTAAAAAGCCCGAAGCCTTCCTTTTAGGAATTCTAGGTGCCGAAATCCCAAATGAACAGAAAAGACTATTTATGTATGTGGTCACGGCTGCACAGATGTTATTGGCCCAGAGATGGAAAGAAGATAAAGTCCCTACCAGAGAAGAATGAAAGATGAAGTTAATGGACTATGCAGAAATGGATAAAATGACCAGAAGAGTCAGAATTAAGAAAGACCAAAATTTTAACAAGGAATGGGATTTTTTTTTAAAAAAACAACTTATCTTAAAGACCATTGTAAACAGTTAAAAGTAGGATAGGAATATCACTTGTAGTTTAAGGTTAATTCTGGACATAATGGAAGAGGTAAAAGGTTTGGATTATCATAAAAGATGCAGGAGGAATTGTTTAATAATAGGACCCACAAACTCCAGGAGATTCCTGTTTTTATGATTTATGCTTGATATATCTCTGCAAAATTTTAAGTTGAAAAACCAAATAAATATTTTTTTTAAAAAAAAGGTGGGTGAACATGCAGGTTATAACAGTGTAATAATAATTATAATAATAATTTTTATTTATATCCCGCCCTCCCCAGCCGAAGCCGGGCTCAGGGCGGCTAACAACAATCAAATAATCCAACATTCTAAAAACATCTCATTCTAAAAATTAATTAAAATCAAACTGATGGCAACCGTTAAGCAAAATTCTGTGCAGATTGCCAGAGGAGGGAGTCAGGCTGCGCCCTGACCAAAGGCCTGGCGGAACAGCTCTATCTTGCAGGCCCTGTAGGGAATAATAAAAAATATTTCAAAAGAAGAAGAAGAAGTGGGTGGTAGGAGCAGATTCAGAGGGGCTCTTGTCTGTGGGTCCCTTAACGAGTCACCATCAAATGCCCAATGATGCGGACCTTTGACGCCAGTTCTGAATGGAACAACTGCTTTCCAAACCCTGTGTCATTATAAGGCCACCTGACCTGCTTTCTTTTCGATTGAACAATTAGATAACCCTATTTCCACCCCCTCATTGGGGGGATAAACCATTCTCTGCTTCATTACTTTGATAATGACTATTTTTAAAGCCATTGTTCCAGACAATGGTTTGTTTGTTTGTTTGTTTCTTGGGTAAATTTTTGATTTGCGAACAGAGGCCCGCAGTTATAAATACGCCGTCAGAATTAAACAAAGAGAGAGAGAGAGCGCAAAAGGTAAATTTCAAAAGGGGGAAAGATAATATCGCAAGGATTTCCTTTCGAACGCATGCATATGGAAGCGTTTTGAAAAGCAAACAAGCCGTTCAGCTCTTTCCCACTCCAGAAGAAACAAATTCTCAAGAATGCCGTTTGATGTGAAATGAGAAACACATTGAAACATTTCTCCGGAGCGAAACCGCAAATGCCGCTCAATTAAAAGATTTTCAGACTTTCTAGCTTCAAGGAGCCTTTTCCACATCTATTTGTTCTTTAAAAACAGACGACAAAAACCCCCTCCATGACCAACACAGAATGCCTGTAACTTGCATAGCAGGGACAGACAGAAAGCAAGGCTGGAGCTACCGGTAGATTTTTGGGTGGTTTGCAGAACATTGTCAAATATCTCTGACTCTCCACAGTTTAACAAGAACAGCGAAGAAGAAGAAGAAGAAGAAGAAGAAGAAGAAGAAGAAGAAGAAGAAGAAGAAAGACCTCTGGATGCATTTGCCCAGAGTCTGATTGGCACCTCTCCTATGCCTGCAAATTTCATTCACTTTTGTAAAAACGGGATGGAAAGTTATATCCAAATAATGAGTCCAATTGGGAAAACACAGAGCAGCTCTGAAACAGATCAGGTTGTTTTGCAAAGCTACAGATATAGATGCATGTCACATCCTGTGGCTGGTGCCTAGCCATAGCCTACATATTTTCAAAGTTAAACTGTGGATAGCCAGCTTTCAAAATGCTATAGTTGTGCAGAGATGAACGAGGTATCAGATCAGAGCGCAGAACAAACCTTTCACCTCTTTTGATTGGTTCCAAGACATTCCCAGCAATCCACTGTTGTGGGGGAAATGGTGGGTCCAATATGATCAGAATAACTGCATACCTCACTGCCCTTCTGACCAATGGAACTCTTGCTTTATCTCATATGTCTGAGCAGTCGGTTTCATTTTTTTGGGGAAATGTCAACCTCTTTTACAATGGGGCCTCTTCAAAGGCATAGCAATTGCCAGCTCCCCAGGAGGAGTTCATGCCTGTTTGACTTTATTCCATGCTTCCAGGATGGTGAATCAATTCCTCTCAACAAGGTGACCCTGGTCACTGCGAGCACAAAAGTTCTTAACACCCAAAGGCATTTTGCCCCTTTGTTAGAGCTGAGAGGCAGAATCTTGCCTGTAGCTACTTAGAGGGGGGTGATAGGAATGAAGCCCAGACTGCTTCTCTGCCTTCAATGCTTGCAACATCCCAAAATGCAAATAGAGGGTGGGGAATCAGGTTATTGCCATGTTTTGCAAGATAAAAGGAAGGCATTACAGCAAACAAGGTGCCCCAACAAATTGCCAAGGAGGTTACACTGGATAGTGCAGAGAAGGGAGCTAAAAATGAGGAGGAGGGATGGATGGAATTCAAAGACTATTTAGTTAAATATGTTAAGATAGCTTAATTGGAAAAGCTTGCAAATTCCAGATAGGCTTAGGATTTAATTTTGTGATTTTAGAGAACAATATCTTTAAAGTCAAAATGAAAACAAAGTAAGAGTTTAAGTGATTAAGTTAATTTTATGAGAAAATAGGTTTTGGAAAATTGTTACCATGATATACACTGAAATGCAGCCAGGGGGATTTGAGGAAGTCACTTAACAATGTTACTAAGATTGGATCAAGTACAGTTAAGGTGTATGTGTGTGTGTTTGTTTGTTTGTTTAAAATTTTGGAAAACCAATTTTTTTTTTTGAATAATAATAATAATAATAGCAATAATTTATTTCGTTTATGAATCACATCCTATGAAACATCTCAAAGCAATTTAGCATCAAAAACCCACATAACATGATTTCATATATGAGAAGAATTTCAAAACCGATACAGATTACAGGCTGGGTTAAAAAACAACACCACCTCTATTTGAAAGGCCTGTTGAAAAAGGATAGGTTTTGATAGGTGCTGTCAGGGAACTGCCATCGGAGCCAGGGGGAGAGGGAGGGCTCCAGAGGGATTCCGGAGAGCGTCCCGGGAGGGAGAGAAGCAGCACATCTTCTGGGGAAGGAAATCAGCGTAGCACCAGTGGAGAAGGGGGGCAGATGGGGGAATCGGCGAGGTGGCTCCATGACTCCTTGCCGGGGACCAGCGGGGAGAGCACGGGTCCTCCGCTGCCCACACCCTCCCTGCGCAGAAGGCTTCCGCGCAGGGAGAGTAGGCGGAGACTAGGCGTCAAAGAACTTCTTTGCTGGCAGAAGTTCAAGAAACGCCCACTGACGGATTCTGCCAGTGATTGAGACAGCCACAGGCGAGTGGCTGTCCGGACAGAAAGGGTTCACTCAGGCAACCCAGCCAGGTGTGGCGCCGATTTACGCACGAGCAACCCCTAGAACCATTACAGGTGCTGAAAAGACGCAATGCCTGCCTGAAGCAAGATGGGAGGGAGTTGCAAGTATTTGACATCAACACAGACCTTTTCCCTGCATCTGCAAAGCATTGCACACTGATTATCTCAGAATGCCTTTGGTACAAGAAACAGAAGCGACCTGGATTTTTTTTGGAGACCTTTTTCTTTGATGGTTCTCTTTTCCTTTTCTTTTATCCCACCTCCCTAGGTGGGATAAAAGAACTCCATCATTCTTTATGACATCCTCACCCCTGTACACATGCCCCACAATGCCCTGGAAGGATGCCGGGTCCGGGGCGTTGTGGAGGATGCAAAATGGCGTCCCGACACCACAGGAGTTGTCCCTGTCCCTTGCAGGGACGGCACAAAACGCAGTCAAACAAGGGCATGGAACCATTTCAAGTTTGATGTCCTTCTTCCCTCCTGACTGATCTTCTGAGGGCCACATACAGGTGTTGGATAGAGCCAAAGGTCAAAGTGTGTGGTGCAGGATAGAAGGCCAGGCTCTCAGCTTCCACACTGGCTATGCAGCCTCTGCTGAAATGCCACTGGCGAAGGTAAAGGTAAAGGGACCCCTGGCCATTAGGTCCAGTCGTGGCCAACTCTGGGGTTGCGGCGCTCATCTCGCTTTATTGGCCGAGGGAGCCAGCGCACAGCTTCCGGGTCATGTGGCCAGCATGACTAAGTCACTTCTGGCGAACCAGAGCAGCGCCCGGAAACGCCTTTTACCTTCCCGCCGGAGCGGTACCTATTTATCTACTTGCACTTTGACGTGCTTTCGAACTGCTAGGTTGGCAGGAGCAGGGACCGAGCAACGGAAGCTCATCCTGTCGCAGGGATTCGAACCGCCGACCTTCTAGTCCTAGGCTCTGTGGTTTAACCCACAGCGCCACCCGCGAAGGACAACCTGTTAAATTCCAAGGCAACCTGTTTCATGGCTGAACAGCTGTTAGGTCTCTCCCAATCTTCAGGTGAAATACGCTTCCTTGCCATTTCCATTCCACTAGCTCTAGCCCTCTGGGGCAACAGAGAACATGTCTTCTCCATATTCTACCTTGACAGATACTGGAATACACCTGCCACACCGACCGTTAACCTTTCCACTTCCCAGGCTGAACATATCTAGTTTTTTCAACTGGTCTTCACAGGAAATGGCTTCCAGAGCTTTCTCCATCATGGTTGCCCTCTTGTGAATGAAGCCCTAGTTTGTCAATGTCCATCCTAAAATGTGTCGCCCCAAATTGTACTCCAGATTTGGCCTGATCAGCGCAGATCAGCACAAAACTTTATTATAGAGTTCCCTTAGGTGGGCTCAGCAAATCAAGGCCCTGAGTCAACTAAGCTAAGCACTTTGTTTCTTATTTATATTTTCAAAATACGAAGGTGATTATTGCAAATTCCACAGTGTCATGAACTATCAAGACAATGCAGTCATATAATTTCCACCCTGGTCGATTACAAATTGGGGAAAAGGGTAACAGTGCATTGTTCCTTTTTAAACTACAGTTTGATTGGAAGTTACCATATTTTTCTGTCTATAAGATGCCCCCATGTATAAGACACCCCCTATTTTGGGGGACTCAGATTTAAGAAAATGGGGGGAGATGGCCCCGTGTATAAGACGCCCCCCTAAGTTTTGATATTATTTTTAGGGGGGGGAACCTAATCTTATACACGGAAAAATACGGTAGTTGTTAATGCATAGCCAAATGCATACGACAAGGAAATCTATACGCAATTATTTTTCTCCTACTCCAAACATAACAATAACTCTTTTCAAAAAAAAGTCCATTCTACTTGAGCAAATGCCTTTTGTGTATCAATATCTAAGCACTAGTCTTGATCTATCATTATCTCTTACACTGTGATTGTCACATTACTTTACCAGATAATCTTCTATACCAGGGTTTCTCAAACTTGTGATAATTGTGTATGACTTCCGGGAGTTTACCCTTCGCCTTCTCAGGTGAAAATAATTTGGTTTTAAGAGTAATATTTTTTCTATGATAAATTAAAATAAAAAAATTATGCCACATACCCTTTGAAACCCTTTCATATACCTCAGCAGGGAGGAGTACCACACTTGGGGAGGAAAACTGTTCTATACAAAGCAACCTTCCCCCTTAATAATATGTTTAGGTGAAAGACAACATGGCCACCCAACATTTTATAATCCAGAGTTATTGGTCTGAATAGTCCAATCTACAAGAGAAACCCTTCAAACTTAGGTTTTAATATAATGGTTCTCTCAGGAGCTGTATCTCCCACTAAGTAGTCATTCATACCCAATGTTACTTTGGATGACAAGATGCTTTTATATTACTGATAATATTCACAGGAAAAGCCAACTGGGCCTGAAGCCATATTTTAACTTACTGCTCAGACTTTTCTTATAGTTTCTTTTACATCTTTAACTCTGATAAGAGTTTCCAAGAAGCTAAATCGTCACCATCCAATCAATCAAAATGCATTTTCTTCTCTGCTGTTGAAACCACATTCTGATTGGATATATTTCACAAAATCTATCACCTGCCGACATCTCTCCCTTCTAACACTTCTTACTGGCCATGACAATTCCATACGACTTGCTCACCCCCAAAACAAAATTACATCTTTACTGCCCGTCATTCGAACATGTGGTAAACCAGTCTCCCAATAACAGATTCCCATCAATTCAAACTCCCAAGCTCAATCCTTGCCGAGTTCATTAATTCAACAGCCTTGGCTCCGTTTACAGTCAATCAAAAGCTCCAGGTCAGTTTCTTGACATCAAATGTCCAACTCAGCTCTATAAATAATGTTTCCAGTACCACTCCTTGGCTTGAACAAGGGTTGCCAGCACAGTTTATTGAAAGATGTTCCCATCACAGTCCATTTATCAGATTCCCAACAAGGCTAAAATCAAGTACTTGCTCCCCATTCTCTTTGAAACGAAACACGAGGTGCATCTTGCCTATGGGACCAGTTGCTCTATTTGTGTCCACCACACCCACCCCGGTGGCTCCGCTTTGGGCAAGGACCACAGCTCACTTGTAGAACACAAAGTTTTCATGCGAAAGTTCCCAGGTTAAATTCCTGGCATTTCCAAGGCTTGGAAAGAGATGGCCAACACTCTTGAGAGACGGTACCAGCCAGTGTTGACAATATTGCAGTAGATGGACCTGTTTTTCTCCCCCTCTCATAATACCAGCACTCAAGAGCCATCCTATGAAGATTCAGAACAGACAAAAGCACACAACGCATAAAGGACGGAGCTCACTATCTCAAGATGTAATGATGGACTACAATTTGGTTGGCCTTAGAAGAGCACTGGATAAATTCATAAAGATGGATTCATAGAGTATAATGGCTACTTGCCATGATGACTAAATTCTACTTCTGCTGCTGGAGGCACTGAGAACTGCGAATCTGCTGGGAATTGTGGATGGGGAGAGGCCTGTCAAGCTCAGGTCCTGTGTCCTGTGTCCTGTGTCCTGTGTGTGGGCTTCCCAGGGGCATCTGGTTAAAGGTAAAGGTAAAGGGATCCCTGACCATTAGGTCCAGTCGTGACCGACTCTGGGGTTGCGGTGCTCATCTTGCTTTATTGGCCGAGGGAGCCGGCGTACAGCTTCTGGGTCATGTGGCCAGCATGACTAAGCCGCTTCTGGCGAACCAGAGCAGCGCATGGAAACGCCGTTTACCTTCCTGCCGGAGTTGTACTTATTTATCTACTTGCACTTTGACGTGCTTTCAAACTGCTAGGTTGGCAGGAGCAGGAACCGAGCAATGGGAGCTCACCCCATCGCGGGGATTCGAACCACCGACCTTCTGATCGGCAAGTCCTAGGCTCTGTGGTTTAACCCACAGCGCCACCCGCATCCCTTCATCTGGTTAGCCACTGTAAAAACAGGATGCTGGGCTAGTTGGGCCATTACCATACTAATTTAAAGAGCGTAATCTGTCAAGGGTGCTTCCCCGCCAAAGGAATGCACACGGCAGAAAGCTGTCTCTTTATTGTCAAAAATAACATAGTTGCTTCTACAGCTCTAGAGACCTACAGACACCAATCTAACAGCTAGGCAGTTATTCCCAGGTATGTGCACTATGGAGCAGTTGCAGCAACAGAGGACACCCCCCTCCATCAGTTTATGTACCTTTGCCCGATGGGGCTGAATGCACACAGAGACTACGCCTGCATGGAAGCTGCCTCTGCTCATCCCTCTTCAATCCGCTCCTGGTTCTGGGAGAGGGTGGTGCAGGAGAGAGTGGAGATGAACCCAGCCCTTCACCTGCCTGATCTGCCTCTTCCTCCAGCCCATCCTGTGCTGGACCCTCCAGCTCTGAAGCTTTCCCCTGCCTTCAATTCCTGCCTCCTGGCTGGTACAGGTCCCCACAAATCACTGGGCTCCTCTCCCGAGTCAGACTCCAGCACCGCTTCCCTGCTGCACACCCGCCAGTCTACAATATCATCCACCATTGGCATGAAATGAAATTACTTGTAGGGCTACTCGACAGCGTCTTAAAAAGCAGAGACATCACCTTGCCAACAAAGGTCCGTATAGTTAAAGCCATGGTTTTCCCAGTAGTGATGTATAGAAGTGAGAGCTGGACCATAAAGAAGGCTGATCGCCGAAAAATGGATGCTTTTGAATTATGGTGCTGGAGGAGACTCTTGAGAGTCCCATGGACTGCAAGAAGATCAAACCTCTCCATTCTGAAGGAAATCAGCCCTGAGTGCTCACTGGAAGGACAGATCCTGAAGCTGAGGCTCCAATACTTTGACCACCTCATGAGAAGAGAAGACTCCCTGGCAAAGACCCTGATGTTGGGGAAGATGGAGGGCACAAGGAGAAGGGGACAACAGAGGACGAGATGGTTGGATAGTGTTCTCGAAGCTACCAGCATGAGTTTGACCAAACTGCGGGAGGCAGTGGAAGACAGGAGTGCCTGGCGTGCTCTGGTCCATGGGGTCACGAAGAGTCAGACACGACTAAATGACTAAACAACAACAAAAACTTGTAGGGCATCGCCAGCCCTGGAATTCTATTAATCCATAAACACACACACACACACACACACACTTGGGCAGAGGCCTGTTAGATCAGGCCCGTTCTCACAGGGGCCAAGTAGAGGCCCATGGAAAACCTGTAAGCTGGACACGAGCTTCTTCCAGGAGGGTGAAGGATTTGTCATTAATAAAACGCATTCCCATATGGACAGGCCACATCTGAAAATAAACACAAGGACCAGGCTGCTCTATGATCACTTGCAGATTTGAATAGGAATAGAGAACATGAAAGGCAATGAAGAGAGGAGAGGGGATGGAAAGAATCGAGAGGTTCAGAATAAATATAACAAGCTCAGATCTTGACAGAGAGGTCAATCAACTCTGTGAAGCAGCAGCAAAAAATAGCTAATGCTACTCTAGGCTGCACTAACAGAATGTCCCGATTAACTGAAGTCATAAAAAAGGTAAAGGACCCCTGACAGTTAAGTCCAGTCATGAAGGACTCTGGGGTTGCGGCACTCATCTTGCTTTACAGGCCGAGGGAGCTGGTGTTTGTCTGCTTCCGCAGACAGTTTTTCCGGTTCATGTGGCCAGCATGACTAAGCCGCTTCTGGTGAAACCAGAGCAGCACACGGAAATGCCATTTACCTTCCTGCAGGAGCGGTACATATTTATCTACTTGCACTTTGACGTGCTTTTGAACTGCTAGGTTGGCAGGAGCTGGGACCGAACAACGGGAGCTCACCCCGTCGTGGGGATTCGAACTGCCGATCTTCCGATTGGTAAGCCCAAGGCTCAGTAGTTTACACCACAGCACCACCCACGTCCCTAAGGGAAGTCATAGTACCGCTCTATTCTGCCTTGGTCACAGCACACCTGGAATACTGTGTCCAGTTCTGGGCACGGCAATTTAAGGATATTGACAGAGGAGGGCAACCAAGATGATAAAGGGTCTAGAAACCAAGCCTTATGAGGAACGTTTGAGGGAGTTCGGCATGATTAGCTTGGAAAAGAGGGGACTGAGGGGAGATATGAGAGCCATCTTCAAATATCTCAAGGGCTGTCCCATGGAAGATGGAGCAAGCTTGTTTTCTCCTGCTCTGGAGGCTAGGACCCGAACCAATGGATTCAAGTTACAAGACAGGAGATTCCAACAAAAACCTCAAGAAGAACTTTCTGATAGTAAGAGCTGCTTGACAGTCATGCTGGGGATTAAACCTGCGACCTTCTGCATGCAAGGCTGACTGATGCTCTATCACCAAGCTACAGCCTTCCCCCTGTGGACGAAAAGCCCAACCGTGCTTGGAAAGCCATAGGTTCCCTAGCCCTGCATTTATCCTTGAACACGTGTCTCTCTCCCTACTGCTCTTCCATTCCTGTTTTCAGTTACTGCGAGTTAATTCAGTGCTGACTGAGCCCATTTGCTGACATTTCGGAGAATTAAGTGTGTGTGTGTGTGATTGCAGAGGTTTGGGTTCAGCTTGGTTTCTGGTCATGCCAGCTTGCTTAAAGGAGTATTACGAGCCTCTCTCTTGTTTACACACCGGCGGTTGAGAGGAGACAGCAAGCCCGCTCTCCCCCAGCCCGCTTTAGAACCGAGCCGAGGAAGAATTAAACCCACTAGAATTTCATTTGCCTTTTGCTGCTTCCATTGTTGTGCGCCTGGAGACTTAATCATTCCAACACACAGTGGTGGGGCACATGTTCTCAATAATTATATATTATATATACCCAGCCTCTTTGCATCTGGAGTTTCACTTAAGGCAAAAAATGGGCATGCCCTTTTGCAGGGATTTCTGCAATTGATTAAGTCGCTCGCCAGGAGCCCAATTTCCCCCAGACGCCGTATGTTAATCAAACGCTAGAATCCCTTTAGAGTACAGGGCGAAATGTGGGATATTTACTTATTTATGGCATGTATTACTTAGGCTTCTCAGATGCCTCGTGAACAAGCTCTCTGGGCATCACGCACGTCAGTGAGAAATGTGACCACTTAGACTGCGCTCTAAGCAGGATAAAATAAAAAGTGACAATAAACCTCAAGAATCTAACGCAGGCTAAAACCAACCAATGTAAAATGAAACAGAAATCACAGGAGCTAAAGACAACCCCCAAAAAGCGCTAGAAGCAACAACCATACCAGAGAGGGAGACAGAGAAATCTAGGCCACCTTTGCACCAGTCGATGGAAGGTTTGGACTGGGTTGGAGTGTCGCTTGGCCCAATCCTGCCTGCCTCCCATCAGAACAGAACCGCCGCACAAAATGGTTGTTGACTGTACTCTGTTTCCAATTGGTATGTTTCCCGTCACTTCCTGATGGCATCCTGGAACTTCCCAGACCACAAACATTTTGGTTTTCGTTTTTTGGACCCATGTTTGCGTTTTCCAGGCAGCGACATGATAACATGGGGGAAGCTTTGGAGAACAACTAATACAGCAAAATGACCTGTGGATGGCCCAGTATGAATCTGCCGTTGGTTCACCATTATTGCATCATGGACATTCCAGTCCAACGCAGGGCCTTTATGTTAGCCCGACTGAACGTTTCTCCCCCAGCTTTTGTCAAGGAGCAGATATCCAAACATCCCCAGAAACAATAGATATTGCAGATGTTCTTTGAATGCCCCAGACACAGTAGAACGTATCCTTTTCTACTGTCCATAGTACAACCACCTACACAAACACACGCTATCCCCTCTTTTTGGGTAGTCTAACATCACGGCACAATGAAAATACCAGATTCTATCTGTCTGACATTAACCCAGATGTAACTGCAAGGATAGGGACGCGGGTGGTGCTGTGGGTTAAACCACAGAGCCTAGGGCTTGCCGATCAGAAGGTCGGAGGTTCGAATCCCCGTGACAGGGTGCGCTCCCGTTGCTCAGTCCCTGCTCCTGCCAACCTAGCAGTTCGAAAGCACGTCAGAGTGCAAGTAGATAAATAGGTACCACTCCAGCGGGAAGGTAAACGGCATTTCCGTGCGCTGCTCTGGTTCGCCAGAAGCGGCTTAGTCATGCTGGCCACAGGACCCGGAAGCTGTACGCTGACTCCCTCGGCCAATAAAGCGAGATGAGCGCCGCAACCCCAGAGTCGGCCACGATTGGACCTAATGGTCAGGGGTCCCTTTAACTTTACCTTTAACTGCAAGGATGGCTGAGCTTTTATCAATAGTTTCTCAAGAGCGGTGAATGGCACTATTTAGTGGGAAGAAACTCCAATGAAAATACTTGTTATTACAAGGATTATTATTTATTATTATTATTATTTACATGGCTGTTTATTTGTATATATATTTTTAAAAAATATACGTGGATGTTTTTAGGATTGTATTTATTTGTAATGCCTAATAAAGGTTCGGCGAAGTAAGCATCATGGACATGTTGTAGAATACATCTCTCTCCACCCACCCACTGTCAGGGAACTGACATCGGAGCTAGAGGTGGAGGGAAGGCTCTCCAATGATGCTGGAGAAGGGCCCAGCAGGGAGAGAGGCAGCTCAGCAGATGGGGAAGCAATTCAGTGCAACACCAGGAATAAGGAGGGGCAGATGGGGGAATCGGAGAGAGGGCTCCCAGACTCTTCACCGGACACCAGCGGGGAGAGCACTGGTCCTCCGCTACCCACGCCCTCCCTGCGCAGAAGACTTCCGAGCAGAGAAAGTAGGAGGAGACTGGGCGTCAAACAACTTTTATGTTGGAAAAGGTTTAAGAAACGCCCACTGACGGATTCTGCTAGCGACTGAGGCAGCCACGAAGTGAAGGGCTGTCCAGACAGAAAGGTTTAACTAGGCAACATAGCCAGGAGAGGCGGCAACTTACGCACGAGCAACCCCATACCATTATACCCACAAAATCCCACCAAGCAGGGAGGGGGCTGCTTCCTTCAAGACTCTTTACAGAGTTGGTCAGGCTCTAACCACCTCTGCAAACGTTTTTGAAGAAAGCTAGAAGGATAATGAGATGATTAGTAGAAGGCAGCTCCGTATGCTCCTATATTCCCATGGGGCTGATTACAGAAATTCACCTTATCATCCTGGAATGCGGGAGCAGTAAGAACAACAGAGAAGTAAAGGAACACTGACACACCCCAATTTTGCACAGATGTCAGGATGGAAAACAGTGTACCCTGTGGCTCAAAGAGGGTTCTCCTCCTGAACTAGATACAAGTAAATCAAAGACAGCCTTTTCGGACAGGGGAAAAGGCCGGTTTCATCAGTGTTTGAGGCCCTTGGAATTTGGTGCGTACCTGACAGATGTTGTAGTGCTCAAAGAGGGACAGGACGCCGACGTCGCTGCGGCCAGAGATGCCTTTCAGGAGGGTGATGTTGCCGTTCCCAGAGTCCAGTTCCATCACGTCATTGAAAACGTTGGACACGGCTTGGCCAGTCAGGAGCAGGTTGACTAGTTCCTGGTTACCGCAGAAGAAAAAGGGGCTCTTGGAACAGACACTGGCCTGGTAGGAAGAGCTGGTGCTCATGTTCTAGGAAGAAGTAAGGGGTCTCCTCCTCCTTCTGCATCAAGCTCCCTTGCAGGACCAGAAGAGGCATGAAAAGGGCAGGGGAGAGGTTGGTTGCACACGGGCACAGTCTCCAATTTCTTCAGGAAAGCCTTGGAGAGAAGGGGACTTAGACAGCTGTGGGGAGGTGGGGATTTTCAGTCCCAGCAACTGATTCCTGAGGATGAGCTGCTGGGCTCATTAGGCCTGACACTCAGCCAAGTCTCTGAAAATCCTGTTTTTGCTAATAAAGAACTAACTCCAACTTTGAACGCTGTGATTTACTGCCAGCTGGTTATTTGGCAGTGGGTGCCATGGGCAGCCCTCCCCCCAGAGTTCCATCTCTCTGGCCTCTCCCAGATCAGTCCCTCCCCCTGCAGACAGAGAGAAACTTTTCCAAGGGATCTAGAGGAAAGTTGGGTCCAGCAGAATTAGTCCTAGAACAGGGGTCGGCAAAGTTTTTGTGGCTTGGGCCGGTTCACGGTCCCGCAGACGCCGCGGTGGGCTGGAGTGCGCGTGTGTGCGCGCACGCATGCGCAAACACTATTTCCGGTGCTCCTTCCGGTGTGGAGGAGGCGTGCACAGCTTCCCATTGGCTGCAAGAGCTTCCCGCAGCCAATGGGAAGCTGGCCAGCGTTGCGGAAGGCGGTCTCCGCTCTGCTCTGTGCCAGTTTAGCGTGGCGCACGGGAACCAACCGAGCAGGCGACGGGGGTTCCCGAGTGGGCAGCGGGGGTCCATGGGCCGGTTAAATGACCCCCATGGGCCGCTTGTGACCCATGGGCCTTAGGTTGCCGACCCCTGTTCTAGGACTAATTCTGCTGGACCCAACTTTCCTCTAGATCCCTTGGAAAAGTTTCTGTCTGCAGGGGGAGGGACTGATCTGGGAGAGGCCAGCTGGCAGTAAATCACAGCGTTCAAAGTTGGAGTTAGTTCTTTATTAGCAAAAACAGGATTTTCAGAGACTTGGCTGAGTGTCAGGCCTAATGAGCACAGCAGCTAATCCTCAGGGATCAGTTGCCGGGACTGAAAATCCCCACCTCCCCACAGCTGTCTAAGTCCCCTGCTCGCCAAAGGCTTTACACAAGAAATCGGACACTGCGCCCATGGTCAACCAACCTCTCATCTGCCCTTTTCATGCCTCTCCTGCTCCTGCAAGGGAGCTTGTTGTAGGAGGAGAACCCCTTGCTTTTTCAGCAGCCTGACTCATCCCTGCCTCTTGGCCTCCTCTCCTGCTTCAGCTTCTGTCTTGGATTCTGGACTTCTCTCTGCCACAGATTCTCCCTGCTCACTAAGCCTTGTTACCTCTTCAGCTTCTGACATCTCCTCCTCCTCCTCCTAGGCTTCTCCCTCTGACCCCTTGTCGTCGTCCCACCACCAACCCCCCAGGCTCTGAGCCTTTCCCCTTTGGGGTCCCCCCAGCTGGTTTCTCCCACCATTCCTCTTCGTCCAACCAAACCATGACAACCGCTCACAAAATTCACCCCCGACATACAGTGGTACCTCTGGATATGAACGGAATCCGTTCTGGAGCCCCGTTCGCTTCCTGAAGTAAACATAACATGCAGGTGCGCGGGTCGCATTTCACCGCTTCCACGCATGCGCGTAAGGTCATTTTGAGCATCTGCGCATGCGCGAGCAGCAAAACCCAGAAGTAACGCGCTCTGTTACTTCCGGGTCGCTGCGGAGCGCAACCCGAAAATATTCATCCCGAAGCTACTTCAACCTGAGGTATGACTGTATATATTTCGGCCCTGTCTCAGAGGCCTTTGCCATATTTACCTGCGTACAGTACCCGTGTGCGCCAATCAGCCGGTTTGTGATCACGTCAAAATCTCCACGTACTCTAGGATGGGATGATAAAAATGAAGGCAGCAAAGTTAGATCGACTGAAGTTCCCACCAAAAGGGCACATCAAAAACACATCATAAAAATGGGTCTAGTCCAGGGGTCAGCAAGGTTTACTTCCCCTGGGCCAGTTCACTCCAGCAGAGATCCCTCCATGGGCAGGATTGCGCTCATGTGTGAGCGTACATAGCCACAATTTCCTGTGCCTGCGCAGACGCGATTTTTGGCATCTGAGCATGCGCAGACGCGATTTCCAGCACCGCGGAAGCGAGTCCCCATGCCGCGCCGGTTTAGCACAGCGTGCGGGGACTCTCCGAGAGGGTGGCTCGGTTTGGGGGTGGCTTATGGGCCAGTTAAAGACCCCCGTGGGATGCTTGCGGCCCATAGGCCTTACCGTATTTTTTGCTCCATAAGACACACCTGACCATAAGACGCACCTAGTGTTTAGAGGGGGGATGCAAGAAAAAAAATATTCTTTAAAGGGAGCGTCCCAGGCTCTGCTCAGCGCTCCCTTTCACGAGCCACGTAGAGCATGTTTGCGGCTCTTGGGTGCTTTTCCCTGAGGAGGGAGAAGGGACTGACAGGCTGCCCTTCTCCCTCCTCAGGGAAAAACCCCCAAGAGCCGCACACACGCTCCACGTGGCTCGTGAAAGGGAGCTCTGAGCAGAGCCCCCTGCCTGCATTTGCTCCATAAGATGCACATACATTTCCCCTTACTTCTTAGGAGGGAAAAAGTGTGTCTCATGGAGCGAAAAATACGGTAGGTTGCCTACCTGGCTAGTCCAATATTTTGGAGACTGGGCCAGGTTCCGTGACATTCTAGGAGATGGCTCTCAAATTCTGCCATGGGTGTGCAAAGTCCTATTATAAGTATGCACCGTTCAACCCAAGTGCATTTTGCATTGCTGCTGCACACTTTAAACCAGCCTTAGCCAATGTCTTGCCCTCCAGATGCGTGAATTTCAACTCTCTTCAGCCCCAACCAGCACAGAATCCAAAACATCTGGAGAGCACTAGGCTGGTGAAGACTGCCTTAAACCCTTTTGATATATACATGCAATCATTAAGTCAAGACTCTGGAGGAATCTGGGTGATTTAAGAAGGGCTGAACCTGAAAATCCTCCCCCAGAGTCAAATGCTAGAATCCACAGGCCTCCCCTATCTCTCTAAATAAAAGATTTATTCAAAGAATAAGGCCACAATATCTTTTCATTGTCAACATGAGTATCCATAGAAAGTATAGAGGAAGTTACTATGAGTACAGTGGTACCTCGGGTTAAGTACTTAATTCATTCTGGAGGTCCATTCTTAACCTGAAACTGTTCTTAACCTGAAGCACCACTTTAGCTAATGGGGCCTCCTGCTGCCGCCGTGCCACCGGAGTACGATTTCGGTTCTCATCCTGAAACAAAGTTCTTAATCCGAGGTACTATTTCTGGGTTAGCGGAGTCTGCAACTTGAAGCGTCTGTAACCTGAAGCGTATGTAACTCGAGGTACCACTGTACTAAAAAAAATAAAAAGAGCCTTTATCATGGGAAGGGCATTCAAAGAGCATGTTTAAATTTTTAAAAGACGATAACTTATAAAATAAAACAAAATCATTATTATTATTTTAGCTACATTAATGGCCGGAACTGTTTTCAGAGCTGAACTGACAAAGCAGAATGTGAAATAATGAGCAGTCAAAGAGAAAATATCACTGCACACTTTCATGGGGCTTCAGAAAGAACCACCTTTGGCTACTGGCCACGGTTTTTCGCTGAGGGAACAATCGCACTCTGGAAACCCCAAACCTTTGCTAGAAACAACTGACCGGTGCAACCTGCGTCAATTAGGGGCCGTGGGATGTTGAGTCCGGACAATAGGAGGAAGTTTCTAATTCCATCCTTGGGTGCAAACGGTCTGGGAATCTTGAGTTGTACCTAAGACGCCTGCAGGGGAGTGACATCTGCGCTTCGCATCATTTCTGAGAGTGAGGAAGCCATCAAGGACGTGGGATGGAGACGGACGGCTAAGCCTGGGTTGAATTGAAATCCCCTGGGTAGTCTCCCTTAGGTACACGTAACTTGGTGAGGGGACAACCAGGCAACCTATCAAGACAGGCCAAACGTGAACAACATGGGAGCTGGGTCCATTGCTTCGCCCTCCTGCTGCCCCGAATCCGGGCAAAATACAGTGGTACCTGGGGTTACAGACGCTTCAGTTTACAGACGCTTCAGGTTACATACGCTTCAGTTTACAGACGCTTCAGGTTACAGACTCCGCTAACCCAGAAATAGTACCTCGGGTTAAGAACTCTGCTTCAGGATGAGAACAGAAATCGCGCAGCGGCAGCAGGAGGCCCCATTAGCTAAAATGGTGCTTCAGGTTAAGAACAGTTTCAGGTTAAGAACGGACCTCCAGAACGAATTACAGTGGTACCTCGGGTTACATACGCTTCAGGTTACATACGCTTCAGGTTACATACACTTCAGGTTACAGACTCCACTAACCCAGAAATATTACCTCGGGTTAAGAATTTTGCTTCGGGATGAGAATAGAAATCGTGCAGCGGCAGCAGGAGGCCCCATTAGCTAAAGTGGTGCTTCAGGTTAAGAACAGTTTCAGGTTAAGAACGGACCTCCAGAACAAATTAAGTTCTTAACCCGAGGTACCACTGTAATTAATCTGAGCAGATGGAGACGAAAGAGGAAGAGGGAAAGAGCCTCACACTTCCATCTTCCTCCTTCAGTTCGACACACTTTTCATAAGACAAAATAATGACCCCCCTCAACACCTCGCAAGCAAGGGTGCAGTAAGTGGGGGGGGGGCTGTACTGGATTTATGTATAAGTTACACAAGCTATAGCTTAGGGCCCCGCTCTCTTGGGGCCCCCCAAAAAAATTAAAGGAGAAAAAAACTGGATGTACATTTCCAAAATATAATATAAAAAATAAATAAAATAAAACCTACATACAGCAACAGTGTTTTGTTTTGTGTTGTATTGTGTAGGCTCCTATGATGTAAGTAATGGGCCCCGCCCACTAGTGGACTACTATGGTGATATTGATATTATATAAGAAATGCATTGTATTAACTACAATTATAACACTTAATTTCATCTTAATAAAACTATTTACAATTATTAGTACAGTGGTACCTCGGGTTACATACGCTTCAGGTTACATACGCTTCAGGTTACAGACTCCGCTAACCCAGAAATAGTACCTCGGGTTAAGAACTCTGCTTCAGGGTGAGAACAGAAATCATGCTCTGGCGGTGCGGCGGCAGTGGGAGACCCCATTAGCTAAAGTGGTGCTTCAGGTTAAGAACAGTTTCAGGTTAAGAACGGACCTCCGGAATGAATTACCGTATTTTTCGCACCATAGGACGCACCGGCCCATAGGACGCATCAAGTTTTTTGGGGGGGAAATAAAGGAAAAAAAATTATTTCCCCCCCAGGCGCTTGTGGGGCCGGCAGCGGGGAGAAGTGCTCTTCTCCCTGCTGCCCGCCTTGAGATCAGGTCCGGGGACAGCGGGGAGACATGCTGCGCCTCCCAGCTGTCCCCGGGGCTAGCGGGGCGGGCGGCGGGGAGACGCGCTCTTCTCCCCGCCGCCCGCCTTGATATCAAGTCCGGGGACAGCGGGAAGACGCGCTGCGTCTCCCAGCTGTCCCCGGAGCTTGGGGGCAGGCAGCGGGGAGAAGCGCTCTTCTCCCCGCCGCCCGCCTTGATATCAAGTCCGGGGACAGCGGGAAGACGCGCTGCGTCTCCCTGCTGTCCCCGGAGCTTACGGGGCAGGCAGCGGGGAGAAGCGCTCTTCTCCCCGCCGCCCGCCTTGATATCAAGTCCGGGGACAGCGGGAAGACGCGCTGCGTCTCCCAGCTGTCCCCGGAGCTTGGGGGCAGGCAGCGGGGAGAGCGCTCTTCTCCCCGCCGCCCGCCTTGATATCAAGTCCGGGGACAGCGGGAAGACGCGCTGCGTCTCCCTGCTGTCCCCGGAGCTGCGGGGCAGGCAGCGGGAGAAGCGCTCTTCTCCCCACCGCCCGCCTTGATATCAAGTCCGGGGACAGCGGGAAGACGCGCTGCGTCTCCCTGCTGTCCCCGGAGCTTGAGGGCAGGCAGCGGGAGAGCGCTCTTCTCCCCGCCGCCCGCCTTGATATCAAGTCCGGGGACAGCGGGAAGACGCGCTGCGTCTCCCAGCTGTCCCCGGAGCTTGGGGGCAGGCAGCGGGAGAGCGCTCTTCTCCCCGCCGCCCGCCTTGATATCAAGTCCGGGGACAGCGGGAAGACGCGCTGCGTCTCCCAGCTGTCCCCGGAGCTTGGGGCAGGCAGTGGGGAGAAGCGCTCTTCTCCCCGCCGCCCGCCTTGATATCAAGTCCGGGGACAGCGGGAAGACGCGCTGCGTCTCCCTGCTGTCCCCGGAGCTTGGGGGCAGGCAGCGGGGAGAAGCGCTCTTCTCCCCGCCGCCCGCCTTGATATCAAGTCCGGGGACAGCGGGAAGACGCGCTGCGCCTCCCAGCTGTCCCCGGAGCTTGCGGGGCTGGCAGCGGGGAGAAGCGCTCTTCTCCCCGCCGCCCGCCTTCAGATCAGGTCCGGGAACAGCAGGAAGACGCACTGCGTCTCCCAGCTGTCCCCGGAGCTTGCGGGGCCGGCGGCGGGGTCTCCCCGCCGTCAGCCTCCAAACCACTTCGGGAGACAGCGGGATGGCGGCGTTCCGCCTCCCTCTGTCCCCCGACCTTGTGGGGCTGGCGCTGGGGCTCTCCTGAAGCCTGGAGAGCGAGAGGGGTCGGTGCGCACCGACCCCTCTTGCTCTCCAGGCTTCAGTGAAGCCTGCATTCGCACCATAGGACGCACACACATTTCCCCTTCATTTTTGGAGGGGAAAAAGTGCGTCCTATAGTGCGAAAAATACGGTAAGTACTTAACCTGAGGTACCACTGTAGTTTGCATCATATATTTACACCTATTATTATTTCATGTTATAGCAAATTTTTAGAGACTAGATTATGAGTCTTTGTAAACTGTGTTTCTAAAGGAACTTTTGTTATTACCAAATGCCAATGTGTTTGCATTATTAAGTTTCTTATGAATAATTAAAAAAAAAAAACATTTTAAGTTAGAGCTTAATAATTATTTCACTATTAATATACTTCTTCTTAATTGTATTTCACTATTAATATACTTCTTCTTAATTGTATTTCAGTTCAACAATTACTTTGATAAAATACATATTTTGTTATGTGCAAATGGCTTTAGATACCTATTAGGTCCATAAATTACCATATAGCATATATTCAACACAAAAAAACAGCGACAATTTGTTGTTGACAAACGACAGCTGGACATATAAAGAGCCCCATTACCTTCAGTAGCTTAGGGCTGCATCAAACCTAAATCTGGCCCTGGGGGTGAGATCAAGAGACTTTGTGGTCACCCAGGGAAGGCCTCAAGGATGCCACTGTCCCTGGCTTGTCTGAAAAATGTTATTCCCTCATCTGAATCTGCCTGGGCTTTGAGATCTTCGAAGGAGGCCCTTATCTCAGTCCCACCACCTTCACAGGCACTCTTGACGGGGATGTGGGACAAGGCCTTCTTGGTGGCTGCTCCAACTCTGAAAATCACGGAGAAGCTAGACTTGCTCCTTCTTTGTTGTCCTTCTTGCTGACAGGCGAAGAAGACCTTGTCCCAACGGGCTTTTGAGAACGGACTGTTTTGGCGCTCTGCTGTTTTCAATTATCTTTATTGTCACTGGTGTGTTTTTTAGTGGATCTTTTCAAATGTTATTTTAATTCCCATAGTGTTTCCTCACACCTTAATGACTGTCTCTGCTATGCTTTTGGCTTCGGTTTTATTTGCGCTAGGCACCTTGAGCCACCCAGACAGGGGGAAAGGGGAAGGGCAGAAATATAATAATCATTATAAAAATAATTCTCAAAGTCCCTTGTCACATGGGAGCCAGACGGGGCTCCCCCACGTTCCATGACGTTAACGGACAGAAAGTAAGAGAGTTGACTTCAGGGAAAAAGCCCTAACTTACAGACACAAAAATAAACCTTCCTTCTCCCCTCCCTGCTCTCCCTCTCCCCCCCCCCAGCCTTTTTTAGTTGTAGATTTTCCTACTCCCGGCCGCTTAAAAAGCAGAGGACGCCACGTGTGTGTGTGTGTGTTTTTAACGGGAGGCCTGGCAATTCTGCAGTTCCTCTCCATGTGGTGAGGTTTCAGTGCTCCAGGGCTGACCTCACACCCCTTTCTTCATGGCAACAGACTGTTAGCATTAGCAAAACACACACAATTACGGGGTTGGCGACAGAAATAGGCCGTGGGTGGGGGAGAAAAGGTCTTAAAATAATTGCAAGGGACGCTTCTAGGCAGCCTGGGCACAAGGGATCTCCAAAGGGATGTTCTCCTTGGCCATGTGCATGCGCCACCATTAATGGGTTTGGTCCAATGGCATGCAAGACAGGCGAGCCCAGCAGTCACATGCCAAGTGTATCTTTTATGGGTTGAAATAATAATATCAATAATAATAATAATAATAATAATAATAATAATAATAATTTATTATTTGTACCCCGCCCATCTGGCTGGGTTTCCCAAGCCACTCTGAGCGGCTTCCAACAAAGATTAAAAATACATTAAAATGTCACACATTAAAAACTTCCCTGAACAGGGCTGCCTTCAGATGTCTTCTAAATGTCAGGTAGCTGTTTATCTCTTTGACATCTGATGGGAGGGCGTTCCACAGGGCGGGCGCCACTACCGAGAAGGCCCTGTGCCTGGTTCCCTGTAGCTTTGCTTCTCGCAGTGAGGGAACCGCCAGAAGGCCCTCGGCGCTAGACCTCAGTGTCTGTGCAGAACGATGGGGGTGGAGACGCTCCTTCAGGTATACTGGGCCGAGGCCGTTTAGGGCTTTAAAGGTCAGCACCAACACTTTGAATTGTGCTTGGAAACATACTGGGAGCCAATGTAGGTCTTTCAAGACTGGTGTTATGTGGTCTCGGCGGCCGCCCCCAGTCACCAGTCTAGCTGCCGCATTCTGGATTAGTTGTAGTTTCCGGGTCACCTTCGAAGGTAGCCCCACGTAGAGTGCATTGCGGTAGTCCAAGCGGGAGATAACCAGAGCATGCACCACTCTGGAGAGACAGTCTGCGGCCAGGTAGGGTCTCATCCTGCGTACCAGGTGGAGTTGGTAGACAGCTGCCCCGGACACAGAATTGACCTGCGCCTCCATGGACAGCTGTGAGTCCAGAATGACTCTCAGGCTGCACATCTGGTCCTTCAGGGGCACAGTTACTTCATTGAGGAGCAGGGAGTCCTCCACAACCGCCTGCCCCCTGTCCCCCAAGAACAGTACTTTTGTCTTGTCAGGATTCAACCTCAATCCATTAGCCACCATCAATCCTCCAAAGGTGATGATCTTCCTGTATCTTCCTTCCCTGCTCCCCTGTGGCCTGCAAAGCTGGTGTGTATTCTAATCTGCAATTTTAGCTCGGAATGCACACTTCTGACTGCCAATCTTACTCATTTTGCTTTTTCCATAAGCTTGCCGGTAACATAGGTTTTCTAACCGGCAGTTTCGTTTTTGCATTCTTTGTAACATCGCACGGAGGTCTCGTGTACAGTTAAGCAGCATACACACTTTGTTAAATACAGTTAATAATAATAATAATAATAATAATGTTTAGAAGATCCAGGCTACAGCTAACGCCTTGCATGCAAGACACAAGAGGCCGGGGTGTGAAGATTGAGATGCAAAATATCCGGAACACCATGAGGTGCTAATAGAAGGGAGCTGTCGGCAACCCACACAACAAAAGCAGCAATTTTCAGGGTGTGAGCACTTGTATTAATTTGAAGGCAGTGGGAGTTGAGGAGGATTTTCTCCCACACATTATAGGAACGGCAATGAAATAAGCATATGTTTGAATGCACAGCAAACCTCCGAACCGTGCAATGGAAGCCCGCTTCCCTTCAGGAGGGAGGTGGGAATATTTTCAGGAAGGTTAGAGGCAAGAGAGAGAGAGAGAGAGAGAGAGAGAGAGAGAGACCTGGCTACTCAAGTTCTGAGGCAGATTAAGAGGCTATGAAGCACATTTTCCACGGATTAGAATAGATTGCTCTTAATGGACCAAGCAGCCTCCCCAATTGACCTTCTGTGTCCCTGAGACTTGGAGCTGTTTTCTCAAGGCCATTGTTTTTTGGCCTGTTTTCTTTTCTTGTTTTTAATGATGCTATATATTCCCAATTAAACACATAAGCAGCCATTGTTTGCTCCATCATCCCCAAAAGCAAAACAAAGTTTCAGAGGGGAAAGTTAAAAAGCTTTGAGAGTTTTTCGGGAGTCTAAGCTGGGATGGGGATCTGTGTTCCAAACACGCTTGAATCCGCATTCAAAGAAGAGGAGGGAGGCCAGGAGGGAGTTATTCCGAGTCGCGGGCTCACGATGCTCACGGCCCCCAAATGCCATGCTAACTGTCTTGTCCGTTAATCCTCTAGGAAAGTGACTTTCCTTACAACAGGTGGCCTATACCTGCCTTAGCTGATGGCAATCTCCAGAGGCTCTCCTCTTCCACAGGAACGCAGGAAGCAGCTTGACAGAATCACAGAGAGTTGGAGGGGACCCCAAAGGACATCTAGCCCAACCCCCGCAATGCAGGAACCTCAACCTCATACTGAGTCAGGCCACTGTTCCATCCAGCTCAGCACTGAATGGCTGGCAGCGACTCTCCAGGGTTGCAGACAGAGCCACTCTGTGTCCTAGCTGGAGATGATGGGGATCGAAGCTGGAACCCTTTCTGCATGCGGGGAAGAGTGCAACAAGACCCTGCTGGATCAGGCCAATGGCCTGTCTTGTCCGGCATCCTGTTCTCACGGTGGCCAATGGGAAACCGCACAACACAGAATCACAGAACCACGGAATCGTAGAATTGGAAGGGACCCCAAGGTTCATCTAGTCCAACCCTCTGCAATGCAGGAATCTCAGCTATAGCATCTATGACAAATGGCCAGCCACCGTCTGCTTAAAAAGTGCAAGGAAGGAGAATCCACCACATCCCAAGGGAGACCTAAGCAAAAGAGTGCTCTCTCCTCCTGCAGTTTTCAGCAACAAGGAGGCATGGAAAACGTCCAGCTTCTCTCAGGCCTTTGCCTAATTCTTTGGCTAACTAACTCTCTCTCTCCCTCTCTATGTCTCTCTCTCTCTGTGTGTCTGTTTGTGTCTTACTACAATAAGTATTGTTGTGTTTTTATATTGTAAACCACCCTTTGATCTTCAGATGAAGGGTGGTATAGAAATAATAATATGGTGGTACCTCGGTTTTCGAATGTAATCCATTCCGGAAGACAGTTCGACTCCTGAGGCGCAAAGTGCGGCCTGCAATTTCAATGGGGAAATTTGGGGCGGAAACTCAGCGGAAGCCGTTTGACTTCTGAAAAGTGTTCGAAAACGGAAGCAATCACTTCTGGGTTTTTGGCGTTTGAAAACCGAAATGTTCGGCATCTGAAAGACTTGAAAACTTGAGGTACCACTGAACAAGAACAACAATTATAATTCAGAAGCATGACTGGCTTCAAAAGGTGGAGGCAAAAAACAGCTATTGTGCCTAAAGGTAAAGGTAAAGGCACCCCTGACCGTTAGGTCCAGTTGCGGACGACTCTGGGGTTGTGTGCTCATCTCGCTCTATAGGCCGAGGGAGCTGGCGTTTGTCCGCAGACACCTTCCGGTTCATGTAGCCAGCATGACTAAGCTGCATCTGGCGAACCAGAGCGGCACACGGAAACGCTGTTTACCTTCCCGCCGGAGCGGTACCTATTTATCTACTTGTACATTGACGTGCTTTCAAACTGCTAGTTGGGCAGGAGCTGGGACTGAGCAACAGGAGCTCACCCCATCGCGGGGATTTGAACCGCCAACCTTCTGATCGGCAAGTCCTAGGCCCTGTGGTTTAACCCACAGAGCCACCCGCATTGGACTGCCTCCAACCGTGGAGGCAAAGCACAACTATCGTGCCTAGTAGCCATCAATATCCTTGCCCTCCGTGGATTTCCCTTATCATCTTTGGAAGCCATCCAAGTTGGTGGTCATCACTCCCTCTTGTGGGGGGGAGTTCCCCAGTCCAACTAGGCACAGTGTGCAGAAGTGAAGGAACAGGAGCATATTCAGACCATTGGTCCATCTAGCTCCACATTGAAGATGCTCAAGAGTGAAGTCAGGACCCTCCGAATGCCAAGGAGATGCTCTACCGCTGAGCCACACCCCCTTAGTATCCCCTGTGCATTTCAGATCGGGACAGGGAAGGACTCTGAGGTGCCTAGCACCCAAGGCCCTCTGTTCAGTTTTTGATTAAGACGATGCTAGAGACTTCCAACCAATGCCAGATTTACGTATAAGCTAACAAGCTATAGCTTAGGGTCCCACACTCTTGGGCCCCCCCCCAAAAAAATTAAAGGGGAAAAAACCTGGATGTACATTTCCAAAATATAAGATGAAAAAATAAATAAAACAAAACTTACATGTAGCAACAGTGTTTTGTTTTGTTTTGTGTTGTGTCGGCTCCTATTATGTAAGTCATGGGCCCCGCCTGCTAGCCTGCTCATTAAAATATCACTGGTTTGCTCATTTCTATATCAAGGGTGCCTACATTCTGCATGCGCAAATGGCTTTAGATACCTATTAGGTCCATAAATTACCATAAAGCATATATTCAACACACAAAAACAGCGACAATTTGTTGTTGACAAAGGACAGCTGGACATATAAAGGGCCCCATTACTTTCAGTAGCTTAGGGCCTCATCAAACTTAAATCCAGCCTGGCTTCCAACGCTCTGAATGTCGAAGTCAGGAGAGGCGGGCGTTACAAATCGAAAAACACACAGCAATCAAAAAGGCATTAGCTGAATCAGAGCCGCTGGCCAGAGGAAGCAAGAAGAGGAACTAAAATGCCCCAGTTCTTATCTTGTTTACATTCAAGAACCTTAATGAGTTTATCGCTTATCTCTCCCAAGAATGACTTGTGGGGTGTTGCTGTTTTTTGGACGGCTCTGCAGGGCAGGAGTGGAAGGAGCAGGCCGTCTTGCCCTAAGTATATTTCTAATTACTACTGTCAAAACTTTCAGGGGAAGATGGATTCCCTTGTTTTCTTGCCCAAGGGAAAAATACGTACCAATGAGTTTCTGGTACAGGCATTGCGAAGGGCAGCTAAACGGACAAGGCAGGCATCGTTTGGGCATGGAAAGCAATGGAAAGGCCGGGGATTGCTGGCCAGCTGTCCTGGTATGGCAAAGAAACTTCGCAGGAAACCCACATGACTAACAGGAGAACCCCACCCTAGTTTCCTTCTTACGTTTTGGTAGGAGCCATGGGAACGCGGCTCCTCTGAGCTGGGGTAGCCCAGGGAGCCCAGCGTGGCAGGGCAAAGATGCAGACCGACCACCTGCCCCAGCATGGCTGCAGTTTACCTGGACGGGGCTGTGTGGAACAGAGCACCCCATTGGCTCGTCCGGCGCAGAGTTTAACTTTGGAACTCACTGCCACAAGAGGCAGGCGATGGTCAACAGACTAGTTGGCTTTAAAAGAGGATTTGGCAAAGGATCGCGTTGGAAGACCTACATGGGCACCAGAAACTGAGTCACCTGGAGGCCTGTGTGCCCTCCAACTCCACAAACACCCCGCCCCACAACATGACCGTGTGTCTCCTTTGCCGTTCTGCCAACCCTGGAGCAGTGTGGGAAGCAGTCAAGGGGATGGACAGGGGTTCAGTGTGAATCATTATTTATTTATACCCCGCCCATCTGGCTGGGCTTCCCCAGCCACTCTGGGAGGCTTCCAACAAAATATTAAAATACTGTAACACATCAAACATTAAAAGCTTCCCTAAAGAGGGCTGCCTTCAGATGTCTTCTAAAAGTCTGGTAGTTGTTTATTTCTTTTGACATCTGATGGGAGGGCGTTCCACAGGGCGGGTGCCACCACCAAGAAGGCCCTCTGCCTGGTTCCCTGTAGCTTTGCTTCTCGCAGTGAGGGAACCGCCAGAAGGCCCTCGGCGCTGGACCTCAGTGTCCGGGCAGAATGATGGGGGTGGAGACGCTCCTTCAGGTATACTATACTATATACTATACTAACAGTTCATCTATCCGGAAAAAACTGTTCTGCTGTTTTCCGCTGGAGCGCCTATCACCGCTTTCTGCAGGACATTGACTACTGAAAGGCATCTTGTCTTAATCGCAGTGTGCTTTGATAGTGACTGTCTACGCTTATCATTTTGGTTTAATGAACTTTAAAACACTGTGCACGTAACAGATGCTACCTGGGCAGGTGGAGTGCAAGGAGCCCATACAGCTCTCAACGCAGACGTGCCCATTCAGGGAGTCTCAGGGGAGCCTTTTTTCGAGAAACCAGGGCCTAAGGAATTCCATCCGCGATAAGCCAGAGCATACTTGGAAACTTTGGCCACGCTGCACATCGCACAACTATATCCCAGAGGCTTAGGAGCCAATGCCAGCCACCCTTCAGAAAGAAATGCAGATATACTCACTGATCGATGGATCTTGATAGTATCGCGGACAAAGTCAGAAGAATGCACCCGTACGGACCAGCTTCAAACTGGGAGGGAAGGAAGGGAAGAAGGTCACGGTTCTGAGCTGGAAGGCGCACTTTTCAAACTAGTCGTTCGCAGCAGAACCAAAAATGCATCCATTTGTCTTATTTAAAAATATTTTTTGTGTTAAATTGCAAGGTGGCGGTGCTGACCATGTGGAACAGGACCGCCAACTATCCTTTTGGCAGATACTTTTGTTTCATCTTTAAAAATGTAAAGGTAATTATGTTGGTGCTTAAGAAAAGAATCCCAAACCTACAAACCTCTCCTGGCATGCCCCGCAGAGGACCTTAAGGTCCACAAATGACAACACTTTGGAGGTCCCAAGTCACAAGGTGGTTAGATTGGTCTCAAGTAGGGCCAGGGCCTTTTCAGTACTGGCCCCGACTTGGTGGAACGCTCTGTCACAAGAGACTAGGGCCCTGCGGGACTTGACATCTTTCCGCAAGGCCTGCAAGACATAGCTGTTCCGCCTGGCCTTTGGTTTAGACTCAGTCTGACCCTTATGTTTCCCTCCCCTTATGGTTTTGATCTATGGACTACTTTTAAAATGAGGCTGCATTTTAAATTGCATGTTAACCTGTATTTTAAATTGGGTCCCCCCCCCATTATGTTTTTACTGTAATTCTACTGGTGTTAGCCACCCTGAGCCCAGCTCTGGCCGGGGAGGATGGGGTAGAAATAAAGATGATGATGATGATGATTAAACACGGGTGGCCTTGTGGACTAAACCACTGAGCCTCTTGGGCTTGCTGATCAGAAGGTCAGAGGTTCGAATCTCCACAACGGGGTGAGCTCCTGTTGCTTGGTCCCTGCTCCTGCCCACCTAGCATTTTGAAAGCACGTCAAAGTGCAAGTAGATAAATAGGTACCACTCCGGCGGGAAGGTAAATGGCATTTCTGTGCGCTGCTCTGGTTTTGCCAGAAGCGGCTTAGTCATGCTGGACACATGACCTGGAAAGCTGTCTGTGGACAAACACTGGCTCCCTCGGCCTGAAAGCGAGATGAGCGCTGCAACCCCATAGTCACCTTTGACTGGACTTAACCACCCGGGGTCATTTATCTTACCTTTCTCAGACCCATTGAAAAGAATGGACATGACTAAGTTAGGTCCATTGATTTCACTAGGTCTACTCTTAAGCAAAACTGTGAACTACCACCCTATATTAGGCCAACCAAAATATCACAATATTTATTATTATGATTGATTGGGGGGGTGAATTTATATTGTACTGGTGTAGAATTGGGAGTTGGTCTGTAAGTCATTTTTGGTATCCCTGCCAAGCCTGTGATTTTAGAAACATAGGGAGCTGCCTTATAACAAGGCAGAATGTTTGGTCTGTCTTGTTTAGAATCTCTTACCCTGACTGGAAGGCTGTCCAGGATTTCTGGCAGGCAGCCTCTCCTAACCCTACCTGGAGACGTCGGATTGAACCAGTAAGCTCCTGCTTGCAAAGCAGACATTCTGCCTCTAAGTTGTGGACCTTCCCAGCATTCTGTACCTGGAAGATGAGATTCTGTAGAAGCAGAGACAGCTAAAGGGGTCAAATCCAGTCTCTTTGCTAAGTTACTGTCGCCAGCCAAGTCTGCTACATGCTCCACAGAAACTTGCTAACTGAAGATTATAGAAGACAAGCTGAAAGAAAGCATGTCTTCCTCCCTTCCCTAGCTGGAGGTAAAGCCATCAAGGCAGAATTGTAGAATCGTAGTTATTTATTGGGACAGTGTGATTTTTGCAGCTGCTGTAAAAAGTGGCAAAACAATGAAACACAGGGCAGAGCAATGGAGAATTTCTGAAACAACAATGGGATATCAGCTCTGCCCATGGCAGGATGCAGAACAGCAACAACCGGGAAAAGATAGATATAAAATTTTACAAGGGCAGGAAGAAACTTCACGGACAGAATAGTTGGCACACACAGGAAGAACAAGGATACAGTTTGAGTGCCTCACTTGTAGATTTATGAATCATGTAAGGCAACGGGCAAATGGAAATAAATGCTCTGAACAAGTGTGTGTGAGAAAAATCATGCTGCGATTGAGAACCGGACCTGGCTGAGATTCGTACCTGATGAATATTTTGTTGCAGGAACCTCAGCAGGTCTTCGTAACTTGTGGCAACGTGCAACATCAGCTGTGAAAGGAAGAAAAAAGAGTGGGGGGAAATTCAGGTCAAAATATAACGGGAACATCCAGCCAAGGTCTAGGCGAAAAATCCCAAGCAGAGAGAGAGAGAGAGAGATAGGACTACTGTCATGTGAAGCAAAGAGTTCCTCCTGGTGGAGACAGGTATTCTGCTACATATTGGGGTCCTGAGACTTTCTAAAGGTAAAGGGGTCCCTGAGCATTAGGTCCAGTTGTGACCGACTCTGGGGTTGCGGCGCTCATCTCGCTTTACTGGCTGAGGGAGCCGGCGTACAGCTTCCGGGTCATGTGGCCAGCAGGACTAAGCCACTTCTGGCGAACCAGAGCAGCGCACGAAAACACCGTTTACCTTCCCGCCAGAGTGGTACCTATTTATCTACTTGCACTTTGATGTGCTTTCAAACTGCTAGGTTGGCAGGAGCAGGGACTGAGCAACGGGAGCTCACCCCGTCGCGGGGATTCGAACCACCGACCTTCCAATCGGCAAGCCCTAGGCTCTGTGGTTTAGACCACAGTGCCACCCACGTCCCTTATGGACAATGTGGATAGATACAAAACAGAGACTATGAAATAATATGCAGTTGGAAGTGTTGACAGAACCCACGGAGGGGATGGGGTGGGGGAGTTGTGAGATTCAGAGAAATCTCGTTTTATGGATATGTATTTGGTACTGTAACTAATTCTCATTTGTAAAATCAATTAAAAATGACCCCCCCCCCAAAAAAAGCAGAAATGTGGCTCAAATGGGTTAAGGAGAAGGCTTAGGGGAGCTTTGAAGAAGGGGGGTGGCCCGGAATAATGCACAGGAGCCCTGGATGCTGCCTGGTCTGGTGAGACAATTTGTCTGCCTAACATAGGATAGTCTCTGACCAGCCACAACTCCCCAGTGTCTCAATGGGGGAGGGATTTTCCCATCACCTGGGACCCTCTGAAGATGCAAAACCCTGAACTATGGTATCTCTCTCTTTCTCTTTCTCTCTCTCCCCCTACTTTTTGAGATGGTCGGAAGATGTAGGGCTGATGAGGATCCTCTGTTGCGGAGGTGGAACGCGAAGCTCCGCGGCTCCCCAGGGAGGCTTAAATTGAAACGCCTTGTATTTTTCATGACGTTCATTCCACAAGAACGATCTTTCCAGTTCATTACTGTTTTGATCTCATCTCCGCTCTGCTCAGTTTGGGGCTTGCTGCACGGGTTGTGTGCAAACATGTATATTGGATTCCCGGTGTCAAGGTTTGTGTTTGTTTTTTTGTTTTTTTAAAATGCTTCTTATTGATTTTCCAAAACAAAAATAAACAAAGCATATACTCTTACATTCAACATTTTTGTGTCTTCTTATTTACCATGTGCGCTATTGCGCCCGGACTTCCTTCCTTCCTTACATCGGCTTTCACAATTAACATGCTCTCTTACAGATTCTTATTTACACTCTGTCCACGTCACAAGATTTATATTAACCTTGCTACAGTCTTTAAGCTTCTACAATTATTCTGTATGTACTCAACAAATTTACTCCACTCCTCTCTGAACTTTGTTACTTTTTGGTTCCGAATCTTATAGGTCATTTTCGCCTATTCTACGTATTCAAACATTTTCGTCTGCCACTCCATTAAAGTTGGGATTTCCTGGGTTTTCCATTTTTGAGCCACTAGAATCCTAGCGGCGGTCGTGGCGTACATAAATACTTTATGGTTTGTTTTTTAACTGCTGCGTAATGTTTTACGCCTCTTCCCCACCCTAACAGCAGCCCCGGAAGAAATGGAATTTGGGTTCCCTCTTTTTTGGGAAAACACACACACACACACAACCACACCCTCCCAGGACTGTGGAAATAACTGTCAAGCAGCTAAACCCCCAGATTTGCTGAACCCTGCTCTGGCTTCTCAGTGTTTGCCAGACGCTGACCACATATTTCCCGGTTCTGTTCTTGTTGGCATTAAGGGCTAGAAGCATGCATTTAAAGTTTGATGGATAGCAGGGATTCTGGGGATTCCGAGAGCGCAAATCCCAGATGCACAAGTTTGCAAATTCCACACGTGCAGAATAGAGTACAGTGGTACCTCGGTTCTCAAACTTAATCCGTTCCGGAAGTCCGCTCCAAAACCAAAGCGTTCCAAAAAACAAGGCACGCTTTCCCATAGAAAGTCATGCAAAATGGATTAATCCATTCCAGACTTTTAAAAACAACCCCTAAAACCACAATTTAACATGAATTTTACTATCTAACGAGACCGTTGGTCCATAAAATGAAAGCAATAAACAATGCACTGCAGTCACACCATCAATCAATCCATCAGTAGCTGAACTGGGTTCCACAGTGTCACAGAAACAAAAAAGCCGCAAAACAAATAGCAAAAAGAGACAGACCTCAGTGTAAGACACTCAGTGTAAGGCACTCAAATCGGAAGCGTAACACTCAAAATGGAGCACGTTCAGCTTGCAGAAAAAGTTCGCAAACTGGAACACTTTACTTCCGGGTTTGCAGTGTTTGGGTTCCAAGTTGTTTGAGTACCAAGGCATTTGAGAACCAAGGTACCAAAGTACCACTGTACGCTATTTCTAACTACAAAGCAGAAACATATACCAAAAAAAGGTTCCTGCATTGTAGCGGGTTGGCCTAGATGACCCCTCAGGGTCTCTTCCAACTTTCTACAATTCTATGAAAGGTTGAGGGTAGGTGGAGGACAGTTCTGGCTAAAACATTACCGTTTCCAAGATCCCATCTGCTTTGTATTTCCCTACAGGAGTGAACTGCTGCGTTCCAGTACACCTAAAAAGAACAGAACAACAAAAGATCTGAAGAAGGAAAACAGCCGATGAGGAGCTCCGTTTGCTAAGGGCAGGAGTCATTAAAGGACTGTGCCCTTTGCATCCAGGGTCAATATTTGGCAGGGGCTGGAGGAGCAACTAGAGTTTGGAATCTCTCCCCCGTGATACTTTCCCAGGGAAGAGGAAAACGGCAATCCCATGTGCTTTTGTCCTTCAGATTTTCTTTAAATAGGAACCTCAGAGGTTGGGAAAACATCCTCTCCTCTGAGCGACACCACTGGTCCAACTCTGGTCCAAAGAACTACCAAAGCTATTATAAGGTTTTTCTATGGAAAAGGGGGCCAATATATCCTGGCAGCCTCCCAGGTCTTTGCCACAATATATATATATATATACACACACACACACACACACACACCGGTATATATATATATACATACATATATATATATATATATATATATATATATATATATATATATATACACACACACACACACACACACACACACACACACACACCGGTATATATATATATACATATATATATATATATATATATATATATATATATATATATACACACACACACACACCGGTATATACACACACACACACACACACACACACACAGGCGTAAAGCTTCCGGTTCACGTGGCCAGCATGACTAAGCCACTTCTGGTGAACCAGAGCAGCGCACGGAAACACCGTTTACCTTCCCACCAGAGTGGTACCTATTTATCTACTTGCACTTTGATGTGCTTTCGAACTGCTAGGTTGGCAGGAGCAGGGACAGAACAACGGGAGCTCACCTGCTGATCGGCAAGTCCTAGGGTCTGTGGTTTAACCCACAGCGCCACCCGCGTCCCCAGACCCTCTATTATCAGGATCTTTATTGATGAAATGTGCAAAAATCAGTGGCTTAAGGAGGGCGTTGTCAGAAGGGGGACGGGAAAGGGAGGAGGTCTGCTCAAACTTCCCGAAAACGTGTCTTCCACTTACAAGGCAATCGTGGCTTTCCTGCGGCCGCCTGCGCGCCACAAAATGCCGGCGATGGCCAGAGTGAGGCACTGGGTTCTGGTAGCCGCCGACACTTGGAGGCACTGCCTGTTTCGAGACAAAAAGAGATAGCAAGGCGTCACCAGCGGCAAACGTTGCAAGGGGAGAAATGAAATGGGCAATGAACAGGGAGGACCATTCTGCAGTGAACATAGGAAGCTGCCTTCTGCTGAGTCAGATCATTGGTCCCTGTAGTTCAATGCTGCCTACATTGGCTGGCAGCAGCGGCCCTGAGGGGCTTCCGATGGAGAACATTCCAGGCTCTACTTGGATCCGCTGGGGATTCCAATAGTAAATTCTGATCCCCTCAGTTCACATGAAAACACACCAGCATTTTAGTGTGAATTTCTAATAATATAAACATATTTTTTTTGGTATTTCCTCCCACATTTTTCAAAGCAATTTTTGCCTCTTGTTCCTTATTTTCACAAATATGCATATTTTATCTGCACGCTTTCCCCTCCTAGTATATGCACTTTTGTTACACATTGTAAAGGTAAAGGTAAAGGGACCCCTGACCATTAGGTCCAGTTGCGGCCAACTCTGGGGTTGCGGCGCTCATCTCGCTTTATTGCCCGAGGGAGCTGGCGTACAGCTTCCGGGTCATGTGGCCAGCATGACTAAGCCGCTTCTGGCGAACCAGAGCAGCGCACGGAAACGCCGTTTACCTTCCCGCTGGAGCGGTACCTATTTATCTACTTGCACTTTGATGTGCTTTCGAACTGCTAGGTTGGCAGGAGCAGGGACCGAGCAACGGGAGCTCACTCCGTCATGGGGATTCGAACCGCCGACCTTCTGATCGGCAAGTCCTAGGCTCTGTGGTGTAACCCACAGTGCCACCCGCGTCTCATGTTACACATTGTACTTGGCTGCAAAACTGCGTTGCAAAATTCGGAGAGGTGCAAATTTCAAAAGATGGCCGTGTTTCAGTTTCCATATTGTTTTGGACTGTACATTAGGTCGGTTCACATTTAACTGTGAACTGGATTCTGTTTCTCCCTCCTCCCTACCTTGGAGAGTAAGTTCCACTGAATACAGCAGGACTTCCTTCTGAGTAAACACGCAAAGGATTATGCTGTAGGAGAAATGGCAGTCTATATACCTCTTCCTTCCTCTACTCCACCAATAAGCTGTATCTGTTGAAACATCGTCTTTTGAGCCACACTCTCATTGGAGACTGGACTAGGGGAGAACCAAGCAGCCAATTCTCTCACATATCAGCCTTGCTGTTGCTCAAGCATTGGTAGACTCCATTCTGGTTCATGCAGAATTCTCTCTTTTTTTAACATAATTTTTATTTTATTTTGCAAGTATAAAATTAGAAAAATAACATAGCATACGCACAATTAAGAGATTTCTCCAAAGCTCTGGACTTCCCACCATCCCTTCCATGGGCTCTGTTATTAAATCTTTTCTAATGCATCTTTTTCTATACAGTCGCACCTTGGTTGTCGGACGGTATCCATTCCAGAAGTCCATTCGACTTCTGAAAATGTTCGAAAACCAAGGCACGGCTTCCAATTGGCTGCAGGAGCTTTATGCACTCAATCGGAAGCTGTGCAAACCATGTCAGACGTTCGGCTTCCGAAGAACGTTCGCAAACCAGAATACTCACTTTGTGGCATTTGGGAGCCAAAACGGACGAGTACCAAGGCGTTCAACAACCAAGGTATGACTGTCCTCCCTATTATTATTATTATTATTATTATTATTATTATTAAAAACTTCATTATCTCCAGAATACCCATTACATTACAAGTGTTATTGCAACCCTGCTCATGTTTTCATCTGTTTGCAGTGCAGATTTTTCAAACAGACGAAGCAAAACTTCGCATGTACCGTATTTTTGCATGTACCGTATTTTTCGCTCTATAAGATGCACCAGACCACAAGACGCACCTAGTTTTTGGAGGAGGAAAACAAGGAAAAAAAATATTCTGAATCTCAGAAGCCAGAACAGCAAGAGGGATCGCTGTGCAGTGAAAGCAGCAATCCCTCTTGCTGTTCTGGCTCCTGGGATAGCTGCGCAGCCTGCGTTTGCTCCATAAGACACAAACACATTTCCCCTTACTTTTTAGGAGGGAAAAAGTGAGTCTTATAGAGCAAAAAATACGGTACTTTCTACGCAAGGTGCACACTTGAAAAGAATTGCTAACGTACACACAATTTGACACATTCGATTGCAAAATGCAAATTTTGCACGCATCTTTGGCATGCAATACGCGTTTGTGCGCACTGAAACAAAATCTTGAAAGGTGCAAGAAACCGACAGGGGAGCCGCCTGTGTCATGGTCTGCAAGCAACCTTTGGGCTGGCCGCATAAACTCCTCTTCCTTAATGCCCTTTCCATTTTAGATCTTCGGTTCAAAGAACGACACTCCATTTTGAAAGGAGGCTGATTGATTTCTATTCGAGGCGGCTGGGCGAGCGAAGTGGCAGCTTGCAGAGCACGATGGCAGATGTCTGGAAATAGCTGATGGGTTTAGATTGGGAGGGAAAGGAAGTACTTAGCATAAAGGTTAAAAGCAGAGGGAAGACATTAGGAAAGGGCCGTTTCAGGCCAGATATTGGAAAACGACCCCGCCCTGGACAGCGAGTTCCGTAGGATGCAGAAGAATATACTTTGGCTAGGGCAAAGGAGACCCCAAGGGGGACATTTTGTGGAACGGCTGAGAGGGGAAGAAAAACCAAAACAAATGAACATTATGATGATGATGGGCTGATGACTCCTGATTGTAACCCATAAGCTTAAGCGTGGGAGGCTTTAGGTTGTCCCTCGCTGCCAGGGTTTCAACATACCACTCAGCCCCGAGAATTGAAAGCAGAGGCGGAGAAATGCAGAAACTGAAAAATAATTCAAAGTTTTCAACAGCTTTGGCCCTGTACACCTGAAGGAGCATCTCCACCCCCATCGTTCAGCCCAGACACCAAGGTCCAGCTCCGAGGACCTTCTGACTGTTCCCTCACTGCAAGATGTGAGGTTACAGGGAACCAGGCACAGGGCCTTCTCGGTAGTGGCACCCGCTCTATGGAACACCCTCCCAGCAGATGGAAAAGAGATAAGCAATTACAGTGGTACCTCGGGTTACATACGCTTCAGGTTACAGTCGCTTCAGGTTACAGACTCTGCTAACCCAGAAATAATACCTCGGGTTAAGAACGTTGCTTCAGGATGAGAACAGAAATCACGCGATGGCAGCGCGGCAGCAGTGGGAGGCCCCGTTAGCTAAAGTGGTGCTTCAGGTTAAGAACAGTTTCAGGTTAAGAACGGACCTCCAGAACGAATTAAGTACGTAACCAGAGGTAACACTGTATACGACTTTCTTTAGACATCTGAAGGCAGCCCTATATCATGAGGTTTATATATGTTTGATGTTTCATTGTGTTTTTGTGTATGTTGAAAGCCGCCCAGAGCTGCTGGGGCAATCCAGTCAGATGGGCGGGGTACAAATAATAAAAATATTATTATTCTTCATCCCAGGCTGACAAGAGTTTGAGCTCATGATTTGGGACAGGAGTAGTGACCAGCAGAGAACTGAGCCGTAGGACTTGCACCTGCTCCCACCTGCAAAATTTAGGGTATTCACCATGTCAACACCTGCCCCAGTGGGCCACTATTGGATGCAATCCATCTGATGCAAGGTAGGCTAGTCTTTGCCAACCTGGTGGCCTCCAGTAAGCCCAGCCAACCCAACTCAACTGCCCAACTGGTGCTTGGCCTGCAAGGCTATTGATCTGACACCCAGCACTGTGTCCTCAAATGCTCCCAAGAAGCACCCAAAATAGCTGCGGGTGACATAAGATCTTGCTTCCTCTTTCCTCGACCGTAAGTGACCAACACCAAGAAGTGCCCAGATTAGCTGTGAGTGATGTAAGGTTTTGCTTCGCCTTTATCTGCTTCCCTGCAAGTCACCAACACCCTTCCGAGGAGACATCCCACACTGTCCCAAAGGCAGAGGAAGAACGCCAAAGGACTCTCTTTCATGTCTGATGCTTTGATTTGATGTTTAGTCTTCTCAAATGGGGAGATCTTTTGAGCAGACCAGCAGTGGGAACACTGAGAAGACTTATCTCTCACAGAGAGGCCTGCTATTGTCTAAAATTCCAAATGGCGTCTTCATCTGAAATGCGGATGTTTCAGATTTAGAATGTGCGTGGAAGGGATTTTGATCTTATCCCCCTTTCGGTTTACTTCAGGGGGGTGAGTATTGGGAGCGACATTGCAGCCCTGATGAATTAAACCAATTTAATTTTGCTTCATTCTTAAGGAAATCATTCTTAAGGAAATCAGCTGATTTCCTTCAGAATGGATAGGTTTTATCTTCTTGAAGTCCATGGGACTCTCAAGAGTCTCCTCCAGCGGCATAATTCGAAAGCATTAATTCTTCGGCGATCAGCCTTCTTTATGGTCCAGCTCTCACTTCCATACATCACTACTGGGAAAACCATAGCTTAGGTATTCATTATTTTAATCGGGAGGAGTTAGCAGTCAGCAGCCGTCAAACTTAGCTCATTGCAGCTTCTGGGAGCTCATGGCCTAGAGTTGCAAACAGGCCTCTCAAACGGGGGCATTTGCAAGGGCATTTTGCAGAGGAATTTAAGGGGGAGGCAGAGAGTACTGTCTCACGGTGTACATAGGACCAGGAGACATGGCGGTGGGGAGCTGATGCAGTGACCTGCCAACACCTGTGCCATGTTTGTGCATGCAGAGGGTGTTTGTGCAATTGCGCACAGCGACACACTGCTTCTACAGAGGGTCCGTCTGGCTTCCTAGCCCTCCCCAAACACACCCGGCCTGTCACGAACAATGTGTGTTTTGCAAGTGCAAAAAATACTTGGGGCTTGACCCTCAAGGACGGTGTCCATTACCCTCTCAATCAACACAATTTGGACTTTATCTCCCTTTAATGAGGTCAAGACCAGGAAGACCCCTTTTCCCCTTCCAACAATAGAGGGGGATTTGCTTTCAGCTCAGGGTGGAAAACAGGCCGGCTCTCACCAGCGTCGACTCACCACGTATTGCTGTTCCTGCTGCTGTCTCCAAAGATAAGATGTCGCAGGAGGCAGGCTTGGACTACTGCCAGGACCCCGCACGGCCCACCCTAGACAGCGGCAAAAGGCAAGGGACGGAGAAAAACAATGAGCGCTGTTTGAAGCTGCTGAGAAGCTTGCACAGGCTGCAAGCCTCTTCAGCTCCACCTAGTCTCCTGCCTCTTGTTTCCCTTTGTTTTCTGTGTTTTTAACCGCCATGGCCCAAATGTCGTGGACGTTGCGACCGGCTGAAAATTCTGCGCTTGTAATTAAAAGGTTGCGTCCCTGGATGTTTTCCCAAAGAAGAAAACCTCAGAACAGTATGCGCAGGCGATGCCAAGATCTGGAGCATGTGGTTGATTTGTTCTGTCGTCGAGGGGTGAAGCAGGGGTCTGATTTCTCTGGGTGGCCAGGTGGCCTGGGAGCAAACGGCTGGAGCAAAAGAGCTCAAATATCCCAGCCAGGAGGAGATTCAAACCCTGGTCTCCCTGTCTGTATCCTCCTAAGTCTTACACTCAAAGGTAAAGGACCCCTGACCATTAGGTCCAGTCGTGGCCAACTCTGGGGTTGCGGTGCTCATCTCGCTTTACTGGCCGAGGGAGTCAGCGTACATGTGGCCAGCATGACCAAGCCGCTTCTGGCGAACCAGAGCAGCACACACGGAAACGCTGTTTACCTTCCCGCCGGAGCGATACCTATTTATCTACTTGCACTTTGACGTGCTTCCAAACTGCTAGGTTGGCAGGAGCAGGGACTGAGCAGTGGGAGCTCACCCCCGTTGCAGGGATTCGAACCACTGACCTTCTGATCGGCAAGCCCAAGAGGCTCAGTAGTTTAACCCACAGCGCCACCCGCGTCCTAAGTCTTACTCTTAGGAGGTCAGTAATGGGTCCTCAGACTTGAGCACATGGGACACTGATACGAAGTCCTCTTCCTTAAGGCAGCCAACTGGGCAATGTTTGGAGGGTTCAGACTGGGAGACCAGGTTTTGAATCTCCACCTGGCCAGTGCGCTCACTAGGTGATCTTGGGCCCATCACTATCTCTCAGCCTAACCCACCTCACAAGGCTGTTGTGGGGCTTAAATAAGGAGAAGGGAGAACCATGTACACCCCCTCAAGCCCCTCGGAGGAAAAGGTGGGGCATAAATGCAATAATCAAATAATAAACATATAAACAAACAAACAGGCTGTGGAGATGCAAAAGCATATGCTTGGAGATCACACAATTAAAAAAAAAATTAATTGCTTTCATGAGGAAATATTTATAAATGCGTTTTTTTAGGATGTGTTAGGCTTGGCTGGCCGAAGAGCGAAAAACTATTTCGTTTCGTAAGTGATCGCCACAATCCTAAATGGAACAGAGGTGGCAAATCTCTGCCCCACTCCAGGTACTGCTGGACCCCCAACTACCACCAGCCCTACTCAGAATGGTCAGCAGCCAGGGATCATGGGAGCTGAGGTCTAGAAATACAAGGAGCACGATTCTGCTCTGTGCATGAATATTCGGTGGGGAATGACTGAACGGAACTTTCTGTGTCCTGGAGTCGCAGGTGATCTGCTCTTGTCCCAGAAGTGGGATCGGTGCATCAGGAATTCTGCGCATGCACTGTTTGCCACAGCTTCCGGTTCCTTCAGCTGCTTTGCTCATCCCGGGCCCCAACTCTATGACAAAGGCGGCACGAGTGTGCATTGCTGCCAAAGAGCAAAGACAGTCTTTCGTGAGGTCACCAGTACAGTCGCATCAAGATGTGCGGTGATTTATGCACAAGCACAATTGACCGAGCCTAGTGTTCCGTCCAGATGAAAGTCTCCTTGCACACTATTACACTAGCGCCATTCCAATGGGACTGGCCTAGGACAGCGCCCCCCTTCCCCCCATAAATTGTGCCCCCAGTGGCTTCGAAATCCTGCCTCCAGGCTTTACCTTTTTCTGTACAATGCCATACTTCAGCTGAGGGTTGTCGTTAAACATAAAACTCTGGATTTTCCATTCCTCGCTGAAGCAGCCGAGACTGGAGCCAAACAACAGGATCTTCAGGTCCTTGATTTAAATGAGAGGGGGAAAACATGAGACTAAGAATTAAAAAAAGGGAAGGACAGACCTCCTGTTCTTTTTGAAATCTAATTCTTCACTCTGGGGGGTGCACACAAACTCCCAACAAATAAGAAGTTTTCAGAGACAGCCTAAGGGCGCATGCGTGATCCGAACAGCTAGGATTCCAGCCAGCCACGCCCTATTACAGGGAACTCCATTCCATTTTCTCTTCCCCTGCATTATAAACCCCCCTGTTAGCATTCTGAGCCCCCTGATTCCTGCAGGGATTTCCAAGCAGGAAGGAGAAACCCAGTGGCACGCTGCCCGAGCCTGTCTCGCCACACTCGTAAATTTAATAAAAATAAATTGCGTATACAGTTGTCCTGATTAACCAGAGGAGTCGTTTTTTCCTTCCCTCACAATGTTCCTTTGGCATAAATGGCTGTGTGTGTGTGTGTGTGTGTGTGTGTGAGGCTTTTTGGTTGCAGACCCACTTGGGACTCAACCAGTCTTCCATTATCTTCGGGAAGGATGTGCCAAGCCTAATTGTTAAAAGAAAATGGAACCTACTGCAGCTCGGGGGGGGGGCAGATAATTAATTTAAAGTTGAAAAGCTTTTTTTTTCAGGGTATTTGTGGGCCTCGCCATCAAAATATTACAGCGTGGAGCACTCCTGCTGTTGACATTACTGTTTCTTACCCACCCTCTGCCATAAAATCCCAGAATGGGTTCCACCACTTTGGCACCAACATTGGCACTTGGTATGTTTCTGAGCACAATTCAAAGTGTTGGTGCTGACCTTGAAAGCCCTAAACGGCCTCAGCCCAGTAAGTGGTACCTTGGGTTAAGAACTTAATTCATTCTGGAGGTCCGTTCTTAACCTGAAACTGAGGTACCACTTTAGCTAATGGGGCCTCCCACTGCCACTGCACGATTTCTGTTCTCATCCTGAAGCAAAGTTCTTAACCTGAGGTACTATTTCTGGGTTAGCGGAGTCTGTAACCTGAAGCGTATGTAACCTGAAGCATTTGTAACCCGAGGTACCACTGTATACCTGAAGGAGCACCTCCACCCCCATCATTCAGCATGGACACTGAGGTCCAGCTTGAGGACCTTCTGGCGGTTCCCTTACTGTAAGAAGTGAGGTTACAGGGAACCAGGCAGAGGGCTTTCTCGGTAGTGGCACCCGCCCTGTGGAACTCCCTCCCACCAGATGTCAAAGAAATAAACAACCACCTGACATTTAGAAGACACCTGAAGGCAGCTCTGTTTAGGGAAGTTTAAATGACTGATGCTTTAATGTATATTTAATCTTTTGTTGGAAGCTGCCCAGAGTGGCTGGGAAAACCCAGCCAGATGGACGGGGTATAAATATTTTGTTGTTGTTGTTGTTGTTGCCAGATGGACAGGGTATAAATATTATGTTGTTGTTGTTGTTGTTGTTGTTGTTGTTGTTAAAATATGGTATTAAAATCAGCTTAAAACACTTTGCAGTCAAAGAGAATAGGTGAATCTTGAAGGGCAGGGTAAATGAAGAAGGCTAAGTTAAAGAGACGCATCTTCAGCGTAAGACAGAATTTGTGCAATGAAGGTGACAGCCAACTTTTGAAGAACCTCTCTCCAAAGAGCTGGGCCTGAGACCTCCTAAATGTTGACCACACTGGGCTAGATCTGAGGGTGCTGGTCTGCTTCCATGTACAGCAAGAGTCATTCGGCCTTTCCAACAGAATGTTCTGCATTGGCCACATCAATGTGTTTCTTACCCTTGCAAGATAGTAGTCAATGGGCTTTGACGTTACTTGGACAGCATACAGAGCAGAAGAGTCGGGGATCATGTAGACGTCCTCCAAATTTTCTTCGTCCTCGACATCAACTGCGGAGGGCAAAGGAAAGGCTGTTTAATACCCAGAACACATACTCAGAAACATGCAACCCCAAAACATTAGCTTTTGTGGCTTTGGCAAGTGAAGGCACCCTCCGTTCTTCCAGTCTTTAAATATGTGTTCCGTCTACATATCTGTCACGGCTGAAGAAGAAGAGTTTGGACTTGATATCCCACTTTATCACTACCTGAAGGAGTCTCAAAGCAGCTAACATCCTCCTTTCCCTTCCTCCCCCACAACAAACACTTTGTGAGGTGAGTGAGGCTGAGAGACTTCAGAGAAGTGTGACTAGCCTGCATGTGGAGGAGCGGGGAAGCGAACCCAGTTCACCAGATTACAAGTCCACCCCTCTTAACCACTACACCATGCTGGCTGACACACAAAAGCATTACCCTCCAGGAATACTGATTTGACACGTACATAAAGTTCTGCTATAAAGAATTTGGATTTTCATTATGAGAGCTTGGGGTCATAGCAGGCAGCTCGATGAAGACCCAGTGCGCAGAGGCTCTAAGATGCTACTGGAAGGAATTTTTTTATTTTGTTTTGACTATGGCAGACCAACACGGCTACCTACCTGTAAATGAAACATATGTTGTAGATATTTTCCCACATTTATTATGCTATTTTTGTGGCATACAAATAACATGAGAAAACTTGCTATACTTATTTGTATAACGTTATTCTTGTTTATAAAGCCCAATAAAATAAATCAATAAAAATTTCTATCGGCCTCCAGAAATAGCGATGGATAGACGTGTAAAATCCTTACCCTCGCAATAAGTGAGCTAGTTGAGAACGGAATAAGACATACCTAGTTCCAGAGCGTCTTGGTTCAAGCTGTCTTTGCTGGGAGAGGACACAGGCATCTTTCTGGACAGAAACAAATTAAGCACACAGATGACCAAACAAGAGGCAATTTATCAGAAAGGCTGCTGTATAAACAGAGATGAACAACAACATTTCAGCAAGGAGAGCAGTTTTTCATCCGCATTCTGTGCTCAGAAGGATGGGGGCGAAGGGGGCATCAAGTCCCCCACCCCCCTCAACAAAATTCAGGGACTGTCAATCTCAGTTCTCAGTTTCGCGATCTTAAATTCAGACCTCCACAGCAAATTTGCCATTTCTTCTTTAATGCTTGCAGAGATTCGCCAGCACTTCCAATTTCTCCCAATAAACCCATTCTCGTCTGCAGTTCCGACCAACGTACACATCTTAGCAAGCAGTTTCCCCTAAGGGAGTGCATTTTTGTGAGGTATTTTGCTATCACATTAGTTTTCATGCCCCAAATATGTGCATTTTTTGTAAATGTTGCTTGGTTGGAAAAGTGTGCTGCAAAAAATCAAGCGAGTGAGAATTCTGAAGGATAGCTGTATTTGGGTTTGCAAAGTGTGAATTGGATAGCTTCTCACTGAAATGCAAACAAAATTAAATCCCCCCATTCCTATTGGGGGGGGGAGTACAATTTTTAGGCGGGGGAGAATGCCTGCTGCCATGTTTTCTCTGAAAAGCCCTGGCAGGCTACTCTATATGATGTAGCAACACTCATATAGTTTCAATATCTGCCATTTTGGGATGCAGGAAATGGTTGCTCCAGCGATGGACAGGAGTCCTGATGCTACTGCAAATCCCGTCCCTGCAGGGGAAAGTCAAAATTGCCCTTTCATTTTAGTATCTGCTAATAGATTAGTGAAATGGAAGCGTGGGTGCAATTTTAGCCAGGGCCTTCAAAAAAACCAACAACCTTTTGACGTCATGTTGTGCCTTGAGAGTAAACTATGGGAAAATGATGTACCGGTGGTATTTAACCCCAACTAAGTTGGCAAAAATGTATAGGACAAGTACAAATACCTGCTGGAAATGTAAAGAAAATGAAGGTAACTTTTATCATATGTGGGGGACTTGTAAGGTAATAAAAGCTTTCTGGGAGATGATATATCAAGGGTGAGCAAACTTTTTCAGCAGGGGTCCGGTCCACTGTCCCTCAGACCTTGTGGGGGGCTGGACTATATTTTTTGGGGGGAAATGAACGAATTCCTATGCCCCACAAATAACCCAGAGATGCTGTGCTGGTCCCGTGGGTTTCCGTGAGGCATGGTCCGAGTCCAGTCTGAGGTCAAGGGTGCAGTATTGAGGCCGTCCATCAAAGCTGAAGCTGGGTGCAAGACAGGGAGTTGGGCGAGGTCAGGAGATCCGGCAGGACAGGGTGCAGGCAGGAACTAGCAACCAACAATGTTGCTCCTGCAACCTGGGACTGGGGCTGGCTGGCTTTTATCTGCCCTGAGGCATAGGGCAACCCCGATCCTCTGGGGACTCGTCTCTCCTGGCCTTAAGGCGAGCACTCCTCCTGCGGGAACTTACTTCCCTCCGCCTCTCTGCCCTGAGCCTCTGCAGCTCAGGAGAGGCTGGAGGGTTACCGGACCCAGAGGCAACTTCAGTTTCCCCTGACGGGGCTGAGAGTGGAGCACCTGCAGGCAATGGGTCCTCCATCACCTCAGGAGCCAGAGCAGACTCAGCAGGTGCCTGCACCTGAGGATCCAGCACAGGTGAGGACCCTTCAGGCTCAATCCCAGCCCTAGCTCAGCTGGTTCTGGAGGCGGGGAATCCTGTGCAGGCTAGGATTCCTCAGGTTCAGCCGAATCCCAGGCCATCACAGATGCATTTTAAATAAAATCACACATTCTACTCATGTTACACCAGGCAGGCCCCACAAATAACCCAGAGATGCATTTTTTTTTTTAAAAAGGGCACATTCTACTCATGTAAAAACATGCTGATTCATGGACTGTCTGTGGGCCGGATTTAGAAGGCGATTGGGCCAGATCCGGCCCCCAGGCCTTAGTTTGCCTACCCATGTGATATATAATGAAATGGGAAAAAATGCTTAGAATAACCTTTGTTAAGAAAACAGAAGCTTTTCTATTAGGAATTATAGGTACCGATATGTGAAAGGACAACAGCCGCTTGGATGCCACTAGCCCAGAGATGGAAAGAACACAAAGTCCGTACCAGAAAGGATTGGCAAACCAAGTTGATGGGACTACGCCAAAATGGCAAAACTGACCGGAAAACTCAGAAACCAAGAGGACAAAAACTTTATAAAAGAATGGGGGAAATGTAGAAGTTATTTAGGAGACCACTGTAAGCAGATGGAAACATTAGCAGGATTTTGATTTCACCGGTAGTGTGACAATCACCATGGATAATATGGTTTGATATAAAAATTGGAGTGTGGAAGAAGATGCAGCAGAAAATGTTTAAAATGGGACCCCATGGAGAGGGTGGGGGAGGGGAATCCTGAGATTCGAAGGAATCTCTTTATATGGATATACAGTGGTACCTCGGTTTACGAACTTAATCCATTCCGGAAGTCCGTTTTTAAACCGAAAACGTTCTTAAACTGAGGCGTGCCTTCCCTAATGAGGCCTCCCGCAGCCGGTGCCCTTCCACCATTCGGAGTTCGTTCTTAGACCAAGGTAAAGTTCTCAAACCGGGACACTATTTCCGGTTTTGCGCAATTCGTAAACCGAATCGTTCTTAAACAGGGCTGTTCTTAAACCAAGGTACCACTGTACTTTTTGATTCTTTGTTTATAATTTTGTATTTGTAAAACCAGTAAAAACGATTTTTTTAAAAAACCAAACCTCTTGTCACAGAGGACTTTTAATTCTTATTTTGACTATTATTGCATGGTACGTTGCACGGGCTCCTCTCTCCCTCACATTTTGCACATTGCGTTGTCTTCCCATCGGGCTGTTAAACCTACTTGGATCTGCTCCAGTTTGGTAACTGAAATTGGACCATATTCCTGGCATCTCTTTGTCTCCACAGAGTGAGGGAACCGTTTCCACACCCAGATGGGAGGAGAGACGGAGGTCGTTATCCAGGATATGGGATCCCACACATTCCCAGCTCAACAATGTCATCGCATCAGCGACTGCCGACTTGCAACATCCTTCCCATTCATACGTTTCCCCTCCTGGCTCTTTAGCAGGAGATGAGCAAAGCAGGGAACTCCCTTCGTGACATTCAGGACCTTCGTAGCTGAATACGGGGGGCTTTTTCTGGTGGGGTGGGGGTGTCTCCTGGACCTCTGACTACTGGACCCCTTCTGCAACTTAAGAACATAAAGCTAGCGCTTGTTCTCACCCTGGAAAGCTATAAGGAATTGATTCAACAAAACGTGACTCAGTCAGGAGAACTGAAGCATGCGTACACACTGGAGTAGAAAATGAATCACCGGCGTTAGGGATGAGTCAAGGCAAAAAAAGAAAACCCCACCCAGCGAACATCCGTGTTTTAAAAGACCAGCCATGGGATTGAATCAAATGGGTTGCAAATCAATAAAATTACATTGCAGTGGGGTATGGTAACCTTTGGGACGCAGGTGGCGCTGTGGGTTAAACCACAGAGCCTAGGACTTGCCGATCAGAAGGTCGGCGGTTCGAATCCCCGCGACAGGGTGAGCTCCCGTTGCTCGGTCCCTGCTCCTGCCAACCTAGCAGTTCGAAAGCATGTCAAAGTGCAAGTAGATAAATAGGTACCGCTCCAGCGGTAAGGTAAACGGCATTTCCGTGTGCTGCTCTGGTTCGCCAGAAGCGGCTTAGTCATGCTGGCCACATGACCCGGAAGCTGTACACCGGCTCCCTCGGCCAATAAAGCGAGATGAGCGCCGCAACCCCAGAGTCGGCCACGACTGGACCTAATGGTCAGGGATCCCTTTACCTTTATGGTAACCTTTGGCAAGGATATCTAAAAGGTAAAGGACCCCTGGACAGTTAAGTCCAGCCAAGGGCGACTGTGGCTTCGAATCCCACAGCGCTCTTATTCCTTTCCTGATGAGTCCGTTCAAGATTGGCCTTGACTCAACAGGGTCAGATTCCACATAATGATTTTATACAGTTCATAATGGAAATATTCCCCATCTTGTAATGTTCAATTATATTACGAGATGAGCACGGTTTTCCTGAAGTTCTTCAACACAAAATGCAGAGCAAGCTTGTGCATGTGTGCCATCAGCAGGGTGTCTTGGGAAATGTAGTCTCTCAAGGTACCTGAGAGTGACCTTGGGCCAGTCGCTGCCTCTCAGCCTAGCCTACCTCGCAGGATTGTTGTGGAGATCAATTAGGAAGGAGAGTACCTAATGAGCACCTTGGAGAAAAGGGTGGAGCATGAATGCAAGAAACAGACAAATAAATAAGTGTGCACCAGGGTACAACTGTGGCACCTGCACACTGCCTCCCAGTCAACACAATGCAAAAACCACAATCCCAAAAGTTGAAACAAGAGGGTTTCTGGGACTGGGAAAGACTCGCAAGGACTTTACCACCGTTTCCCCTTCAGCAGATGATCTCGCAATCACAACTATTGTATACATAGCACGCATGGGTTGGTGGAGCAGGGAAATGCACGGTTCCCGCATGTTGTAAGAAGGAAGCAATCCATCACATTAGGAAAAGGGGGCAGGAAGAAAATAGGCCTCCCCATAAGGAAGCCATACGGCGCTCTCTCCAGATTGACAGGCCTCCCCCTTTTGATCTCTGCGTACTGCGGGCCCGGTGTTTACACGAAGAGCAACGCTGCTGGGGAAAGTCCCTCTCTTGATACAATAAGGCCCTCTTCCTCTACAGCTTCCTATTTACAGTATAGAACAAATACACAAAGGGCTTCTTAAATAAGCAGTGGTCACCGGCCACTTCAAAACAACCAACTCTCCTTGCAGGAGAAATCAGGCTGCAGCGTTGGGATGGCTTGCTTGATGGGTTTTCCACGGCATGGTGGTAAGCTTTAGAAATAAATCTAGAGACTCAAAATAACTCTTCTAGGCTTATAAGAGACAGCACCTTGCCAACAAAGGTCCGTATAGTTCAAGCTATGGTTTTCCCAGTAGTGATGTATGGAAGTGAAAGCTGGACCATAAAGAAGGCTGATCGCCGAAGAATGGATGCTTTTGAATTATGGTGCTGGAGGAGACTGTTGAGAGTCCCATGGACTGCAAGAAGATCAAACCTATCCATTCTGAAGGAAATCAGCCCTGAGTGCTCACTGGAAGGACAGATCCTGAAGCTGAGGCTCCAATACTTTGGCCACCTCATGAGAAGAGAAGACTCCCTGGAAAAGACCCTGATGTTGGGAAAGATGGAGGGCACAAGGAGAAGGGGATGACAGAGGGCGAGATGGTTGGACAGTGTTCTTGAAGCTACCAGCATGAGTTTGACCAAACTGCGGGAGGCAGTGGAAGACAGGAGTGCCTGGTGTGCTCTGGTCCAGGGGGTCATGAAGAGTTGGACACGACGAAACGACAACAAGGCTTATAAGAACAGAAAGAGAGTTTGTAGGATAAGTCCAGTGGCCCATTTGAGCCAGCATCCTGCTCTCACAGAGGCTGAACCTATTATTATTATTATTATTATTATTATTATTATTATTATTACCCAGCCACACTGGCACACTGGGCACTCCCAACAGATAAATAAAAAGAATAAAACATCAAACATTAAAAACTTCCCTAAGCAGGGCTGCCTTCAGATGTCTCCTAAAGGTCAAATAGCTGTTTATTTCCTTGACATCTGACGGGAGGGGCGGGCGCCACCACCGAGAACGCCCTCTACCTGGTTCCCTGTAACCTCACTTCTTGCAGGGAGGGAACCGCCAGAAGATACTTGTGGGAAACCCGCAAGCAGGATTCGAGCAATAGGGGACTGTTACTCAGAAGCATCGCTGCCTCCAACCATGGAGGGTAGAGGATAGCCATCATGGCTAGTAGCCATCAGTAGTCCTCTCCTCCACGAATTTATTGCATCTGGGTTGCTTTTAAAGCCATAATAATAATAACAACAACAACAACAACAACAACAATAATAATAATAATAATAATAATAATAAATTTTATTTATACCGCACCCTCCCAGGCCAGAGCAGGGCTCAGGGCAGTTAACACCAGTAAAATTATAGTAAAAACATAATGGGGGGGAGGGGAACAATTTAAAATACAGGTTAAAATGCAATTTAAAATGCAGCCTCATTTTAAAAGTAGCCCATAGATCAAAACCATAAGGGGAGGGAAACATAAGGGTCAGACTGAGTCCAAGCCAAAGGCCAGGCGGAACAGCTCTATCTTGCAGGCCCTGCGAAAAGATGTCAAGTCCCGCAGGGCCCTAGTCTCTTGGGACAGAGCATTCCACCAAGTCGGGGCCAGTACTGAAAAGGTTGGTGACCGTGACTGTCTCCTGTGGCAAGGAGTTCCACAGTTTAAATGAAAGATCTATTTCCCCATACGAGCCCAAGACGGTGCCCAAACATTATCCTGGGCTCCCTTCACTCGGTAGCCAGCTTGTGGCTGGATGCACTCAGTGGTACTAGGCAAGGCGTTCCCTTTCTGTCTCTCACTATCCAGAGGCAAAGTTGGCAGGGGTGAGGCGTTCCGTCTCTGAAGCAAGGTGCCAGCTGTCATTCCCTTCTGCCATTTCCTGCCTGCCAGGGCTCCAAAGGCAGCGGTGACGTTACCTGGCAGGGGAGATACCATGATCAAGCTGGGGAATAAGGGGCACAGAAAACAAAGAGCTGCCCTTTGCATGACGACAGCCTGGGAGTCAGAGAGGACAGGAAGAAGACTCAGACTCGTAAGCTGGGCCCAGAGACAAAAGGCCCTTTCCTCCCCCAAAAAAGACAACGACACAGGACTTCCTTCCAAAATTCGGTACCAACTCCACCAATTCCTGGTTTCTGAATCAGAGCCAACACCCACCTAGTCCAGCTCTAGAATAATATATGCATATATATATTTACAGCTGTAAAGTTAGTAAGATGTACCAATCAATGAAAAGATAACCTTTAAAAACCCATTTTATTCTCTTGTTAATTATGCTGTGCATTTTATATTTGACTTCACTTAGCAATGTTTGTTTGTTTTTTGAAATCTTTAAGGTTTTTTTTTGTTAACTTTGTGTTAAATACGTATTCTGTAGTTGACCTCCTTTGTAATCTTTTGAAATCTTTAAGATAATATTTTAAGCTTTCTGTTAATTATGTTGCTTTGACTGTATGTTCTATATCTGACTTTCTTCAGAAATGTTGGGTTCTGGATTGTTTTACTGATGTTTCAATATGATGTAAACCACTTTGAGATTTTTCTTAAAAATATAAAGCAGTATAGAAATGAAATAAATAACAAATAACAACAACAACAACAGCAGCAGCAGCAGCTGTAACTGAGCAAAGCACAGAGGTTGTTTGCAAGGTTTTCTAAATGGCTCAGGACCGCAATACCTCAACGACCGCCTCTCTCCATATGAACCTACCCGGACCCTGAAATCAACCTCTGAGGTCCTTCTTCATGTCCCTCCTAGAGGGCAGCAACACAAGAACGGGGCCTTCTCTGCAGTGGCTCCCTGTCTATGGAATGCAAGGATTTATTAATATGTGGCATTTATAACCCACCTTTATTTATGCCCCACCAAACTGCACATCTCTCGCAGCTGCCTGATGCTTCATGACCCTCTTTCCATCCCAGAATGAATTGGACGGAGGACAAAGTCGCTCAAAAACAAACTGGATTTTTTCTTCTTCTTCAAAACACACACAGATACAAGGTGAATCTTGGAGCCTATTCACATTCCTATCCTGTACATGAAAAAACAACAACCCAGCGTATTGCCAATAAATTTACCTGCCAGGTTAGGATGACCAGAGGCAAGATGCCCTTTATCATTCTACAACACCTGGCATCCACTAAGGTCCCATATGAGAAATGACAAACAATCAATCGAGAGAACCTGCACAGAAACAACTGGAGAAACCTATCGGATTACAGTCTTTAATATGCATCACAAACCAGTTTTCTAAGTAACTTGAAGCTGCTGCTATGCCTTTTTCCAAGAAATGACAGACTAGCTGCTATTGTTGTTGTTTATTGTATTTTAAATTATGCTTATTACATGTGAAAAAGCAATAAAATGCATTAAAAGAAAAGGCTGCGTCATCTGCCACGAGACCAGAGTCCAGGGAAATCTAATGGATATCAGGCTTCCCTTGAGAGGGCCATCTTTAGCATATGCGCCACCGGGGTGCAAAGATCCGCCCAGCGCCCCCAAATTTAGTTAATTTATTGGCATTGTAGGGGAGGATGTATATGCAATAACGGCAGCAAGAATAGTATTGGCACAAAAATGGAAGCAAGAAGAATTACCGACAAAAGAACAATGGCAAATGAAATTAATGGACTATGCAGAATTAGATAAATTAACTGGAAGGATTTGACACCTGCGGGACCAGAGATTCTTAGAAGACTGGAGTAAATATTTGAACTATTTGAAAAGCAACTGTAATAAGCAGATTACGCTAGTAGGACTACAAGAAGTTCTGTAAGGAGGATTATATGAAATATTGCAAGGAAGACTATGAAGAGAATTATTACTTAATGATAATTAAAAGTAATAGAGAAATTAAGAAATGCAGAATAAGTGATAAAGAACGGAAAATCTTCAGAGGTTGTTGTCGGAAGTCTAAAATATTGTATAAGATAAGAAGTTATGTTAAATGACTGTTGGAAATGATATGTTAAAAAATTAATAAAAATGTGTGCGTGTGTATATATATATATACATACACAAATAATTTAGTTAATTTCGCATGCACAGCGCCACTGAGAACGTCGAGTCTGACAAGCGCCACCGTTGTGAATAACAAGCACCGCGTCTTTTGTAAATAAGTGCACAAAATCGAAAGTCCTTCAGTGAAACAGTGGGTATACATTTCAGTAATACCTAAGTATATATGTATTTTGTTTTTCTAGCTTGATGAAAATTATTTATTATTCCGTAACACGTAGATAGTTAAGAGCTTAGGCGGCTTCAGCGGCGGGCACTTGGCGCCCCCCAAAATTCGGTGCCCGGATGCCCTGCACCCCTTGCACTCATAGGTAAAGATGGCCCTGTCCCTTGATGAAAGAAGTGAGACAAGTCACTCTGGTGCGGAAGGTGGCAATTGCAGTTTCTATTTTTTTTATTTTTTAATTAATATTTATTAAAGTTTCAGAAAAAATAAAATCACATTAATAAACAAGAGAAATTTGAAAAGAAAAAAGAAAAATACACAATAGAAAATACAAAATACAAAAAGATAAAAAAAGAAAAAAACAGTTAAAAACAATTCCGTCTTTTCATAACTTCTTTTACATTTACTTGTTTCCCGGACTTCCTCATACCTCCCTCTTTTGTATTCCAATTCCGGTTGTTAATCCAGCAATTTATTTCCCTCCTTTTTAATCCCAATCCTTAATCTTAATATATTATGACATTAGATTTTTACCTATTTGAAACCAATTTTTCCATTCTTTTAACTTTTTTAATCCTAATCCTAATCCTTAATCTTAATATATTTATAGCTTTAAAACCTATACAGCTAGAAGCCATTTAACTTCAATCCAACATCATTCTAACATTCTTTAATTTTGCAATGTTTCTGTAAATAATCTTTGAATTTCTTCCAATCTTCTTCCACCGACTCTTCTCCCTGGTCACGGATTCTGCCAGTCATTTCTGCCAATTCCATGTAGTCCATCATTTTCATCTGCCATTCCTCCAGTGTGGGTAACTCTTGTGTCTTCCAATACTTTGCGATAAGTATTCTTGCTGCTGTTGTAGCATACATAAAGAAAGTTCTATCCTTTTTTAACACCGATTGGCCGACTATGCCCAGGAGAAAGGCCTCTGGTTTCTTCAAGAAGGTGGCAATTGCAGTTTCTATCCTCAAACTGTGACAGAACTGTATTGCTAACCAGAATAAGGGGCAGTTGGATGTGCCCCCCCCCCCCTAAATCTAGAGCGTAAGGACTGGGCTGGTTCCACAGCCAGCCAAATGTTCCACATAATACACAGGAGCAGCACTGACAGAGCAAATGGCAAGGCTTGGGTAGAGTTTTATGGAGAGGGAAGAACTAAGCCGCGGTTTAGATAATATTAGATAAACACTTTCCCCATCCCCAGAGCCTGTCCATGTTCCCCAGTGGCTCAGCACTCAAGAGTGGTGTCACAGGTTAAGCGCCGTCTCAAAAACTTTTTACAGCCTCCGCTGCTGGAGGGTTAACTTGTGAGAACCGCCATGCGTGGCAGCTTAGGAAAACGGGCTGCGAAGAAAACAAGACGAAAACTTCCATCTGCAAAAAAAACCAAAGAGGATTTTGCTTTACAGGCTGGGATAGCAGGGTTGAAGCAAAGCGTTAGAGAAGAATCGGGGGAAACGGGTTTGCTGATCTCACGAGCCTGCACTAAACTTGGACCAGCCTCGCCAAAGATAATGGTATTTACGAACGCCAGATTTCCTCCACGAAATGTTGCAGGGAAGGAAGAGCAGTGACTGTACGCTGAATGCATCAGGTCCAAAGGGAGAAGAGCAATTATCCCCCCCCCCCAATCTTCATCAGATTTGCAGATGACTCCAAACTGGGAGGGGTAGCTAATGCACCAAAGACAGAACAACAGGATTCAAGATGACCTTAAGAGATTGGAGAACTGGGCCCAAGCTAACAAAATGAGTTTCAATAGGGATAAATGTAAGGTTCTGCACTTAGGCAGGAAGAACCAGATACACAAATATAGGGTGGGGACACCTGGCTTGCTAGCAGTGCATGTGAAAAGGATCTAGAGGCCTTACTAAACCACAAGCTTCACATGGCCCCTACCAACTTTACAGTTCTATGATTCTATGAGTTAACAGTGTGATATAGCAGCAAAAAACGTGGCTGCTCTTCTAGGCTGCATCAACAAAAGTACTGTACGGCGTCCAGGTCAAGAGAAGTAATGTTGTTGTTTAGTCGTGTCCGACTCTTCGTGACCCCATGGACCAGAGCACGCCAGGCACTCCTGTCTTCCACTGCCTCCCGCAGTTTGGTCAAACTCATGCTGGTAGCTTCAAGAACACTGTCCAACCATTTCGTCCTCTGTCGTCCCCTTCTGCTTATGCCCTCCATCTTTCCCAACACCAGGGTCTTTTCCAGGGAGTCTTCTCTTCTCATGAGGTGGCCAGAGTATTGGAGTCTCAGCTTCAGGGTCTGTCCTTCCAGTGAGCACTCAGGGCTGATTTCCTTCAGAATGGAGAGGTTTGATCTTCTTGCTATCCATGGGACTCTCAAGAGTCTCCCCCAGTGCCATAATTTAAAAGCATCAATTCTTCAGCAATCAGCCTTCTTTATGGTCCAGTTCTCACTCTCGGTAATAGTACTGCTCTATTCTGCCTTGGTCAGACCACACTTGGAATACTGTGTCCATTTCTGGGCACCACAATTTAAGAAGGATGTTGACAAGCTGGAACATGTGCAGAGGAGGGGGACCAAGATGATCAAGGCTCTGGAAACCAAGCCTGATGAGGAACGGTTGAAGGAGCTGGGAATGTTTAGCCTGGAAAAGAGGAGATACGAGAGCCGTCTTCAAATATCTCAACCGCTACCATAAGGAAGATGCAGCAACCTTGCTTTCTCCTGCCCTGGGGGGCAGGACTCGAACCCATGGCTTCAAGTTACGAGAAAGGAGATTCCGACCAAACACCAGAAGGAATTCTGGAAGTAAGAGCTATTTGACAGTGGAATGGACTCCCTCGGAAGGTGGTGGATTCTCCTTCCTTGGAGGTTTTTAAGCAGAGGTTGGATGGCCAGCTGTCATGGCTGCTTTAGTTGAGAATCCTCCATTGCAAGGGGTTGGCCTAGATGACCTTTGGGGTCTCTTCCAGCGCTATGATTCTATGATCCAGTTTACCTCAACACATTTTCCAGTGTTTGGAGCCTTCCCACTGCCCACCACCAAGGCCCACCAAATTTGGAGAAGGCCCAGGGAGCATTTAAAACAGTGACCCTTATTGTTGTGCTGGGCCTGGGGGTAACACGAGTAGCACGGTCCAAGTCCGGTCCCGAATCCAGGGGTTCTGCAAGGAGTCAGTCCGACAGGCCGAGGCAGGACACGAGGCTGCAAGTACTCAGGTCTCTCCTTCTCTCAGACCTGAGTCTCTGCAGCTCGGGAGACGTCGGTGGGTTACTGGACCCAGGGGCCGCCTCAGCCTCTCCTGACCCAACTGGTAGTGGAGCAGCTGTAAGTGATGGCCCAGCTGAAGGCAACGAGGTAATCCCCGCATCTGGATCCAGGGCAGGTTCAGGCCCCTGACTCGGCCCAGCTGGTGCTTTTTGCAGGGGAACCTGTGCAGACTGGGGCTCTTCAGAATCAGGCCCCATACTTGGTTCAGATGATGCCTGAGGCAAAGGATCCGGCGCGGACTGAGACTTCTCTGGATCCAAGTCCGAGCCCGAGTCCCAGGCCATCCCAGTGTTCACCTCCTGTCATCTATCCCTCCTTCTCTCCTCTGAATGGGAAAGAATTAGTTGGCCCAACATCTCATCTTTGGCATGGAAGATTTCGCCTCCTCCACCCACCCACAACTCACCTACCCTGCACAGAGGCAAGTGCTTTTTAATAGCTCCTGAAATATCACTGCAAAAACCTCATCATTTGATAATGGGTTGTTTTCGAGCTGCGTCCATGGAGGGATCCTGAAATGGCCACATAGGCTTAAAAGGCCTCTATTGGAAAATTAGTCATGTTTCAGAGAAGCATCGTTTTTTAAAAAAGGAGACACTTCAGGCCATTTTGCTTCCCAGACGATTACTCCAAGCTGTGCCTTTGCACTTGCGAGAGAGAGAGGGGCTGTTGGCAGGTCCCTGTACACAAACACGGAGCTATAATGGCTGTGTTTGCACATCACATAGAACCATAGTGGATCATAGATCATAGAATTGTAGATTCTAAGGTCATCTAGGTTGGGATTACACTCCTCCCGAGCTGCAGATGTGTGGGATTATTGCATGTCACATGTCTGTTTACATTGCAGCACAGATTACTGGACGCAGTAGGGACGCGGGTGGCGCTGTGGGTTAAACCACATAGCCTAGGGCTTGCTGATCAGAAGGTCGGCGGTTCGAATCCCCACGACGGGGTGAGCTCCCTTTGCTCGGTCCCTGCTCCTGCCCACCTAGCAGTTCAAAAGTGCAAGTAGATAAATAGGTACCGCTCCGGCGGGAAGGTAAACGGCGTTTCCGTGCGCTGCTCTGGTTCGCCAGAAGTGGCTTAGTCCTGCTGGCCACATGACCCGGAAGCTGTACGCCGGCCCCCTCGGCCAATAAAGCGAGATGAGTGCTGCAACCCAAGAGTCGGTCACGACTGGACCTAACGCTCATGGCTCCCTTGACCTTTACAGATTTCTGGAGTCCGTGAGCGGAACTTCCGCTCTGTATTGCTTTTGTTTCTCACTCTCTCCGAGAAGAAGAACAAGAAGAGAGGCCATGTTTTTCTTCGCCCTGATTTATGTATAATAAATGCGTAGCTTAGTATCGTATCCACGCCTCGGGCCTGATTCTGTTGTGTGATTACTCTGCCGAGTAATGTGTGCTCAAGCATGACCTGCCGCTTGAGTCGCCGACGCATGTCGGAGGAGAATGACTGATGGATCTCCGCAGCGGCGAGGCTGAGAGGGGTGACGCTACGGCTAGGACCGAGCCAGCGGGCTTTTCATCCCCGGTTCCAACAATCTAGTCCAACCCGCTACAATGCAAGAATTTTAGCTAGGTTTTAATCAAGGGGCTTAGGGGAGCTTTCCAGACCAAGGACCACACACCCTTCTAAGATTCTTAAATGTCCTGCAGACACTTGATTTCTCCCAAACTTTTTGCAAAGCCAGCCACTGCCATCGCCATTCCTGCGCTGTTTCTCCTCGTTCAAAATGCACGATGCAAAACACCAAAAGGCTGTGTTTATATGTTATTGCATATATATATATATATATATATATATATATATATATATATAGTGCACAGAATACTTCTGCTGTGTTCCTGGCTTGCTGGGTCCTTGTCGATTCTCTCCCAGCTGTGATCCACTCCAGCAGAAAACTGAGTCTCCCCTCTGCTCTGCCACAGCCGGTTCTTGTCAAAAGTGCAACGAATATTATGGGGGAAAGTTCCATTTGCTAGAGCTGGGATAGATCTCGGTGCTGGGGACCATTGCAAGTGAGGGGTATGGGGAGGAAATACCCTATAGCCTGTGCTTTTAAATCCATGCATTTCATTTTTATTTTTTTTAAATAATATTTATTAAGATTTGAAAAGTTACAAAAAGAAAAAATAGAAAACAGCATACTAAGCAGAAACAGAACATCACATCACAATAAAAAAGAAAAAAAGAAAAAGACAAAACAAAACAAAACAAAACACAATGAATCTTCCCATAACTTATCTTTCATTTGCTTGTTTCCTTGACCTCCTCACACCTCCCTTTTTTGTATTCTAGTTCAATTAGCTATTTCAGCAAGTCCTTTCCATCTTTTCCAGTTTATGTCCTCTATTTTATCTTAATATAATGTAACTTTGCTTTCCCTCCTTTCACCATTTAACAATCTATTTTTTCTTAATCCTTTACAGCATCTCTGCTAAAACCACATTACTTCATTCCAACATCCTTCTAACATTCCTTAATTTTACAATGTTTCTGTAAGTAAACTTTAAATTTCTTCCAATCTTCTTCCACCAACTCTTCTCCCTGGTCTCGGATTCTGCCAGTCATTTCCGCCTAAATCCATGCATTTCACAACTTCCACTCCTCGTACAATTGGAAAACCGCAGATATTTATTATGCTTCCTGGGAAGGGAGGACCACTTTTATTCCTGGGGAATCTTTCCATAAATCAAACTCGAGACAGTCGCAGGGAAACCAAAATGCTTGTTTACAAAGCTATTGTACTACCAACCTTACTGTACGCTTGTGAAACATGGGCCACTTATAAGTGCCATCTCCAACTCCTCAAAAGATTCCATCAACGGTGTCTCCGAAAAAATTTACACATTGCTTGGGACGACAGGTGAACTAATACCAGTGTACTGGAAGAAGCAAAGATCACCGGTGTTGAAGCAATGATTCTTCAACATTAGCTTCGTTGGACTGGTCATGTTGTGCGGATGCCTGATGATCGTCTTCCAAAGCAACTACTCTATTCCAAACTTAAAAATGGAAAGCGTAATGCTGGTGGTCAACAAAAGAGGTTCAAAGACTGTCTCAAGGCAAATCTTTAAAAACGTAGTATAAACACCAACAACTGGGAAACGCTTGCCTGCGAGCGCTCCAATTGGAGAACAGCCTTTACCAAAGGGGTCATGGGCTTTGAAGACACTTGAACTCAGGACGCCAGGGAGAAACATGCTAAGAGGAAGGCACGCTTGGCAAATCCACACTGTGGTCAACTCCTGCCCAGAAACCAATGTCCCCACTGTGGAAGGACGTGTGGATCCAGAATTGGCCTCCATAGTCACTTAAGGACTCATTGTTAAAACCGTGCTTATGGAAGACAATTTTACTCAGCTACGAGCGATCGCCGAAGAAGAAGGAGAAGGAGAAGGAGAAGAGGAAGAAGACGAAGACAAAGACGAAGAAGAAGAAGAAGAAGAAGAATCCTAGGAAGAGTCCCAAGGACTATATAGAGAAGAAATCCAGCCCTTAGGCCTGAGATTCTCCACTCTTCTTTTACCCTTCCCTAAAACTAAAAACCAGCATCTTCCTTTCACTGGCCAGCTATTTATTTATTTATTTTAAACCCTCTCCCTCCCTGATGCCTCAAATTCATTGCTCTTCAGACGGGTCCTTTTGATGCAGCGCTCTGGTTCTCGGACCTAATCCCTCTCTAGACAGCATGCATAGGCAAAAAAATAAAATAATAAAATAAAGGTGCCTGAGGCTAGTGGCGGATCAGCAACAGGCCTTTTTGAAAATGTCAAACCACAGGGTGGGTGTTTAAAAAGAAAGAATGAAAAACCATCACCACCAACAACAACAAAAAGTAGAACGGGAAGTAAAAGAACAAGAAATGTATTTCTTGATTGGCGTTTCAGAGGGCACATCCCAGAATTCCCAACAGCTGGAACTGACAGAGAGTTGTCTTCCAAGGACAGGAGAGGAAAGGGCCAAGTCTGAGCTAGTCATGGTTAATGACGTCTTTAAAGTCCTGTGATAACACTTAGAACAGTCACGGCTCCTCCCGACCAGAGAAGAATGGGAAACCAAGCTGATGGAGTTATGTATGAGTTATTTAAACCACAGAGCCTAGGACTTGCTGATCAGAAGGTCGGTGGTTTGAATCCCCGCGACGGGGTGAGCTCCCGTTGCTCGGTCCCTGCTCCTGCCAACCTAGCAGTTCGAAAGCATGTCAAAGTGCAAGTAGATAAATAGGTACCACTCCGGCGGGAAGGTAAACAGCATTTCTGTGTGCTGCTCTTGTTCGCCAGAAGCGGCTTACTCATGATGGCCATATGACCCGTAAAAACTATGTGCAGACAAATGCCGGCTCCCTCGGCCAGTAAAGCGAGATGAGCGCTGCAACCCCAGAGTCGTCTGCAACTGGACTTAACGGTCTGGGGTCCCTTTACCTTTACCTTAGGCCAGTGTTTCCCAACCTTGGGCCTCCAGCTGTTTTCGAACTACAATTCCCATCATCCCTGACCACTGGTCTTGCTAGCTGGGGATTATGGGAGTTGTAGTCCAAAAACAGCTGGAGGCCCAAGATTGGGAAATGCTGCCTTAGGCAAACTAAGGCCCGGGGCCAGATCCAGCCCACGGACGGTCTGGGAATCAGTGTGTTTTTACATGAGTAGAATGTGTCCTTTTATTTAAATGCATCTCTGGTTTATTTGTGGAGCATAGGAATTCGTTCATTCCCCCCCCCCAAAAAAAATATAGTCCGGCCCCCCACAAGGTCTGAGGGACAGTGGACCGGCTCCCTGCTGAAAAAGTTTGCTGACCCCTGATTTAGGAGACCACTGTAAGCAGATGGAAACACTGGCAGGATTTTGATTTCAATTATACTGTGACAATTACCATGGAAAATATGGACTGATATGACAGAGTATGGAAAAAGATGCCGTTTTAAATGTTTAAAATGGGCCTCCATGGAGGGTGAAGTCCTGAGATGCGGAGGAATCTCTGTATATCGAAATATGTTTTATCATTTTTCTTATAACTTTGTATTGCAAAATCAAATAAAAATGAATTTCAAAATAACAGTCACCCCAGAATCCTGGGAGGTGTAGTTTGTTAAGGGTGCACAGAGCTAAAATTCCCAGAGTTCCCTGGGAAGGAGTCTGGCGGGTCCTAGTTTCACTCAGTTTGTAGAACATCATCATCATCATTATCAACAACACCTGAATTTGTATACTGCTCTGCGGTTCACAACATAAAATCACAACATGAAAACCACAATATATATATACAGTGGTACCTCAGGTTACATACGCTTCAGGTTACATACGCTTCAGGTTACACACTCCGCTAACCCAGAAATAGTGCTTCAGGTTAAGAACTTTGCTTCAGGATGAGAACAGCAATCAGGCTCCGGCGTCATGGCAGCAGCGGGAGGCCCCATTAGCTAAAGTGGTGCTTCAGGTTAAGAACAGTTTCAGGTTAAGAACGGACCTCTGGAACGAATTAAGTACTTAACCTGAGGTACCACTGTGTGTGTGTGTGTGTGTGTGTGTGTGTGTGAACAGCAGCAAGCCAATAACCCCTAGCAAAACACATTGAACAGGGCATTGGATGCCGGATCATGAGACTCTTGATCTCAGGTTTGTGGGTTCGAATCCCACATTGGGCAACAGATTTCCACATTTCAGGGGGTTAGGTTAGATGATTCCTGCGTTCCTTTCCAACTCGACGATTCTGAGATTGTTATATCACTCTGGGAAGTGTAGTTCCTTGAAGGGGACCTCCTAGCAACTCTCAGCACCCTCAACAAACTACAGCTCCCAAACTTCTTTGGGGAAAGTTGTAGCTGTTTAAATGCTTGCCGTGAACGTGGCCGGAGGGGGGGGGGAGCAAAATCTTTCTTTGCGCCACACGCACCTTTAGAAATCTCCCAGCGTGGCCTTCCCCCCTCCTAAATCACCTTGTTTTTCTAAAGACTGGAGCCCCGAAAAGTCTCTCTCTCTCCTTGCCTGGAAGGCATTGCAATCCTGTGATCGCTGATCACACCCAACCAAGTTGAACTGAGGCAGCTCCTCCTGCTCAAAGGCCAGCGATCGTACATCTTTCAGAAGCGTTAGTCAGAAGCTCTGAGTCACAGCATTTTGGACAGTAATTTTTGGGAGCTGGCAGAAGAGGGGCAAGCTATCTGCCAATGAAGCAATGGCAGGGAGCATTGCTTTTCAGAGAGTGCCCTCTGCTGGACTTCTGGACGTATGACCGTACTGCAGGCATCCCAAGTCGGAAACGAAAACCGTTCAAACAGTCCATCTCCCTCCGCAGGGGGACTCTGGGAATTGTAGCTCTGGGTGGGTAATAGGAGCCTCCTAGCAGCTAACAAGCACCCTTAAGAAACTACAGCTCCCAGAATTTTTCGGGGGAAGCCACAGCTGTTTAAAGTGTTACCATAGTGCTTTAGATGTATGGTCTGAATCTGACGTATAGATGGTATTTAACACCAGCTAAACTTGCCAAGGGACGCAGGTGGTGCTGTGGTCTAAACCACTGAGCTTGCCGATCAGAAGGTCGGCGGTTCGAATCCCTTCGATGGGGTGAGCTCCCGTTGCTCGGTCCCTGCTCCTGCCAACCTAGCAGTTCGAAAGCACATCAAAGTGCAAGTAGATAAATAGGTACCGCTCCGGTGGGAAGGTAAACGGCGTTTCCGTGTGCTGCTCTGGTTTTGCCAGAAGCGGCTTAGTCATGCTGGCCACATGACCCGGAAGCTGTACGCCGGCTCCCTCGGCCAATAAAGCGAGATGAGCGCCGCAACCCCAGAGTAGTTCAGACTGGACTTAACTGTCAGGGGTCCCTTTACCTTTACCTTTAAACTTGCCAAAAACTTGCAGGAGGCAGTGGAAGACAGAAGTGCTTGGCGTGCTCTGGTCCATGGGGTCACGAAGAGTCGGACTCGACTAAACAACAACAACAGAGTTTGAAGGGACCAAGAGTGTCATCTAGTCCAACCCCCTGCAACGCAGGAATCTCTTTGCCCCACGTGGGGCTCGAACCCACAACCTTGAGATTAAGAATCTCATGCTGTTACCAACTGAGCTATCCTAACCTACCAGAAAATAAAGCACTGGAGTAGCATATTTACACACAAGCGTGTCGTTTTAAAACGACGTTTTAAATACGATTTCAATCATGATCCTACCTGAATTCTGTATTTTGAGGTTCGCTCTTTGGTGTGGATCTCGCTGTCCTTTCACGGTCAGCTCCCATCTGCCTCGGAAGAAAGTTCAAGCGGCTGCTCCCCTTATTCACCTCCGCAGGGTACAGGGGCGCAGCTTTCCTTTCTTCAACTGGGCGTCTTTCGGACATCAATTTGGCGAACGGGCCTTCGATGCTTTGGGCTGAATTTCTTGCCGCTTCCCCGCTGGCATTTGTGTATGGGCCAGTCAGGATCGTGGATGAATAGTCCTTGGTTACGTCGATGGAACGGCCGAGGTGTGGAGAAAAGAGATTTGCAGATGGCCTGGAGATTCCTGCCCACTCTTGCGAATCCCCCATTGGCGTGGCCAAACGGTCCCCGGTTTCCTTTTCCTCTCCAGGTTTAAATGTTCTCTGGATTCCAGATGGTTGTTTCGTGCGCCGTCTTTTCAAGGAGTCCTGAAATAAATTGTCGAGAGAGGAGAGCGGTGGTCAAAGCACGAAGCTTTTAATCTCGGGGTTATGAGTTCGCGACCCACATTGGGCGAACGATTCCTGTATTGCAGGGGTTGGACTAGATGACCCTTGGGTACCCTTCTGAAGCTTAATAATATTAATATTAAAAATAAAATAAAATAATAATAATAATAATAATAATAATAATAATAATATATTACTTCACATAAAGTATGCACAATTCTCCCTATGACTCTAAAAGAGAACTGAATGTAAAATACATACACGGTAAGTAGAATTATTACTGATATTCCTGTGCTATCATCAAGACTCATTGCTCTTGGTGGGATTTGCTGTTGATTTCAATGTTCCCCCTGAAAAACACCATCTTAAAGAAGACAGGCAGGCAAGCCCCAAGACTACCTCCTATGGAAACCCATAAGCAGAGATCAGGCAACGCATAGATTCTGGAGCAACCCCAAGCTCCTTTTCCCACATTGGTTAAGGTTGGTCGAATCAAGTGCATTTAATAATAATAATAATAATAATTTATTATTTATACCCCACCCATCTGGCTGGGTTTCCCCAGCCACTCTGGGCAGCTTCCAACTGAATATTAAAAACAATACAACATCAGACATTGAAAACTTCCCTAAACAGGGCTGCCTTCAGTTGTCTTTTAAAAGTAAAATAGTTGTTTATCTGATGGCAGGGCGTTCCACAGGGCGGGCGCCACCACCGAGAAGGCCCTTTGTCTGGTTCCCTGTAACCTCACTTCTCGCAGGGAGGGAACCGCCAGAAGGCCCTCGGAGCTGGACCTCAGTGTCCAGGCTGAACGATGGGAGTGAAGATGCTCCTTCAGGTATACAGGCCTTGATACAATTCTATAGGCCTTGATGCATCAAAGCACCCTAAAACTGCATGTTTTTAGAATAAAATGAGAATATACACACAGCAGTGTTTTTTATGACAGAGGGGTAACCGACCTACGCTTGCCCTTCTCTTCTGTACAAGAGACATTGATAACTCGACTCCTCAAAACATCTAAAAGTGGCCCTAGGATGAGCCACACATGATGGCAAAGAATCAAAAAACTGTAGAGTTGGAAGGGGCACCAAGGGACATCTAGTCCAACCCCCTGCAAATGGAGGAATCTCAACACACGGTCTCCCATCCAGTTTGAAACCATATCAGACCCTGCTTAGCTTTGCAAATGTGAAGTTTTAATTGCTGCACCATAGGGATTAGGATGGTCGAATCTACCTTACATTGAGCCAGGTTCTGGGTCCATGTAGCCCAGAATAGGTGGTTTCTCTTCAGGGCAAAATGGGGCACTGCCCTTCTCCCAGCCAGGGTTCAACACTGTTCCTGTCACCCCAACATAATGACCCACATAATCATCAATTAGATCACTCAGTCTACCTCTGGTGGCCAATCAGCTGCAAGTCTGCAGACAAATGCACCCAATGAGCAGTCACTATGTGTTGCTAGGCCCCGCCCCCTTGTCACCTGGTGAAAGCCATTTTCCCCAAACAATTACTTTCCCTTACAGGGAAAGCCTGGGTAGGTCACTCACTGGAACCCAGATCTCCTCCATTAACAGCACATACTTAAAGAAAACAAAAGAGATTATTGTGGACATGTAGGAAATGTAAATTGAATATTCAGCCACTTATTACTGAGGGGAAGTGTGTGGAACAGGTCTCGGTGTTTCGATTTCTGGGAATGGAGTTGAGAGATGACCTAACCTGGGGAGAAAACAGCAAAGACCTGGTGAAGAGAGCACGGCAGAGGTTATATATTCTGAGACTCCTCCGGAAAAATAATCTCTCAAAGGACCTGTTGATGGCATTTTACCATTGTACTGTTGAGAGTGTATTCACTTATGGTCTCTGTGTGTGGTTTGGGAGCTGCACGGTCAGGGGAAAAACAATGCTGTCCAGGGTTGTAAAGACTGTGGGGAGAATAATTGGATGCACTCTTCCCACCTTAGATCAAATCTATGCTTCCGGGTGTCACAAGAAAGCTGCAGAGATAGTGCAGGATAGTGCGCACCCCAGAAATGATCTCTTTCAGCTTCTGCCTTCTGGAAGAAGGTACAGGGTTATAAAGACTAGGACTAGCCGCCTGAGAAACAGTTTCTATTCAAATGCGATTTTGGTTTTAATTGCAGTGTAAGGTAGTCTCTATGGGAGTATATTGTATTTAATTATGGGGTATCAGAGTTTTTAGGGGGTTAACCAGGCTGGGATGGCTGGGATAGCAGGCTTGTTGGTTTCTGAATGTCTGATGTAGATTTTCAATTTCGTTGTTCTGTATGGGACAATGACAATAAAGATTATCGTATCGTATTGTATCGTATAAAACCCCCAACTCAGTCCTGCACAACCCAACAGGTTTTCATAGAGGTAAAGGTAAAGGGACCCCTGACCATTAGGTCCAGTCGTGGCCGACTCTGGGGTTGCGGCGCTCATCCCACTTTATTGGCCGAGGGAGCTTCCGGGTCATGTGGCCAGCATGACTAAGCCGCTTCTGGCGAACCAGAGCAGTTCCCTGAAACACCGTTTACCTTCCTGCCGGAGCGGTAGCTATTTATCTACTTGCACTTTATCTACTTGCACTGCTAGGTGGGCAGGAGCAGGGACCGAGCAACAGGAGCTCACCCCGTCGTGGGGATTCGAACCGCTGACCTTCTGATTGGCAAGTCCTAGGCTCTGTGGTTTAACCCACAGCGCCACCAGCATAGAGGTAGAGCTGTCCTAATCAACAAACCATCTGCTGCCTTTTAGAAGATGTGGCTTTTATCCTTCCACAGATTTGTCCCAGCACTTTGGCTCTTCAGATAAACCCCATTCAGGTGACTTTCACAACTGCCTTGGAAAGGTCCATGGCTCAATGGGAGAACACCTGCTCTATCCAAAGAAGGTATTGGGTTTCACCCCCAACATCTGCAGGTAGGGTTGGGAATGTATATCCCAGGTCTGAAACCCTCGAGCGTCCCTGCCGCTCAGTGTAGACAATATGGAGCTATGTGGACTAATAATAACGCAGCTCCCTGCTCCCTCCTAAAATCAGAGGTGGATGATAGGCAAATACGTCTGTTTGGCTTCTCTCATTTCCTCACTCTTCCAGCCTTATTATGTTCAGTTCTCGACATATCTACATCAGTCTGCATTGCTGTTTAAAAAGGGAAAATGCAGCAGTGTTTTTGTGTGAATTTCTTCTACAACACACACTTCCTATGCCATTTTGTCTAATATACACATTTTTACAGAGATAGTTCCCTTAATAGAATTCATTCTTGGACATTATTCTTACCAATGTATGCATAACATATATGCACACTATAAAATGACATTGCCAAATTCAGAGCAGGGGAAATTTTGAAGGAGGGCTGCTTTTTTCCAGTTCCCATATTGTTTCAGGAAGTACGAATTTGGGAATTTAATTTAATTTCTCCCTAGTCTGGGGAGCCCAGCTAAGGAAGTCCCTGTCTTCAGGTTCTGAGGAAACCACCAACGACCTGAAATGACTCTGGGGTTGTTGTTTTTTTGCTATGTTTACATATTTTCCAATGTTGGGGGTTTTCTTGTTCTGTTTTCATATCTTAAATTGCAAAGTTTTATTGGGCTGCCTTGTCAGAAAGGTGGTACAGAAGTGCAATAAACGAAAATATTTAATCTTTTTATAATAATAAAAATAACAAAATGTTTAGAATGAGAGCAAAGAACCTCTGGAGAGTTGACTGGGGGGGCCGCCATCGTTCCTCTGCCAAATAGACCACCGCTCCTGGCTTGGGGTTGCTCCCTCATGGCATTCAAAGAAAGCTCAGGTGTCCTCAAGTCCCCGTAGTGATGGCTCGCCGGTTTCTCTCCCTCAGAAAGTGAGCTGCTCTTGAATGCCGTCCCAGATTTGCACTTTTCGCTTTTCTTGTGTTGGTCTCGCTTGGGGATTATTTCCCCATCGATCTCGTAGCTGCAAGGACACAGATGCAAGGAAGTCTGTCATTTAGACCACCTGAATGAAGTTCATGGACCACTGATGGTTCTACAGACCAGCGTACAGGAAGAAGCAAAGATCACCAGTGTTGACGCAATGATTCTTCAACATCTACTTCGTTGGACTGGTCATGTTATGCGGATGCCTGATGATCGTCTTCCAAAGCAACTACCATATTTTTCACTCTATAAGACGCACCAGACTACAAGACGCACCTAGTTTTTGGAGGAGGAAAACAAGGGAAAAAATATTCTGAATCTCAGAAGCCAGAACAGCAAGAGGGATCACTGTGCAGTGAAAGCAGCAATCCCTCTTGCTGTTCTGGCTTCTGTGATAGCTGCGCAGCCTGCATTCGCTCCTTAAGACGCACACACATTTCCCCTTGCTTTTTAGGAGGGAAAAAGTGAGTCTTATAGAGCAAAAAATACGGTACTCTATTCCAAACTTAAAAATGGAAAGCGTAATGCTGGTGGTCAACAAAAGAGGTTTAAAGATTGTTTCAAGGCAAATCTAAAAAAATGTAGTATAAAAAGGTAAAGGGACCCCTGACCATTGGGTCCAGTCATGGCCGACTCTGGGGTTGTGGCGCTCATCTCGCTTTATTGTCCGAGGGAACCGGCGTACAGCTTCCGGGTCATGTGGCCAGCATGACTAAGCCACTTCTGGAGAACCAGAACAGCGCACAGAAACGCCGTTTACCTTCCTGCCAGAGCGGTACCTATTTATCTACTTGCACTTTGACGTGCTTTCGAACTGCTAGGTTCGCAGGAGAAGTATAAACACCAACAATTGGGAAACACTTGCCTGCGAGCACTCCAGTTGGAGAACAGCCTTTACCAAAGGTGTCATGGGCTTTGAAGACCCTCAAACTCAGGACGCAAGGGAGAAACATGCTAAGAGGAAGGCACGCTTGGCAAATCCACACCGTGATCATAACCTGCCCGGAAACCAATGTCCCCACTGTGGAAGGACGTGTGGATCCAGAATTGGCCTCCACGGTCACTTACAGACTCATTGTTAAAACTGTATTTATGGAAGACAATCTTACTCGGCTACGAGTGATTGCCAAAGGACAGACCACGGTATGGGAACAGCTGCCTGGAGAGCTATGGAGTCGAATAGAAGCACACTTTGGTTTAGAAACAGTGTCTCATGGTTTAAGCAGGCATGAATGTCATTTCAGTGAGCTTTCTCTCTTCCGTTCATCAGGCACAGATGCATAAATAAAACCATAATATGAGCCACCAGTGACCTTGCTTCCAAGGAAACCAAGCCCTCTGGGTTCTCTTACTATTCAGAGATTGGGCTGTGCACCGCACTATATTAATAGGAAGGCAACAACAGTATACAGTGATACCTCAGGTTACATACTCTTCAGGTTACAGACTCCGCTAACCCAGAATTAGTACCTCGGGTTAAGAACTTTGCTTCAGGATGAGAACAGAAATCGTGCTCCAGCGGCGCGGCGGCAGCAGGAGGCCCCATTAGCTAAAGTGGTGCTTCAGGTTAAGAACAGTTTCAGATTAAGAACGGACCTCCAGAATGAATTAAGTACTTAACCTGAGGTACCACTGTATTGCGGTGTTGAGTTGGAGATATATGTTGAAAACCATTGTGAATCTCGACAAGACATAAGTACGGTTTTGGGGGGACGGGATGGGCAGATGTGGAGGACTCCCTGGTCCTGAATGGGGTAACTGTGCCCCTGAAGGACCAGGTGTGTAGCCTGGGAGTCATTTTGGACTCACAGCTGTCCATGGAGGCGCAGGTCAATTTTGTGTCCAGGGCAGCTGTCTCCTAGCTCCATCTGGTACACAGGCTGAGACCCTACCTGCCTGCAGACTGTCTTGCCAGAGTTGTGCCTGCTCTGGTTATCTCCCACTTGAACTACTGCAATGCGCTCTGTGTGGGGCTACCTTTGAAGGTGACCTGGAAACTGCAATTAATCTAGAATGTGGCAGCTAGACTGGTGACTGGGGGTAGCTGCCAGGACCATATAACAATGGTCCTAAAGTATCTTCATGTTTCCAAGCACAATTCAAAGTGTTGGTGCTGACCTTTAAAGCCCTAAAGAGCCTCGGCCCAGTATACCTGAAGGAGCGTCTCCACCCTCATCATTCTGCCCGGACACCGAATTCCAGCTCCGAGGGCCTTCTGGCAGTTCCCTTCCTGCGAGAAGCGAAATTACAGGAATGCAAGCAGAGGGTCTTCTCGGTAGTGGCACCCTCTCTGTGGAACACCCTGCCATCAGGTGTCGGGGAAATAAGAAACTACACAAGTTTTATAAGACAACTGAAGACAGCCCTATATGGGGAATTACTTAATGTTTGACCTTTTATTATGTTTCTGTAAGTACTATAAGGGACGCGGGTGGCGCTGTGGGTTAAACCACAAAGCCTAGGACTTGCTGATCAGAAGGTCGGCGGTTCGAATCCCCGCGACAGGGTGAGCTCCCGTTGCTCGGTCCCTGCTCCTGCCAACCTAGCAGTTCGAAAGCACATCAAAGTGCAAGTAGATAAATAGGTACCACTCCGGCGGGAAGGTAAACAGTGTTTCTGTGCGCTGCTCTGGTTTGCCAGAAGCAGCTTAGTCATGCTGGCGACATGATCCGGAAGCTGTACGCCAGCTCCCTCGGCCAATAAAGCGAGATGAGTGCCGCAACCCCAGAGTCAGTCACGACTGGACCTAATGGTCAGGGGTCCCTTTACCTTTACCTATAAGTGATATAAGCTGCCCAGATTGGCTAGGGAAACCCAGCCAGATGGGCAGGGTATAAATAATAAAATTATTATTATGACTAGTTATTATTAACTAGATACCACCCAGCCCTAGTTATGTGGTACTTGTAGGAGTGTTAATTGCATCGACTGAAGTGGTCAAGCAGGTGCATTTGGGTGAGGCGATCTCGCAGGTCCTAAGGGCTTTAAATACTATCAATAACTTATTGAAGTAGTAATAATAATATTTTATTATTTATACCCCGCCCATCTGGCTAGGTTTCCCCAGCCACTCTGGGCAGCTTTCAACAATAGATTAAAAACCTAAGAAAACATTAAAAACTTCCCTAAACAGGGCTGACTTCAGATGTCTTCTAAATGTCAGATAGTTGTTTATTTCCTTGACATTTGATGGCAGGGCATTCCATAGGGCGGGCGCCCCCACCAAGAAGGCCCTCTGCCTGGTTCCCTGTAACTTCACTTCTCTCAGCGAGGGACCGCCAGAAGGTCCTCAGAGCCGGACCTCGGTGTCCGGGCTGAACGATGGGGGTAGAGATGCTCCTTCAGGTATACTGGGCCAGCCCGCAACTGGAACAGACCTCTGAGTCCAGGCATTACGTAAATGCACACAAGGCCTCACTCCTGTCAGCAATTGTGATGCAGCCTCAGTTGCGTGGGCAAAGGATGGAGAGAGGTTTGTGTGTGTAGAAACCCCTGACCTTCCTGTGGCTGGAATCACCTGTGCAAAGGTCAGAGTCACATCCATTGCTCCACCCACTAGCCAACCTGGCCCCACCCAACACCGGTATGTGGTCCCTAGAAGGATCTCCAAAAGGGAATGCAGAGATGAAAAATGCTCTCCACTTCTGAGTTACACCAAGAAGATTCATCTGTAGCGACATTTCTTGGCCCAAGAAAATGGATTTAGAATCAAAGTGCTTATCCATACCTGTAGGTCTTGGTTTTGCTTTTTCCAGGCCCAGTTTGCAAGTGGGCGTCTTCATCAGAGAGATAATTCTTCAGGACAGAGTCCTCTGTACACCTGGGCTGGCTGAGCTTCTTCCGTGGGGCTGGCGGGCTCCCCTTGGAGCCGCTCGTACGCTCCAGAAAATAGCTGGCCATGACTTCAAGGAGGGTTTTCAAGGGATTCTCCCTTGCCTGCAACAGAAGAGCTCAGCTGGTTAGAGAAAACCTCTGTCTTTCATTGAACCCTTAACTGAGATATGTGCACAGTGGAAGCTGCTTCAGACTACCGGTTCAACAAGCTCAATATTGTCTACACCAGGAGTCGTCAAAGTTTTTGTGGCTTGGGCCGGTTCACGCATGTGCAAACACTATTTCCGGCGCTCCTTCCGGCACGGAGGAGGCGTGCGCAGCTTCCCACTGGCTGCAGGAGCTACCTGTTAAGTTGTGGGTGAGCATATCAGACAACACAGCGATTCTTCAAATAGCTCTTGTTTATTCACAGGCCAGAACAGAACTGAACTGAAGGGTTCAGCCAGCCTGCTTATATAGAGCTCCAGTACAACGTAACTGTAACAATTTTCTAAAACTATCCAATCACTGAACGTCACTTTCGATCCCTTATTTGCATAACTATCTACAGTATCCCCCTGCTGGCCCAGGGTGAGAACTTCAGTACATAACACTACCCTTCTTCTCTTCCCGTGGTTCATTTTACATATCATATACATCCCTGCATATCTTACTATAACTGTCCAAATCCGTTTTCCACTTTCACATCCATCAAAAATTATTTACTCTGTTGAATTTATCTTAATGCTGCCAGCGTTTTCAGCTGTGTACAGTTATTTTCCATATATTCAGTAAATGCTTTCCAATCTTCTTTAAATGTATGTTCTTCTTGCTGTCTTATTCTATATATTAAACCTGCAAGTTCTGCGTATTCTGTCAACTTAAGTTACCAACTCTTTTTAGGTGGGACCTCACACTCACTGTCCATTTATGGGCTAACAAAACATGGGCTGCAGTTGTTGCATACATAAATAACCTTTCCTGACACCTAGGAATTTCAGTCTGGGTTATCCTCGATAAAAAGGACTCTGGTGTGTGTGTTTTTGGAAAAGTAGTTTTAAACATTTTTTTTCAACTCATTATATATCATTTCCCAATACACTTTTACCTTTTTACATGTCCAGCGAGTTCCGTAGTTTATCTATGGAACGGCTGGCCTCATCTCCACCCGCTCTCAGGTTTCCAAAGGATCCGGGGAATTTTGTACAGAGGATTCATCTTCTCACCTTGTTTTGCTTGCACAAGGGCTGGAGGTGCAAGACATTTCGCAGTTCGTTTCTGTTGCTGATGCTGAGAGCTGTTCGGGGCAACTCTTCGTCCATCACAACGATGGTTTTCTTCAAGCACTGCGGAGGGAAGAGAGAGGACGGACGTGGCGCTGTGCAGGATAGAGACCTCTCCCCATCCTGTCTTAACAGTTCAGGACAACTTGTTGATAAAGTTCCTACAGAAAAATACTATCCAGTGAAGTTGGCATAGCACATAAAGGTAAAGGGACCCCTGACCATTAGGTCCAGTCGTCGCTAGGGAATATTTGCATTATGAACTGTATAAAATCACTATGTGGAATCTGACCCTATTGAGTCGTGGCCAATCCTGAACGGACCCATCAGGAAAGGAATAAGAGCTCCACAACCTCATAGTTGCCTTTGGCTGGACTTAACCATCCAGGGGTCCTTTACCTTTTAGATATCCTTGCCAAAGGTTACCATAAAGGTAAAGGGACCCCTGACCGTTAGGTCCAGTCATGACCGACTCTGGGGTTGCGGCGCTCATCTCGCTTTATTGGCCAAGGGAGCCGGCGTACAGCTTCCGGGTCATGTGCCCAGCATGACTAAGCTGCTTCTGGCGAACCAGAGCAGCGCATGGAAACACCGTTTACCTTCCCGCTGGAGCGGTACCTATTTATCTACTTGCACTTTCAACGTGCTTTCGAACTGCTAGGTTGGCAGGAGCAGGGACCGAGCAACAGGAGCTCACCCCGTCGTGGGGATTCGAACCGCCAACCTTCTGATCGGCAAGTCCTAGGCTCTGTGGTTTAACACACAGCGCCACCCGTGTCCCTGACATAGCACATAGGGGCATGCAATACAATTCTGTGCATAAAGCAAAGGTTGCCAACCTTTTGGGGTCTGTGGGCAGATTTTGAGTTTTGGAAGCAGGGTGGATTTGATTTAAATCAAATCGATTTAAATCACTAGTCAATAATTCTTGATTTAAATCATTTGTTTTACAGAAAGACTCATTCTTGCTGTGTAATCTTAATATTTACAACCAGAGGAAGGTTTCTTTTTTTGGAATGATAAATTTTCAGAGTAGTTTTTACAGTTATATCGAAAATTACTGATTTGGTTATACTATTGGAAATACAAAGACAGATAATTATGAAATCATTGTGAGGTTTCATAAGTTAACTGTTTATATTTGGGCAACTTTTCTGCTGTACTTTATTGGAAGGAGAAAAAATAATCATTTCCTTAACAACCATTTAAACAATTTATTTAACTAAAGCAATAACATTATAGCATATGTATCCATGTTTGTTAACTGATGTGGTTAAATTTTTTTTAAAAAAAAACTTAGACTGAGTTTTAGCACACATGAAAAACTTAAATCTTTTTTTCCTGATGACTAGCCTCTGGACTATAATGTAACTTAAGTAGAAAACTATCTTTAGAAAGATTTCTCCTCCAAAAGCATTTTATTTTAAAAATCTGATTTAAATTTTGAAAAAATCCGATTTAAATTTTAAAAAATCCATTTTTAATTAATTATTTTTTTTAAATCATTGATTTTTATGCACCCTGTTTGGAAGAGAGGTTGCGGGTGTTTACAACCCTATGCCCCTCTAGCAGGTCACGATCCTCACCAGGGCTGGATCCTGAGGAAGTGAGGTTAGCTGCTTTGCAAGGCAGCAAAACCATGCTTTGCAAAACCATTTCCCCCAGGTTTCAATTTCTTTAAAACTGTGACATTATGGCAGGGGACAAAGCTGTATTGCAACTTTTGTTTGTTTGTTTTTAAAAACCATTTAAAAAAGTTATATGATTTCATTTGCATTGTATCAGTTCTGTTTGCTTGTTTTCCCGCCACAAGTTGCAATTTATTTTTTTTATTGAGCTTGCAAGCTGTCCCTGATGATATGAAGTGTCGGCCAAGCATGTAAATAAATGCATAAACAAACATAAACAAAGGATGCGGAGGGTTGGACTAGATGAGCCGCTTCCCACACGGCAATTCTACGATTCCGTGAAACTAACAAATAAGATAAATAATCCAGGCTTGAATTAGATGTGTGAAATAGATATGGGTCAAAAAAGCAGAAATGCATTTTTAATATTGGAAATTCCTTCTCTGTCTCTTTCTCGCCGACTCTGCAGCTTTTAATGGATAAAATGCTAGAAGCGGCCAAACAGATGACTTTTAATAGCGCCTCCTACCGGGGAGCTCTCAATCCCTTTCTCCCCTCCACTTTTTTTAAGAATAAAAATATTATTTTTAAACAGAATAATCACTAGCACAGCTTCATCGCTCGTGCTTTTTTTCCTCTCCAGTACACATCCGTTCGACACAATCTACGCTCTGTTTTAACATTTGGACAGCCTTTTCCTATCAAATTGGGTGGAAAACTCATGTTTCTGCTTCCGCGTTCATGGGAATCCCAAGTGCATTCTGGGAAATGTAGTCCTCGTGGTGGGTGGCGGAGAGCTTGTTGTTGCAGCCTGAATCAAAGTCATTCTCATATATGTATCTGTATATATATATATATATATACACACACACACACACACACACACACACACACACAAGCATTAATTATCTTAGCAAAATCTGGGGAAAGCAGAAGGAATGTTTTAAGCTTAACAAAATGCGTTGCTATTTTTTCCCCCTTCCCAAAGCATCGTAAAGCGCGCATGCACTGCTCTCCAAGGCAGATCGCAAGCTCTTTATTTTTATTATCCTTTACCTTTTTGCTGAGAAATTCTCTCACCAAGGATGCAGCCACCTCTTCCAGGAAAGAGGCTTCCATTGCAAAACTCCCAGAGCATGCAAAAAAAGGGAGATCTGCGTTTGCTGGCTCAGTTTAAGGACCGGGAGAGGGAGAAAAAGAGAGCGCCTTTGTTTTGTGCGCCTGGCGAACCGCAGCTGCACAGCTTCCAGGTCTCCATCTGCAACCCGGCTGTTGCGTTGCCGTTGGCAGGTTGCCGTGGCGATGGAATCATGGCCGGGAGAGCGTTCGCAGCGCCCCCTGCCGCTCCTGCGCGGGCAAGGCACCCGGCGCGGCGAGGCAACTCACCTGGGCGCGCACAGGTAAGCGCGCAAGGCAAGGTACTCAGCGCGCCGGGCACTTCGGAGGGACCCAGCCAGTGCCGGATTTACCTGCGAGCGCTCCAGTTGGAGAACAGCCTTTACTAAAGGTGTCATGGGCTTTGAAGACACTCGAACTCAGGACGCAAGGGAGAAACGTGCTAAGACATGGGTAGGCAAACGAAGGCCCGGGGGCCGGATCCAGCCCAATCGCCTTCTAAATCCGGCCCGCGGACGGTCCGGGAATCAGCGTGTTTTTACACGAGTAGAATGTGTCCTTTTAATTAAAAGGCATCCCTGGGTTATTTGTGGGGGCTGCCTGCTGTTTTTACATGAGTAGAATGTGTCCTTTTATTTAAAATGCATCTCAGGGTTATTTGTGGGGCATAGGAATTTGTTCACTTTGTTTTTCTTTCCAAAATATAGTCCCCCACAAGGTCTGAGGGACAGTGGACTGGCCCCCTGCTGAAAAAGTTTGCTGACCTCTGTGCTAAGAGGAAGGCACGCTTGGCAAATCCACACCGTAATCAACTCCTGCCCAGAAATCAATGTCCTCACTGTGGAAGGACGTGTGGATCCAGAATTGGCCTCCACAGTCACTTACGGACTCGTTGTTAAAAACGTGTTTATGGAAGACAATCTTACTCGGCTACGAGGGATCGCCAAAGAAGAAGTTAAACAGGCTTTAGCTTAGGGCCCCACTCTCTTGGGGACCCCCCAAAAAAATTAAAGGAGGGGGGGGGAAACCTGGATGTACATTTCCAAAATATAAGATAAAAAATGAATAAAATTAAACCTACATCCAGCAACAGTGTTTTGTGTTGTGTAGGCTTCTATGATGTAAGTCATGGGCCCCGCCTGCTAGCCTGCTCCCTAAAATATCACTGGTTTGCTCATTTCTATATACAGTGGTGCCTCGCAAGATGAAATTAATCCGTTCCGCGAGTGTCTTCGTCTAGCGGTTTTTTTGTCTTGCGAAGCAACCCTATTAGCGGCTTAACGGATTAGCGCTATTAGCGGTTTAGCGGCTATTAAAGGCTTAGCGGCTTAGATAAAGGGGGGGGAGCGGGGAAAAAATCTCAAGACTCGCAAGAAATTTTCGTCTTGCGAAGCAAGCCCATAGGGAAATTCGTCCTGCGAAGCAACTCAAAAATGGAAAACCCTTTCGTCTAGCGGGTTTTCCGTCTTGCGAGGCATTCGTCTTGCGGGGCACCACTGTATAGGGTGCCTACATTCTGCTATTTATAATTATTAGTAGTTTGCATCACATATTTACACCTATTATTAATATTTCATGCTATAGCAAGTTTCTAGAGACTAGATTATGAGTCTTTGTAAATTGTGTTCCTAAAGGAACTTTTGTTATTGCCAAAGTGTTTGCATTATTTAGTTTGTTATGAATAAAAATCATTTTAATTTAGAGCTTAATAATTATTTCACTATTAATATCCTTCTTGTTAATTGTATTTCTGTTAAACAATTACTTTGATAAAATACATATTTTGTTATGTGCAAATGGCTTTAGATACCTATTAGGTCCATAAATTAACATATAGTGTATATTCAACACAACAAACAGCAACAATTTGAGCTTAAGGCCTCATCAAACCTAAATCTGGCTGTTATGTACTGAGCTGAATAGGATCCAAAAGGCAGCAGTCTGATTGGTCCTAGAACAATAGGCTCCAGAATGCAGCAGTCTGATTGGTCCACAGGAGCCACCCAATCCAGCTCCAGGTGGAAGTGAATCCACACCTGATTGGCCTACAGGTGAATCCCGGAACTAGCCAATCACGTGGGGCCCATTGTGTAAATAATGTATATAAAGCAGACATTCTGGGGGAACTTCCATTCCTCCTCACCACTATAAGCTGAATAAAGAGCATGAAATCCACTCTTGACTCCAAGTATATTTCACCAGCCCTGGACCCAGCCAAATGCTAGGAAGGAGGCTGAGGGCGGAGGGGAGAAAGATGGAGGGTGCAATGCCTGTCAGATGCTTTGTAAACTCCTGAGTCTATTCTTCTCAGGAAGATATACCGTAAGGCAGCGGAGGTTTAGGATGACTTTACCTTCATTCTCTTAGTTGGACGACCTTCCATGGGTGCAGCCGGGGGGGGGGCAGGGGGGCGGTTGCCTCCCTAAATCAAAATATTTTTCTTTTTTTCTTTATGCTTTTCAGGTTTATATGTTTCACTAATTTTACAATCATTTTAACATTTCAGAACTTGACTTCCTCCCCCCTCTTTCTGCGGTTCCTTTATTTTTAATATCTTCTGCACATTCCAAATTAACTTAATCTGCTCATTTATTCATCTACTTTAAATATATACTCTTATAAAACTGCAGGTTATTACAATAATCCTGCCAATTTTTTTTATCTGTTTACAATCTATCTGTAAATATTCAATAAACCATTTCCATTCTTTTATTTAAAAATTTTCTCCATTTCTGCATATTCCACAAGTTTTTGTATCCACGCTTCCTTTGCTGGGACTTCTGCTTCTTTCTGTTTTGAGGCAAGTAACATTCTTGCCACTGTAGTCGCATACATGAATAAGTTTCTATACAGTTTTGGTAGTTCTGTCCCTATAATTCCCAAACGAAAAGCTTCTGGTTTTTTGTTTTGTTTTGCTTTACAAACGTTTGTAACATTTCTATTTTTTTTTTTTTAATGATATTTATTAAGATTTCAGAAACAAAAAATTACATAGTTAAAAAGAAAAGAAACAAGGGAAAATATATATAAAAAAATATGAAAAAAACATACAAAATACAAAGTTCAGAAAACACACACACAAAAAAACACTTAAAAACAAATTAATCCTTCCGTATTTTACATTTCGTTTCCTTGCTTCCCTGACCTCCTCTCACCTCCCTTTTTTGTATTCCAGTTCAATTGGTTGATTCAGCAATTCCTTTCCCTCTTTGTTTATGTCTTAGTCCTTTAACTTAATATATTATAACTTTAGATTCTCACCTATTAACCATCCATTTTTACATACACGTTTATGACATTGCTGCTAGAACCACTTAATTTCATTCTGACATCATTCTAACATTCATTAATTTTACAATATTTCTGTAAATAGTCTTTAAATTTCTTCCAATCTTCTTCCACCGACTCTTCTCCCTGGTCTCGGATTCTGCCAGTCATTTCCGCCAATTCCATGTAGTCCATCACCTTCATCTGCCATTCTTCCAGAGTGGATAGATCTTGTGTCTTCCAATACTTCGCAATAAGTATTCTTGCTGCTGTTGTGGCATACATAAAGAAAGTTCTATCCTTCTTTAACACCAATTGGCCGACTATGCCCAGGAAAAAGGCCTCTGGTTTCTTCAAGAAGGTATATTTAAATACCTTTTTCAATTCATTGTAGATCATCTCCCAGAAAGCCTTAATCCTTGGGCACGTCCACCAAAGGTGGAAGAATGTACCTTCAGTTTCTTTACATTTCCAACATTTATTATCGGGCAAATGATAGATTTTTGCGAGCTTGACTGGTGTCATGTACCACCTGTATATCATTTTCATAATATTCTCTCTTAAGACATTGCATGCCGTAAACTTCATACCTGTGGTCCATAACTGTTCCCAGTCAGCCATCATTATGTTATGTCCAACATCTTGTGCCCATTTAATCATAGCAGATTTCACCATTTCATCCTGAGTATTCCATTTCAACAGCAAGTTATACATTCTTGACAAATTCTTAGTTTTGGGTTCTAACAGTTCTGTTTCTAATTTTGATTTTTCTACCTGGAAGCCAATTTTCTTGTCCGAATTATATGCCTCCATTATCTGATAATAATGAAGCCAATCTCGCACTTTGTTTTTTAGTTTCTCAAAACTCTGCAGTTTCAATCTGCCTCCCTCTTGTTCCAGAATTTCCCAATATTTCGGCCATTTGGCCTCCATATTGAGCTTTTTCTGAGCTTTCGCTTCCATCGGTGACAACCACCTTGGGGTTTTATTTTCCAATAAATCCTTATATCTTATCCAGACATTAAACAAAGCTTTCCTGACAATATGATTCTTAAATGCTTTATGTGCTTTGACCTTATCATACCACAAATATGCATGCCATCCAAATACATTGTTAAAACCTTTTAAGTCCAAAATGTCTGTGTTTTCAAGAAGCAGCCATTCTTTCAGCCAGCCGTTTGTAACATTTCTAAATCAATCAAAATCAATACAAAATTAAACAAGACTGAGGTTCTGCCCCCCTCCCCACAAAAGCCTGCCCCCCCCAACAAAAATCCTGGCTGCCCGTGTGGCGTTTGCCCTCCTATGTGTGTGACATCATACTGGGTTCATAGGGAACGGGTTAACTAATTGTAAAATAACTAACCAATGGGAACCCAGGGTGCAGAGTTAACTGTGTATAAGGCTTAAGCACAGAGAGAAATTGTTAAGAGAAGTTAGAGTTAGAGTGGTTGAGAAGAGAGAGGGAGGATAAGTCTGTGGGTTGGGCTAGTCTGGTGTGAGAGAATTTGTTAAGAGGAGTCAGTCAGACAGTTGAGATAATCAGTCAGAAGGTATTAGGAAGGTGTAGGCCGGTAAAGAAACTAAAGTTAAGATACTGACAGGAATATTATCTGAGAAACCATAAACTTGTTAATGTTTGTAAAATAAATTGGTTTTTTGGTTCACTTTTAACAGCTGACTGGACTCAGTGTTTTACCAGAGAGTAACTGGTTGGTAGGGATGCGGGTGGCGCTGTGGGTTAAACCACAGAGCCTAGGGTTTGCCGATCAGAAGGTCGGCGATTCGAATCCCCGTGACGGGGTGAGCTCCCGTTGCTCGGTCCCTGCTCCTGCCAACCTAGCAGTTTGAAAGTACGTCAAAGTGCAAGTAGATAAATAGGTACCGCTCCAGCGGGAAGGTAAACGGCGTTTCCGTG